CTGTTGGCCGCGCTCACCACAAGCTGTCACAGGATTAAGACGATTGCTAGGGTCAATTGACGGGCGGCCGGGAGCTGCATCACCACTACATTTCAAGGTTAGTGACCCCTTCATAACAGGCAAAGCAACACCATACCACTTACACAAGAAACTCGAGCTCTTTTATGAGCGATTTGAGCCGAAGCTCGACGACAGCCGACTGCATGGAGGGGTCATCTAGCTTGATCGAGCGAATGTACTCGCACCAAGCCAGCATCCCATACTTCCCGCGGGTGACATATCGCATTCGAGGTCCGATACGACAGTCCACTCCGAACAACGCATTGTAGCGACGATTGAAGGTGTGGAACTCGTCTTCACCTTGTGTGCTGGCAAGAATCTTGCTGATTCTGTCGGTTTTTTTTGCAAGAGGGACTGACTCTGGCAATGCTGGTGCAAGGTCCGTGAGCTCTTGAACGAGCTTGCGAATATCTTCAAGTGTTGGAGGGCTCATAGGTGAGAAGGGGCGCAGCGTGGTGGAGCACGACGTGGGTGTTCAAGGGCTCAAGAAGACAGGTCCGATGTCTTAGCATGCCAGCATGAACCCCCAGGCTGTAAATCTTGCGGGATAAATATATTTTATTATCACGCTTGCTTATCTTAATATCTGGAGTGTTATCGATGAGTTTGCGCCCTAGCAACCCACATCCCGACGCTGTACACGCGGTCGCGGCGGCGCGGCGGCCTCTGGCGCTTAGCGCTGTCGTACCGTCCAGCTGTCGGGTGGTAGAGCGTGCGCCGCAGCTTGCCATAAACCGGCCATCTCTGTTAGTAAAATAAAGACATATGAGACTCAGAGACCATCACATATTACATGAGAAAACTGTGTGTTTACTGTGTATAAACGTTTACAGCAAGTTTACAAGGCTCCGTGTAAACAAACGGAAACAGTAAACGGTAATAAACGTTTATACACAGTAAACAAACAAAACGGTTGGAGCCTTATCGGAAATTCTTCAGCGTGTCTTAGCCGCTCTTGGGCGCTTCTGGGTGGCTAGTCCGGTGTAACTTAATAAGTTCCCGTGTCTGGGCCGCCGAACTGAATCAGCTCCGCAGCAGTCTGCTACTCACGCTGATGCCAGGCGCTGCATAGCACTCAGTATCCCGTCCCCTCTATATAACTTGTATTCGAGAGAGTTTTGCCATGGTGAATACCCCACTCCTGTCGAAGAGTCTCCCATGTCGTATCCTGATATCCACCTAAGACGTAGCCTGGACGCTGCAGCCAACAACTCTCTCAGCCTGAGCTCACGTGACAACATCAGTACACCGCGAGGCAGTCTCTTCAGCCCAGGTAGACCCCGCCATGACCGGTGAGCTTGAACCGCGCCGTAAGCGATACTCTCTCACTCCATGCTTGCCCCGCAGACGAGATCACAGCTGTGGTCCACGAACGCATGCGTCGACACGTCTTCTAACGTTTCTGATTCGAATTGGGATCACGACCCACGGCCTCCTCCATCTCGCTTACCTCAATATCTTACTTCTCTCGGTCCCTTCCCGCCCATGCTTCTCTCAGGACCTTGAAGACTTCCGAAAAGACATGCAAGATGCCCGATGCGACACTACCATCCGAGAGGCATGGCGTAAATTCACCACTGCTCTGCTGGATACCTGGAACCGATATATGAATGACTGTGTATGGATTATTTGGTAGGTCAAGGTCACCATTAAGACTATTTGATGCTAATGCTCGATGATTTTGTATTTACAGCGCAAGCGCAGTGCTTGCAAGGTTCCAGAGCTACGGGTCAGACGTCGCAATCATTCTGTCCGACATCTGTTGTTGCTGCTGTCTCGTGTGCATCGTACTGGTGTGGAGCATGAAGCGACATCTGATCACCATTCGGGACTGTCGTCCTGGTCCAGAAGCACCTCGTGACTGGCACGAGTTAACCAAGCGTAACGCGACTTCTCTCTGTTTCACAACTCCGATGTTGCTGGCGGCTCCGATATCCTGGTGGATCTGGCAAGTGCTTCATCTCAATCGGACGAATGACCAACCTGATTAATATGACATTGCCATTGCATAGGGCGTATGTCATATTTGGGCTGACCGTCGTCAGTCTTCTCTGGAGCGCCGCCTCCGGAGATATGGCTATCGATGTCGTTGACGCAGCCCTCGAGTTGAACAAGAGCGTCTCCAAGCTCGCCCATGAGGTTGAATCGCTTGGCTTGTCCGCTGCGGCCACACATAATTCCCCGGTTGTAGCTCGCGTTCTTGTCGTCATCATCATTCTTGTCGGGCTCTGTCATGTGGCCTTCGTCGGCACGCATTTCTCACGGCTCGGCTACTCTCTACCGCACGAAATCGGATGTGAACTCACCCGCAGAGGAGAGCGCTGCACTTGTGCGGCAGTCCATGAGTGCTGATGTGAGTATTTCCACTTTGTCTATATAAGTTACTCACTTCTGTTAATGCCTGTATTATCAAGCCTCTGCGAAATCCATGGTTTGATACCTACTCTTTTACCCGATACCCTACTGGACAACATATCTGGTCGCGTATATGACTCACAATCATAGTGCTTGTTGCACCACCATGTCAGATTTCGTAGAACTTCCGATCACGTCGGGTTGGTCCATATATTGGCACGTCGCACTGCGCTATTTTCTGTATGTCTCGTGACGTAGCATTGTAGACTTCCTCCTGCAAACCCGACTCATGTATAACCTTCATCGGGACGGAAGCTTTACAGTACTTACGTTTGGTGCCATGTGGGAAATCCATAATTTTGCTGACTAAGCTGGCGCCAGGCGAGCCTTTGATCCATTATAGCTGATGCCAGGCGCTGCATAGCACTCAGCATCCCGTCCCCTCTATATAACTTGTGTTCGAGAGAGTTTTGCCATGGTTAATACCCCACTCCTGTCGAAGAGTCCCCCATGTCATCTCCTGATATTGACTCAAGACGCAGCTCGGACACCGCAGCCAACAGCTTCCTCAGCTCACGGCGTGGCAACATCGGTCCACCGCGAGGCAGATTCTTCAGCCCAGGTGGGCTTCACCATGACCGGTAAGCTCAGACTGCACCATAGGCGATGTTCTCTCACTCCATGCTTACCCCGCACTGGCAGACAAGATCGCAGTTCCAACCCACGATCGCACCCGTCGTTACGTGTCCTGGATTTTTGGATTCGAATTGGGATTACGATCCACGGCCTCCTCCATTTCACATACCTTAGATGCCCAATGCGACACCACCGTCCGGGGGGCATGGCGTAAATTTACCACTGCCTTGCTCAACACCTGGACTCGCTCTGCGTAAGAATGTTTAGGGATCATGTTGTAGGTCAGGGTCATCGTTAATACTGCTTGGTCCTTATGCTTGACGGTTTTGTGACCACAGACCAAGTGCAGTGCTTTCAAGATTCCAGGGCTACGGATCAGACGTTGCAATCATAGTGTTCAACATCTGCTGCTGCTGCTGCTGCCTTGTGTGCAAAGCACTGGTCTTGGTCATGTACCTACATCTGAACACCGTTCGGGAACGCCGACCTGGTCCAGAGGCGTCTCGTGACTGGTGCAAGTTGACGAAGCGTGACGCGACTTCCCTCTATGCTACAACTCCGATATGCTGGCGGATCTGGTACGTGCCTCATCTTGGTCGATCGAATGACCAACATAATCAATATCACATTGTATAGGGCGTACGTTACATTTGGGTTGGTCGTCGCTAGTCTTCTCTGGAGTGCCGCTTCCGAAGATAGGACTGTCGACGTCGTTGACGCGACACTCGAGTTCAATAAGAACGTCTCTGCCCTCGCCCATGAGGTTCTACAAGCCCTCCACTGCGGAAGCGCATTCTTCCTCAGCCGTGTCTCGCGTTCTCGTTACTGTCGTCGTTGTTATCGGGCTCTGTCATGTGGCCTTCATCGGCACGTATTCACAGCTCGGCTACTCTTTACCACACGAGGCCGAGTGTGAGCTTACTCGTGGAGGAGAGCGCTGTACTTGTGCGGCAGTCCATGAACGCCAATGTGAGTGCTTCCGCTTTGTCTGCATCCCCGCTTTTGCTAATGACTGTACCACCAAGCCTCTGTGGGGGCTATAGTTTGATGCATAATCTTGAACAGAAATTGTATAATTCCCATCGCGACAGGTCGATCCATACATCAGTATGTTGCTCTGCATTCTTTCCTCTATGTCTCGTAGTGTAGCATTAAATTATGGACTCCCTCCTTTCATTTGCGCGCCTGTCTCTGCGTTGTGGTCGGAAGATACAGCTCACTCCCCTCTTACGTCGCCCTTTGTCCTTGACAAATTCCAAAGAAGCTGTGATCCTGCAATGTCTTGCGCTCCCACTCGTCCCGCCCTACTTTGAGTCTGCTTTGGGCTCGCGGAGCTCACATCCACCTTCTGTATGTAGCACAGAGGGGTACCTGGGGGAGCTGTCGTGATGTCCTCGCCGCTTGTGCCCAGGCTTGCGTACTACAACTTTTAGAGATGAGCATCATGGCTGAACTTGCCTTGAAGCTGACGAGTGGAAGCTTCCCACCGCTTGGCGCCAAGCTATGCGGAATTGTGCTGACTAAGCGATTGGCATGCACTCATGAGCCGTTATGGCAGGTGTCGTTGTTTGAGCGGTTCGGCACCGCGATGTTCCGCGGCATCGGGCAGCGATACGGTATGCAATGCAAAGGTGGATGGGGTATCGTCATTACTTTTACGCCCTGTATTGTCTTCACACACGCTGATATCGCGAATGACTCGTTATAGGCTAGCGACGAACGACTAGAACGTTGAAAGGGTGCTCAGTCAGCAACGGGCTTTGTCAGCCCGACTCTCGTACGTACCGCATTGTCACTGCGTGCCCCTGTCGTAAAGTGTATCTACGCGGTCAAAGACGCCGTTGCGAATAAATGTATAAAAGGCATGGGTCGTTGTAGGCACTGGCATCCACTCACCCCCTAACCGACGCAATCACTTGCACCCATTGCTATGCCTTCCTACGTAGTTACTGGCGCATCGCGCGGCATTGGCGTACGCATTCTTCGTCCTGCTCTTCAAAGACGGGTCTGACACGTTGCGCACCCATAGCTCGAGTTCGTCCGTCAACTTAGCGCAAGCTCGTCCAACACTGTCTTCGGGCTCGTGCGCAACAAAGGTGGAGCACGGGAGCTGGTAGGCCTGTCCGGGGAGCGCACCAATGTCCGCATTCTCGAGGCCGACGTCACGAGCCCCGCGAGCCTCAAGGCTGCCGCAGCGGAGGTGGCGAAAGTCACGGGCGGCACCCTCGAGTACCTCATCAACAATGCGGCGTACGTGCAGATGGAGCGCAGGGAGTACGACTTGGTCAAATAGTAAGCAGTGTGACGTCTATGCTGCGTGCGGTTACTCACAGAAATGGTCGTAGCGCTGAGGAGAGCGAGGAAGACTTGCTCGAGAAAGACTTCAACGAGAATTTCAAAGTCAACGTCGTCGGTGTCATCCACACGACGAACGCCTTCTTGCCTCTTCTCAAGGCCGCTGCGGGCAAGTCCCTCGTGAAGGTCATCACCGTGAGCTCAGGCGTCGGCGACACTGGGCTCACGCTCGCAGCGCATTACAGCGCGCACGTGCCATACAGTGCGTCCAAGGCCGCCGTGAACATGATTGTCGCCAAGTATGCTGCGCAATTTGCGCAGGACAATATCATATTCCTCGCCATCAGCCCTGGGCTCGTCGATACCGCCACGCGTCCTCGTGAGTGGTGCAGCTCCTTTCATCGCTGGCCCGACGTGCTTACGTAGTGTGCAGCTACACCGGAGGAACTTGAGAAGATTGTCGCGTTCATAGAAGCCATGAAGCCCATTTATCCCGACTGGGACGGCAAGCCAATTACGCCTGAGCAGTCTGTAAAGCACGTCCTTAACGTGATCGAGAAGGCAGATCGCAAGGACACTGGCGCGTTTCTCTCGCATTTTGGGAACAAGAAGTGGCTCTAGAAAGGAGAAGAATGGAGGAGATCAGCTTGTATGATTTGGTTTTAGATTCAAGCGCTCACTGGGAAGTATATAGAGAATCGCTGAGTAGCTGTTGCCAGCTACCTGTCCTGTTCCACTCTAAGAGACATGCCAATGCGTTGAGCCAGCTAGGAGCGTGACGCACGACTGGTCGGAAGAAGGCTGTAAGGATAGCTTACGTTGATACACGGTCGAACGCTGCCGGGATCACATTCTGTGGTACTCCTACGATCCATACAATGTAGCTCCCAAGGATCCACGAGAGCATGCCGCACATGACGGCTTCGTTCGAATGCCCGCTGCTCGATAATGAGTCCAAGGGTTTGCTTATGCCGCGTCTTAAAGGCTAGTGTGAGAGTATCTGGCCTATAGAGGTGTCGCGCTCCGCCGGCTTGGAGAAAAGGTGCGCCCGTACCTTCTTCAGACACATGGTAAGTGGTGATAATCAGGAGAAGCAGGCCGTGTTGGCGGGATTCTTGGAGTGCGGTCCCGTCTGCTTCGTCATCTGCCGCAGTCCCTCGGCTTCTGTTGAGCGGCTTGGGTGAGCTGAGCCATGGAGAATGGCGGATGAGAACAAGTCCAGTAACAGGCGCTAACAGGCTCGGGGACTGAAGCGCGCACGACACGCTTTGAAGTGGACCACATCCCATTCAGTGAAGTACTAGATTTGTTTCCACCATTCGTCAGGCCTCGATGCCAAGCATTATGAACCTTGTCTATCGCCCTCTGTGTGGCGCAGGGTCAGGACTTCTGTAGCCATGTGCCAGCGCGCCGCGGTCCGCTCTAGATCTCTTATGCATTACGAGTCTTCTCTTCCATACCTCTCCGCGGCCATATGACCATTGTGACCTCGTACTATTTAATCCCAGGATGCATCTACCTGGCTGCCCAAGGCCTCAGTCTACTCGTGTAGCAGCTTGGCCCAACCACAATGCGTCTGAGCTCTTTTTTCCCGCTGCTAGTCTCCCTGGCCTCCCTCAGCAGCGCCCGCATCTTCAGCGGGAGCGCGATGCAGGGGCTCGAGGACGCCGCGAACTTCCAGGTCGAGCAGCGCCAGCGCATGCGCAGCTTCCTCGGGCCTCCCCAGGCCCCCCTCGAGCCGGAGCTGCAGAAGCGCGAGCCGATTATCACTTTCAAGAACCCCAAGGCGCAGCAGTTCCACGTTGATGGAACTAAGATTCCAGACGGTTAGTATGCTGTCGGATTGTGGATGTGATTTTAGTCTGATGCGTCTGTACAGTGAATTTCGACGCGGGTGATTCGTGGTCGGGGCTCATGCCCATCTCGGGGGACCCCAACGAAACGAGGAAGCTGTTCTTCTGGTATACAGCCTGTCTCCACAGCGTACCTTTCGCCACTCAATATACATCGTTAGGTTCTGGCCTACGACGAACGCGTCAAACAAAAACGATCTCTTGTTTTGGACGAACGGTATGGACGCCGCCGTCCATGCATGTATTTCTCATATTGATGGGCATGTTGCAGGTGGTCCGGGATGCTCCTCGCTGGAGGGTTTCCTGCAAGAAAACGGTCCCATCTGTACGCAGTATCCTAGACCCTTATTTTCTATGTCTGACCATCATGGCTTCCGTTTAGCGTGGTCTTGGGGACAAGCGGAGCCCACGCCGTACGCCCACCAGCTCTTTAAAATTTTAGGTGCATGGAACTGACTGGGTGCCGTCAGAAATAAATGGGCCTGGACCCAACTCGCGAACGTCGTCTGGGTCGAACAACCGGTCGGAGTACGTCCTTTTTGCATGGTATTTTATCGGAGCGTAACAAGTGACGACGGTCCCCAGACTGGCTTTTCTCAAGGAACACCAAACATCACCAACGATGACGAGCTGGCAGCGCAAGTCTTCGGTTTCCTCGGGCAGTTCCTGGACGTCTTCGAAGAGCTGAAGGGCAGCGATTTCTGGCTGAGCGGGGAGAGCGTATGTTCGTTTATTATCTGCGAAAAATAGCTGCTCACACCGAGCCTGCAGTATGCTGGCTTCTGTAGGCGTATCCCGCTCTGACTGCCACTGCTCGCTCAATTTTTTTCCAGATGTCCCCTACATTGCCAACTACATCTACGAACACCCGGGGCTCGACCTCAATCTGCACGGCATCTCGATTGCGGACCCTTCTCTGTCCTGGGACCTCGTCCAGCAAGAGATCCCTGCGCTCCGCTTCGCACTCGCACACAAAGATCTCTTCCCGTTCAATGCGTCCTTCTACGCGCACCTTCAAAACATCTCGGACGCGTGCGGGTACACTGACTACCTCGATTTTGTGACGTACCCGCCGAAAGGGCAGCTGCCTCTTCCTGCAGGCGCGACGATCGACAACGTGACGCTCGAAGTTGGCGTGTCGGCAGACTGCAGAATGCACAGCCCGATCCAGCAACAAGTGTCGATGTGAGCTGCTCCGTCTCTCTGAGCACGGTACACCACTAATACCAGGGCGCGCCACACAGCCTGAACCCCGCGTTCGACGTGTACCGCGTCTCGGACACGTGGCCGACGCTCTGGAGCGTGATCGGCTTCCCGGAGTCGACGCAGGAGTTCGTGTACTTCAACCGGACGGACGTCCAGGACGCGATCCACGCGCCGCACATCGTCTGGGAAGACTGCACCTCGGGGAGCGTGTACACGAACGCGACGGGCAACGGCCCGGGGCGCGACACGAGCGTCGCGTCGATGCTGAGCGTGATGCCGAATGTGATAGAGAAGAGCGTGCGCACCGTCGTCGTGCACGGCCTCGCAGACTTCATCCTCGTCGCGGAGGGCACGCGCATCGCGATCCAGTACGCATTTTTCGTTTCCTGTGCGGACTGTTTTGTGGTCGTCTGATGTTCACTGCAGAAACATGACCTGGGACGGCCTGCAGGGCTTCCAGACGCCGATCGAAAACGATTCGTTCATCGTCGACAATATGGGCAACTTTGGGACCTTGCACCAGGAGCGCGGTCTTACCTGTCAGCCTTTACCGCTCATCTTGTTTCCCCAAGCTGACCTGTGGTCTGCTGTAGACATTGAGTTTTCGTACAGTGGGCATATGACTCCTCGTAAATCCTTGAATTACTCTTGACCCAGCACAGACTAACAAAGCGATTGTAGAATTCGTTCCTTGGGCCGCGTTCCAGGCCATCTCTTTCCTCCTTGGAAAGCGTGACTCTCCCAATGGTACATTCTGAGACCGAATCAGAGACAGACAGAAGGCCAGTCACGTTTGACATTCGTTTTGCGCCACACTTGCTTCGGCCTCCTTCGAACGTTTCGCGGACGGCAGGCGCCATCCACGTTTCCGTTTGGAGTACACAGCTTGAACGGACCAGAGTTCCAAAGATAGCATATGTCTGAGGACTGAAAGGCAATGTAACATTGATGTCAGGATACGGTGTGATATAACAGTCTGATAAATCACAGCATGGCAAAACGAGCGATAGCACAGTGCAATAACGGTGTCGTATGTCTACAAGCGAAACCCGAAACAAGCCCCAAACCCACACGAAAACAGGAACGAAACAACATCACTCAAATCGTGAGCCCGGCGCAGCCAGACCTTGAACGGGGTTCAGATGTCGGTACACCAGATCTCAAGCCTACCCTCAGGCTTGCCCTTGGCGCTCTCCTTGGCGGTCTCGATCGCGAGCTCGTAGTCCATCTCGTCGCGAAGCGTGACGCGCCCGTCGTCCTCGTCTTTGAACTTCATGCCGAGTCCCTCGAACGAGCGGCCAAACTTGGAAGTGATGCGCTCGATAAACTCCTCGAACGGCATCTGCGCGTCGATCGCCATCCCGCGCACGTCGTCCTGGTAATGCAGCTGTTCAGACGCGAGAGGCGCGGAGGCGCAGTCAGTAACCCTAAGACGTCTCTGATATGTTGCGTGGAAACATGCAACGCACCTTGACGCGGATCTTAGTCATCTCGTACGGCCCGTCCTCGTAGTCACCGCTTGCATAGCCTTCCTCCTCCTCTTCGTAGTACGTGCTGCGCGCTGGCGCGCGGTTCACCCGTTTCGTCGTCTTCCGGCGCAGCGTGCCCGGGGCGCTCGGTGCGTATGACGACGGCGCGGTCGAGCGGGACCGTTGCGGCGGGTTCGCGTTGTTGCGTGCCCAGTTGGCGACGCGGTCGGCAGGGCGGGGCTGTGAGTTCGGAACAGGCGGAATGTCCTCGGTGCCTCCGTACGCGTTGATGTAGTCATCATAGAATTCGGTCATGCGTACGCTGTCTTGACGAGAAGGAGCAGACGGGGGTGGGGGGCGGCTCGAGCCAGCAATAAGCGGAGCGGTATTGGTGAGCGGTGCGGGGGCACGCTCGCCTGGACGACGCATGCTGAGACTACGGCCAGGTCCAGCAAGTGGTGGACCTTCGCCCGGTCCGCGGGCAGGAGACGTAGGGTTCGAAGCAGGCGAGCTCGGTCCCGAGTTCGCCCCACGAATGCGATCGCGAGCGTCGGAGGGGACGCTGATAGTAGTCTTAGCTCGCTGAAGAGTCGGCTGTGGCCTGTCTTCATCTGGTACGGTCGGGCCTAGAGGAAAGGGTAAGTCACGACGATAGGTCGCAAAGTCGATGTATGCGCAACGCACGCGACGTAACCGCAACAGTAACTGAACGGCTGAGGTTGCCAGCGGGAGCGTCCTCGAGACGAACGCCCTGGGGTGAAATACCCTGTTTCATGCGAGCTACACCGGAGAACTCTGTGTATACTTCGTTTTCATCAGATGTAGCCACAAGTTTCTAATTGCAAATTGACAGTGAGTGGACAAAACGGATAGCATGAGAGGAATACTAACGGCCTTGCCAAGGTAGTCCTTGGTCTTGGCGTTCTTGATCTTGGATTCGGAGGGCCGGTAGAGCATGCCAACGGGCTGAAGGCGTTCAATAAGTCGGAGACGATGTGGTTGAGGTGCTACTTACAATGCTAAAGACAGTGTATCCCTCTCCACGGTCGGCGAGGGCATCGTCAATGACATTGTGCTCGTCTGTCGACTTCTCCTTCTTCGCCTCCTCCATGATAGACAAACCCTTCTCCAGATCGCCAAGATAGATTTGGCATAGACCTTTGTTGAACATAACTTCCGCGGAATAGAGCTTGAACTTCAGGCCGAGTTGTTCGTAGTTGATGTTCTCGTTGCCACGAAGGTAGAGGAGAGCGCCGTCAAAGTCTCTGAAAGCGAGGTCGTACCGCTGCAGAAGAAAGTTGGAGACACCACACTGGAAGTAGGCAACAGCGAGGTATGTATCGAGTTGGGTTGCAGCGATGAACTGCTCGACGGCGGCTTCGTGCTCGCCTATGGTGGCATAGATGAGTCCCATATTGGTGAGAATCTTGGACGAGTCTGCGATCTGCGAGAAGAGTTCGAGGGACTTTTCGAAGTCGCCTTCGTCGTAAGCCTTGAGGGCGGCGGCCCATGTCTCGAGCTCGGCCTTCAGTGACATTGCACACGATGCTCAGTGTTAGTGGAGCGGTCTAACGAATTTGAGTGATGCCGAAAGGACTGTGAGGGGTGTGATTTAGAGGCGTTCCAGACGCGGATGGTTAAAATAGTAGCTGCGCAACAAGCACCTGGCTCGGCGTAAAGAAAATCGAAAGGAAGGAGAAAGTGGAGGAAAGTGGTGGCCGAAAGCGAGACCTGGGCGGACCTCTGCAGACGCGGCTGATATTTGAGGGAATGATCTTGATGGCGGCCAATGCACAGGAAAAGATGGCAGTGTCAGCCAAACACGATGTCCAAAATCTCGAAGATGTCCGCGACAGCCTGCTCGTCGTCGACGACGAGGTCGATGGGAGGGGGGCACAGAGTTGCGCCTGTCACCGGTCATGCCGGTGTTTATATGGCAACTTTTGTTTCCACGTCCGGCCTCAAGGTCACTGCGTGCCTCGTATGCTCTCATGGCATCTCTTTATGACCGCCCATTGTTACAAGACAGCATGCACGATTGCTGTAGTACGAACGTCGGTCCCATCGCCTTGACGATGGGCGGCGAAGTAGAAGCCCCCGCCTCGAGGCCAGTCCAGCTAAGTACAGCAGAAACCGCAGTCCCACGAAGGTTCGGCGCAGGAAGTACCTGGCCAGCCATCTGTAGCGCCAACTGGAATATAATATGAGACAGGACCATGGCCAGCCCCTTAGATGTCAGGCCCCGACGAATCGCGGACTCTTCGAGCAGCATCTCGTCCTTACTGGAGCAGATAGCCTTGGAGCCTCGACACAAGGCCATCTGCTGTTGTAGGGATGAAGCGTCGCGCGCGATGCCTAGTATGCTCCTCTGATACTCACGATACTGTCATTACCGCTCGTCTCTATAGCGACGGATATTTGTTGTGTTTTACAAGTCCCCCGCACGCGGCGCCCTTGTGGCAATAGGGCTAGCGCTTCGGGCCCGAAGGTGTGCAAAACTTTGACCATGCCGTGCCAAGTAAAGATATAGATCTCGATGATTGCTACGGCCAATAATAATGTAGCCATGACATCTAGGCAGCGTCTTGACATATGCTCCATGACCCTGTCATAACTAGCTCCACGCTTAGACATGATAATGGGAGTGCTCAGCACCTTGGGGGCATGGCTCGGGCTGGTTAACCAAGTACAGTGCATGCATCTCCCATCAATAGTCCCGTCAGTTTGCATAACTACCAACGCCAAGTATTTCCCACGGAAGACCGGGTACATTACCCCGCAAGTCCTCGAGTTACCACTCACAAATAGTAGCGGCACATCCTTTAATCGCGCTCGTCCAGGACACCTGCTTGTGCAATATCATATCGTTAGCTCTCGACATATCCAAATCCTCATCTATTTGATTATATCGCACGTCGGTATGGTTATTCTGCAGTCTGACATACTTCGCAGGGACGTCACTTGCTCCCTTGCATTTAAACCACATATAGGCCGTAAGGCGCGAGGATTATTTGCCCCCTCACAAGACCGAGATGCATGCGAAGACGCGGGTTCCTGTGCTTTCCCGTCATACCCGTGATGGTCGTCTTACTTCAGCGTGGAGACGGTCAAATCACGACTGTATACTTGGGACCAGCGGTCGTACAAAATGTGTAATACGAGACAAGAAAGGAGGCACGCCGCATGAGGAACTGGGCTCGCTTTAATCTCGAGATTCAAGCCAATCCTCGTCGCTTTCCGATTCTTCTTCTGGCCACGAGTATTCTTCCTCGTACCAGCTTTCCACATGATCATAGACGCCGCCAAGTCCACAGTAATGCTCAAGCTGACAGTGTGGCACAGACAGATTAATCTTGATGGCCAGCTCAAAGTCGATCGCTCTCCAGCGATGGACCTTCTGCGTGAATGGAGATGGAAGTGAAGGAAGACTTGACGAAGTGTCGGGAGCCTGCAGGATATTCTCCCAGCGAATGTCTTCGACATCTTGTTGGGGGAGTAAATCAAGCAAGCAACGAACAGACAAATAAAGCAGAAGCTTACTGTTAATGCAAAGGTGCGCCATGTCTTCGAACATGCTTTCAAGATCCTCCCTGCAAAGAAAGAGCACGTGAGAGGCGCTTCTCGACTGACGGGGCACTGCTTACTTTGTCTCCTCAGATAGTTCCTGCCCCAGAGGAAGTTGAGGTCCAAGCTTCTCCAGTATGGTCACGGCGATGATATCGCGTCGCTGGCATCGCTCTGCCAGTAGCGGGTGGAGAGGTCCCATCATCTGGTCCCTGCTGAGAACGAGATTCTCTTCCCCATCGTCTTCGGGGCGATATTTCTTCGCCACAGCGAGAAGTTGCCGCCTCACGTCAGAGTCTTCGGGAACCTCAGTCTCGAAGTAGCCGTAGCATCGGGGAATGCTGACACCCTGGATGCACTCCATGTCGTCGTAGAACCAGGCCTCACGAAGCAGGGAGGTGACGCGATTGATGCGCGCAACCTTGACCACCAGAGGGGGAACGACTACATCGGAGGGTGCACTAGATAGCTGGACGTCTCTTAGATCGAAGACGATACTGGAATGGCCATGTCCAAGGTATTCGCCCAGCGACGCATGTAGGTGTGCGTTCCCGGGAGGAGGCTGCTTGGACGGAGGACGCGGTGGCATATCTACAAATCCGTTTCCCTTACAGGTGCTAGGGTCACGAATGGCCGGCTTCAAGAGGTTCAGTGGGACCTCCCTTCGCTGGAGTTGGGTTGTGAGCGAGCCCGCCTGGGGATTCTTCCGCGTGGGGAACAAGCCCGTGAGGGTGACGGTGGCGATGGCGTTGAAGGCCTATACGTGATCTCGACATAAAAGAATAATCGTAAGGAGTATTCGAGAACGAACTTACCAATGTCGCCATTGTGGCGCGTGGCTAGCAGGACGCGTTGAGTAGGGCTAGAGATGTCAACTCGGCTTTCCCTTTATAGGTGCCAGCAATCAGCCAGCGCCTGGAGAACGCTTTCAGCGCTTCAGCCTTTCGTCGGGCCAACCTCCAGGCCTCAGATTCCATCATGGTGGAACAAACCGGGATTCTAGACATCTCGAGAGACAATACTGTTTGCTAAAATGGAAACAACGGGGCCGAACGAGAAACTAAGTAGGTATTGTTCTTATCCGTCCAGGATCAATAATACCCGACTTGTTAACGTTGAAGCTGACTGAAACTCGCTGCAATAGTCCTAGTACATCGCAGCACCGCTCTTACTTCTCCATGGCTCATAGAATCGGCACGTGTTGTACATCACTTCCACAGCAACATCGCGAGACTCCGATCTCAGGTCGGCGTGTCGCACACAAACATTTTCCCTGAATGATGCTATTGTCTCCCACAGAACAAAGATCAACGGTCCAGGGACCACCCATATGCTCCGAAAAAACTGCGCTCTTGTCCTGCCTAAAGTCATCCTTACGGGCGGAGATACTTCCAGCCGCCTATTTGCTGACAACTGCTCAACAAGCAATCTTTGTGTAACAATGACCGGATTCGCAGATCTTCCCGGATCAATATGCCATAAACATCGGTATAAAATAATCCTCTAGAGCGGGCGATGGCTCACACAAGTACTCTACCTCCATCTTCACAGTGAGCAAGCCTCCCTTACCTCACCATCTCTCTCACTCTCGACATATTCATCACCCTGAGGGTAGGGGTTATGGCCGCCAAGAGACTGTTGTTCTTGCCGGATCGGACGCATAACTGGGCGAACCATCCAAGCCACAGCGCTGCGGACTATCCAATTGCACCTGGGGGGGCCGCCCTTTTCCCATTCCCGCCGCCTACGGTATTCGATGCACAAACCAACCAGCTTGGACCGATGTTACACGTTCCATTGAAGCCAAAGTCTCTTGCCGGCTCACCTTTGCGGGCTCGCTTCTCCTCCACAAAGCCGACGCCAGCAATAGATGCTCTTGGTGCGAAGATGGGCGGTATCCTAAACATCAAGCACTGTGCTACGTTCGCCGACCACCTTATCCGCTACGCTCATGCAGAGTCGCAGCACCTGCAGGAGATGCAGGTCACCACTTATCCCGAGCAGACTATGCGCTCGTCCTGGTCCGCTGATCGCACTGTGCACAATGCGACACTTCCTACCGCCGCAACCCAATGCGCTGCAATAGATCGGCTGGCGGCACAGTACGTAAACCTGAGCGTCGGGAAGTCCGTGTCACTCAACAGTGAATTGTCAATGCTTATTGACGCACATCGCGAAATCCTTGACCTGGTGAATGCGTGGATGCAGGTACGTTACCCTCTTTTCCAGAGGTTTGTCAGAGCGATAATCTAATAATCATGCCAGACCCGCTACGAGAGAGACGGAAACGATCCTACGCCTTGATGCAGCCGCAACTGGTGGTTCTCTCGTGCTAATGCAAACCAACACCAGGCTGTGCGTAGATCCATACCTTACCCCCTTTGGGGCACTCCCTGTCGAGAGGATACGAAAAAGGGACTTGTATCTGAAGGCTGGTCAGGCGACGCTGCAGTGGCCGATATTGCCCTATATGCCATGCCTAACGTTATAGCTGCTGTCGGTGAGGCCAAAGCACCATGGTCATCTGCCCTCGTACGACAGGGCGGGCTTCTCAAGGCGTTCGAGCTCTATGCAAAGAACAACGGTGTTTACGAATGGGACCCAGTATTCAACACGCCTGTTGCAGATAATAGTGCAACGAGACTCATCCGCCAGGTACTGTACCGTGCTTTCTCCTGTTGTTTCAACCCTGACTCATACCGCAGATATGGAGCGAGCTATGGGCGGCCAAGTGCCGCCTTGGAGTGTACATAGATGGGAACTTCGTCATGTTCTACGCTAGAACCGATGAAAACGAGCTCACATTCTCTAATATCCTCAACTTGCAAGACGTCTGTGTGCACAAGGCCGTCATGGGACTCAGTCTCGCAGCAACAAACTCTGTCCTCTGCGTTCCTCGTAACGCCGGTGATTCGAAGCAAGCGTATATTGCTGCAATCGAGCAAAGCATGCAAGATATCCTGAAGTCTGTCTGTCCGGAGAACGAGCGGTTTCCTCAGTATCCAGTACCTCCACCGGCTGACCCGCCAGCTGCTCCCGCACAAGCCCTGTCCCCAGGTCCGCTGGCTGCCCCTGCGCAACCTCCAGTTCCGGTTCCGCCAATTCCCAGCCCTCTTCCCGCTCCCGCGCAGCACCAAGCGCCGCCTGTGATTCCACAAATTCATACTCAGGATCAGCGTTCGGCTGAAGGACCGGCGGGAACTGGTCCGTCTACATCCCAGCAAGGTCAGAGTGAGGCGCATCAGGAGCAGCCGGAGGCTGGTCCATTCATGCCCAAACAAGGCCGGAGCCGGCGTCCGACCCCAGCACAGGCGCATACCCCACCTCCTGCCGATCCCTAGGCGTGTGTTGACGGATGACTCGGCTGAATGTAACGAGAAGCGCTTTGACCTTCGTCTACTTCACTTCCAGATGCCCTATCGGCCCATTTTGTACACTAGTACGCATACTGCGCGCGATAATGATATGCCTTGAACTCTGAGCGGGCGAAACGACAACGTGTGGTCTTGGCAAGTAGAGGATTGGCTGAGTGAGTATTCGCACTACCTCCTACTCTATGGTCAAGCATGAGGCATCATGCCACCACCGAGAGAAGAAGAGGAGCTAGGCGGCGTAGACAGCGTTCTACTGGCCTTCTTACAAACCATGTCGCGGCACACAGATATATCCCAATCTCAAGGAGGCATATTGGACTCTCCTGTGTCGCAAAATCCGAAATTGCCTCATGAGATAGCCCGCCTCGAGCTGCCTCGGCACTCCTGGCTGAAGCCTCGTGATGCCATCATGAGTGCTCCCTGAGCCAATGGGAAGCCTTTACGGACACCTGTGAGAACAAAATACCCTTCCGGGAAGGCTTCTCACGGTTAATCTAGCTCCCTCGGGCTCGCTCAAGCGCTTCTCGTGTGAATCTCACGAGGATAGCGTTTGCCTCGCGAGGCATCGTGAGCCAGCGCTAGTCCAACCCATTATAAGGCATCACGTTGCCTCATGGGTCGGCGTTAAAAGTTGTGACAATTGCCAATGGAACTTGCCACAGGGCGCAGATCAGATGCGGTATAGCACGAACGGATTCACAAACTAGGCCTGCGAACCAACTTCACAGTTTTAGTAGAGACCGTACCGTCATTTTTACATCTTAAAATCTACAGTGTGAAATAGATACACCTTACAACAAGTTACGCACCCTTCAAAGCTTTTTGGCAGCCTTGACAAAAGCCCGAACCTTCTCGAGGTCCTTGCCCGACCCATCCCCGAGTTCGACACCACCGCTCACATCCACCGCCCAGGGTGCGACAACGTCGACCGCCTCCGCGACATTCTCCGGGGTGAGCCCTCCGGCAAGGATGACCGGCATCGGGTACAACGCCTCGCCGTTGTGCAGGCCCAGTGCGGGCCCGTTATCCTGCGCAGACCTCGCGGCACCGATCTCGCCCTTGCGGACGACACTCTGCGCAAGCTCCCAGTCGATCTTCGTGCCCGTGCCGCCGCTGAGGCCGTTCGCGCTGCCGGGGAGCACCGCATCAAGCAGCACGAAACTGTTGAGGCCCGGTCGCGCGAGGTCGTCTAGCCCGCGGCCGTCCGCGCCCACATGGAACGCGCGGATGACGGGCACCGGGATGTGCTTCGAGAGCTCGGCGGGCTCGGAGCCGTGCAGCTGAACGAGGTCGAGCTTCGCGGAGGCGACAGCGTCGAGGATGACCGAGAGCGGCTGGTTCTGGAAGACGCCGACCAGTAAGGGACGGGCAGGCGACTCACCGGCCAAGGCTGCCCGGAGCCGGTTGGCGTGCGCAGTGAACCAAGGTTCGTTCTCTAGTCTTTCATCCGACGTTATGACAGGCTTGGAGAGCCGGCGCGAGTGGATAGCAGACGCGATCTGCTGTGCTTTCTCAAGCGAGACGTAACGCTTGCTCTTAGGTACGAACATAAGGCCGAGCATGTCCGCACCGGCCTCCGCCGCAGCGAGGGCTTCTTCCTCCGTACGGATACCACAGATTTTAACGAGGGGAGCAGTCTCCTTGCCTCTGCCCTCTGCCTCGGGTTCGGGAATGCTGAGCAGCTGGCGAATAAAAGCGCGGGTGTCGGATGCCCGCATGAGCGACTCGCCGACGAGAACGGCGCCAACACTCTGCTCAACGTACATTTTAACGTCCTTCGAGTCCTTGATACCACTGAGCGCGCAGAGGATGACGTCGCGCTCGCGAACCATCTCAGCGAGGCGCGTGGTCGTGCCCATGTCGACATTAAAGTCATGCAAATTCCGGTTGTTGACGCCGATGACCTTGGAACCAAGCTTGAGCGCGATCTCCATCTCCTTAGCATTGTTGACCTCGACAAGAGGCTCCATGCCGAGTGACTGAGAGTAGGCGTACAATTCCTCAAGACGCTTCTCAGTGAGGGTGGCAACGATGAGTAGGATTGTGTCTGCGCCATGAAGGCGAGCTTCGTCGATTTGATACTCGTCGATGATGAAGTCCTTACGGAGAATGGCAGGGCGGTTGGGCAGACTATCGATGGCCTGGCGTGCGAGCCTCATATCTAAGAGGGATCCCTTGAACCAACTGGGCTCCGTGAGGACCGAGATGACCGACGCGCCAGCAAGCGCATACGTGAGAGCCTGCTGTGCGGCATTCGCGTTCATAGCGATCGGGCCCTTGGACGGGCTAGCTCGCTTGACCTCCGCCATCAGGGCGGGCTTGACTTCAGCGGCCCTGAGTCGGTTGGGGAAGGAGATCTGCGGAGGCGACAACTTCATCGATAGAAGGGTCTTCAGATCCTCAGGCTTGATTCCCGGGGCCACCTTCGCCTGCTCGATATCTTTCTGGCGCTGTGCACAAATCTTCTCAAGGATGGTAGGAACCTTCGCAGACGTAGGTGCTGGTGGCAGAACGCCGGCTTCAAAGGGAGGAAGCGACGAATCCAAGACTCGGAACTCAGCGTTCTCCTCCCACGTGCCGCCCTGGAGTTTCATAAAATTTCGCAGGAGATCGTCTCCAGACTCTGAGAGGATACTCTCGGGGTGATATTGGACAGCTTCTACGGTGTATTTTCGGTGGCGGACACCCATGATGACTCCGCTCTGCTCGGTGACAGCGGTGACAGCGAGCTCGTCGGGAAGGGTCTTGATACTCGCGCTCAGAGAGTGGTAACGCGTGGATTGGATGCCTTGCGGGATGCCCTTAAAGCATCCACGGCCGTCATGGCGGATCCCGCTAACTTTGCCGTGCATGATCTCTCCGGCGTAGCTGAAATGACCAATTACGAAACGTCTCTCATTCAAAAGGTACTTACTTACGCAATCTCTCCTCCAAAAACATCTACAATGCATTCAAGACCCATGCAGACACCCATAATCGGGATCTTTCCCGCGAAATACTTGATCACCTCGCGCGAGATACCAGAGTCTGAGTGAGGGTGACCGGGCCCCGGAGAGACTATGAGACGCTTCATGCGAAGCTGAGGAATGGCAGAGGCGGGAATAGCATCGTTTCTGATTACTGTGACATCGGCACCCAGAAGGCAAAGCGACTGGTAGAGATTCCAGGTGAAGGAATCAAAATTATCAATCACGAGGATGTCGATGGGGACGCAGAGGTGTGGTGGGAGAGACATAGCGGCAAGAAACAAGGGGGAAATGATCTGTGGCCTTCAGGAATGTCTGCGCAGTACGAGCTATATATCTGCGAGGACGGTGATTGTTTCAGTCACACCATATGGATCGATTGGATCGAGCCAGAGCCGTCGGTGACTCACTTGAAACGAGCAAATCTTCCACCTGTCTGGCGAATAAAGAACACCTCCAGCAGGCCAGTCTTCCCCACCACGATTCCGAATAATGAATCGTGCTGTGGAGATGGCGGAAGGAACGAAAGACGCGAAACGCGAAGCGACTCGGCGAAAGCAAGTCAGGACCAATATGGGCGTCTACGAGGTGCTGCGCGCCAGGTCCGTTACGCGGATGTAGATGGTCGTCAGTCCCGGTCGCGAGTCTCACCGCACCTTCCTCGCTTTCGCTCACGAGCTCGCCGTCGGTGACGATGAGCGACGACTTTCTACGTCTGGTCTCACAAGCAAACCCCGCAGCGCGAACTCAGTATCAGCCCGCTAACGGCGGATATCCCCCTTCCACCTCCAACGCATTCCACAACACGTCCGATTCAGCGCAGCTAGACCCATTCTTCGACGATGAAGACGACATACCGGACTCGGCTTTCGGTATGGGGAGGTCGGAAGCTATGCAGTCCAAGGAGAGCGGGCTCCCCTTGGCCAAGTCCGGTGCTGCTCCGGCTGGAATGCAAATAGCCTCGGACGGCGACATCCTGCAGGACTGGGACGACGAGGTTCAGCAGCCCCCTCCCCACACACGGCCGTTCCCCGGCTCGACACAATCCTCAGCAAGTGGTCCTACACAACCACGTGGAAAAGCTCCGAGGAAACCTTTCAAATGGAAGTGGCCATGGAAGAAGGACGAGAAAGTCCTAGAGGGAGAGCGTATCGTTGCGCTCAACAACTCCGTTGCGAACTCAGACTATTGCTCGAACTTCGTCTCGACAAGCAAGTACAACGCCGTTACCTTTCTGCCAAAATTCCTGTTCGGTACGTCCACCTCCATTGATACCAAGTGTGACATGTTCTGAGGTTAAGTCTCGCCAGAGCAATTCTCGAAGTACGCCAACCTGTTCTTCCTGTTCACTGTTTGTATACAACAAATACCTGGAGTCTCTCCCACCAACCAGTACACCACCATCGCTCCACTCGCGGTGGTACTACTCGCCTCCGCCATCAAGGAGTTCCAGGAGGACCTTGTGCGTCCGTCCCCTCTCGTCAGTATCTCACAAATCTCACACCATGCAGAAACGCCACCAATCCGACTCTGAACTGAATGCTCGGAAAGCGAAAATTCTTCAACCAGACGGCACATTCGCTGAAACAAAGTGGAAGACTATCCGGGTCGGCGATGTCATCCGTATGGAAAGCGACGACTTCATCCCTGCAGACGTGCTTCTACTCAGCTCTAGTGAACCGGAAGGCTTCTGCTACATTGAGACCTCCAACTTGGATGGGTACGTCACTCTACTCAGTCCTGCACTGCCACTCATTATGTCCGACCCAAAAGCGAGACGAACTTGAAGATTAAGCAAGCGTCTCCGCAGACTTCACACTTGACGTCCCCCCACCTTGTCAATCAGCTACATGGCACCCTCCGTTCGGAGCATCCCAACAACTCGCTTTACACGTATGAAGGCACTCTTGAACTCCAGGACAGCATGGGTATGCCGAAAACGATCCCGTTAGGCCCTGACCAAATGCTTCTCAGAGGAGCACAGATCAGGAACACGCCATGGTTGTACGGCTTGGTGGTCTTCACTGGGCACGAGACAAAGTTGATGCGCAATGCCACGTATGTCTCTAAAATTAGCTGTGACGGCAGTTACTCACCGCCCTTACAGTGCCGCTCCTATCAAGCGAACCGCAGTAGAGAAGCAGGTCAACCTCCAAATTGTCTTCCTGTTCGGTTTCCTCCTTGCTTTGTCTCTTGGGTCGACAATTGGCAGCAGCATCCGAGCAGTGAGCTTCACCCTAGACAGCCGCTTACTACCAGTTGCTGACTATCATCCACAGTGGTTCTTTGCCGATCAGCAATGGTACCTCGTGGAATCGACGTCTATAAGTGGCCGAGGTGAGCTATTCAAATATGTGACAAAAATGACACGCTGATTCCTCGCTAGCGAAAACGTTCATTGAAGGTCAGATCTCCTGGCGGGCACGAGGTTGGCGTCCGTATACTAAATTGACCCTTACGCGTTAGACATCCTCACCTTCATCATCTTGTACAACAACTTAATCCCGATTTCGCTCATCGTCACAATGGAAGTTGTCAAGTTTCAACAGGCGCAGCTCATCAACTTTGACCTCGACATGTACTACGCCAAGACGGACACGCCCGCGCTCTGCCGTACGTCGTCGCTCGTCGAGGAGCTGGGCCAGATTGAGTATGTCTTCAGCGACAAGACCGGGACCCTCACGTGCAACGAGATGGAGTTCCGCTGCTGTAGCATCGCAGGCGTCGGCTACGCGGACGTCGTCGACGAGAGCAAACGCGACGAGGACGGTAAAGACGGGTGGCGCACATTTGCGGAGATGAAGACCCTCCTTGAGGGCGGTTCGAACCCCTTTGTCGACGTATCGCCGTCGCCCGGATCAGAGCGTGAGATCGTTGACGAGTTCTTGACGCTCTTGGCAGTTTGTCACACTGTCATTCCTGAGAACCGGGACGGCAAGATACATTACCAGGCGAGCAGTCCGGACGAGGCCGCCCTTGTTGCGGGTGCGGAGCTGCTTGGCTACCAGTTCCACGTACGCGCTCTCTCATGGAGATTGTCCTGGCCGAAGGCTAATAGCAGCATAGACCCGGAAGCCGAGATCCGTGTTCGTCAGTGTCAGGGGCAAAGACTACGAGTATCAGATTCTCAACGTTTGCGAGTTCAACTCAACGCGGAAGCGCATGTCGACGGTCGTCCGTTGCCCCGATGGCAAGATCAAGGTCTTCACCAAGGGTGCCGACACGGTCATTCTGGAACGTCTCGCGGAGAACCAGCCTTACACCGAGAAGACGCTGCTTCATCTTGAGGTACCTTTCATATCTGTTCATGAATCCGTGAGTTCTAACCCTGTGCACAGGACTACGCTACAGAAGGCCTCCGGACACTCTGCATTGCCTCGCGGGATATCCCCGAGAAGGAGTACCGTCAATGGGTCACGATCTACAACGAGGCGGCTGCGACGATCAACGGCCGTGGCGAGGCTCTGGACAAGGCGGCTGAGCTTATTGAGAGGGATTTACTCCTGCTCGGGGCAACTGCTATTGAGGATAAGCTCCAAGACGGTGTGCCCGATACGATCCACACTCTGCAGATGGCTGGAATCAAGGTCAGGTGCTGACGAGGGTTCTCCTTACTTGCTCTAACCAACGCGCGCACGGCAGGTCTGGGTTCTTACCGGCGACCGTCAGGAGACTGCGATCAATATCGGGATGTCGTGCAGGCTTATCTCCGAATCCATGAACTTAGTGAGTAGGAAGTAGGCGTCAAATGCCATGCTGAACTTACGTCGTGTGACCAGGTCATCATCAACGAAGAGACGCAGCACGACACGTATGAGTTCATCACGAAGCGATTGTCGGCAATCAAGAACCAGAGGAATACAGGAGAACTCGAAGACCTCGCGCTGATCATTGGTATGTGCAAGTGTGCGTCATGATCAACTTGTTAATCACCTGGTTTAGACGGCAAGAGCTTGACCTGGGCACTGGAGAAAGATATTTCGAAAACTTTCCTTGAGCTTGCTATCACGTGCAAGGCTGTAATTTGTTGTGAGCCCATTCCTGGTAAGATGTGGACGAGGGTACTGAAACGACCCACGCAGGCCGTGTGTCTCCGTTGCAAAAGGCCCTCGTCGTGAAGCTGGTAAAGAAAAATCAGAAGTCTCTGCTTCTCGCCATTGGCGACGGCGCAAACGATGTTAGTATGATCCAGGCGGCGCATGTCGGTGTCGGTATCTCTGGTCTTGAGGTTAGCATCTTGCTCTTCAGCGAGATGGCTGCAGCTGAAGTTGTCGCAGGGCCTGCAAGCAGCACGATCTGCAGATTTTGCCATCTCCCAATTCCGGTACCTCAAGAAGCTATTGCTAGTGCACGGTGCATGGAGTTATCAGAGATTGTCGAAGCTTATTCTTTGTGTGTTACAAATAATCTCACATGGCGCTCATACTTATCTGTCTGGTAGACTCGTTTTATAAGAATATCACGCTGTACATGACGCTATTTTGGGTATGTCCACATACGCGCGTCATATTTTGTCTCCCCTTGACCTTACCTTGTGCAGTATTCGTTCTTCAACAACTTCTCTGGCCAGGTCGCGTACGAATCCTGGACGCTTTCGATGTACAACGTCGTTTTCACCCTTCTCCCCCCACTCGTTATCGGAGTTTTTGACCAGTTCGTCTCTGCTCGGATCCTCGACCGCTATCCACAGCTGTACATGCTCGGTCAGAAGAACGTGTTTTTCTCGAAGATGACCTTTTGGATGTGGGTCGCGAACGCTTTCTACCACAGTATAGTGAGTACAATTGACTCAAAGTGATCTACAAGAATCTTACGAAATCTGTGTAGATTCTCTTTGCGTTCTCCGTCGTGCTGTTTTGGGGTGATCTGAAAGAGGCAACCGGATATGACTCTGGCCACTGGATTTGGGGTACAATGTTGTATCTCACTGTCCTCCTCACCGTACTCGGAAAGGCGGCGTTGGTATCAGAGTATGTTCTACGTCCGCTTGACTTTTTGATCTACCGCTGACATACTCTCACAGCCTCTGGACGAAGTATACTGTAGCTGGTAAGTCAATCAATGACTCTCTTATCCGCCTTCGCTGACATTCATGCCCTGCAGCGATTCCCGGGTCGTTCATTTTCACTATGCTGTTCTTGCCGCTCTACGCTGTCGTCGCCCCGGCCATAGGCTTCTCCAAGGAATATCTGAACATTGTGCCTCGCCTCTGGGGCGATGTCATCCTGTACCTCATGCTGCTGCTCGTGCCGGCTATTTGCCTCTCCAGAGACTTGGTGTGGAAATAGTGAGTCACCGAACCTACGGCATCTGGTATCCATGCTGACCGTCCCCTTTAGCTACCGAAGGACATACCAGCCCGAATCATATCATATTGCACAAGAGATTCAAAAGTATAATATCCCCGATTACCGACCCCGGCAAGAACAGTGCGTAGACATCTGTCTTCTGTTCTGTGTGTAATCTTGATATGACGCCAAACAGATTCCAAAAGGCGATCAAGAAAGTTCGAGCAGTACAACGCATGCGCAGAAATCGCGGTTTCGCGTTCTCGCAGACCGAAAATGTCAACCGACAAGACCAAGCTAGGATTATCCGAGCGTACGATACGACAAAGACTGGCGCACGTCCGACGGGATACTAGACACCTTGCTCTGCACGCTTTATTTTATCAGGCGACAATGTATTGTAACTTGGACCTTTGGTGGGCGGACATTAATCACGATGCTTCTGATAGAGTCGAGCCGCAGATCCTCATAGGGTAGGCGGTTTCCTTGTGGCGCAAGCGCCTAATTAAACTCATAATGTACGCTTGCCTCGCTTGCTTTCAACTACTGTACATCGCATTACCTTCCACTATCAACAAGCTGCCCCTTCATTTCGGACCTATTTTCGTCGTCGAAGGACCTCTGGTCATGTTCGCTCTCCGCTCAGCTCCAGCGCAGAGATATTCCTCGACTTCGTTGAACTTAGGCTCCATCCCACCCTCGGTACACGCCCCTACCAACTACCGAGTAGACTGGCAACAAGTCTACGTTGAACCGGTCGTGAGTGCAACGAAGGTGATACTCGGCAACCTCACCATTCGCTGGCTGACATATGGCTGTCGGTATCTCGTGATTGCTCTTGCTGAAAATTCAAATGAAACCGTTCAGAAATGTCGAGCTTGACGAGATTACGCTCCCTTGGATACAGGACCTATTGCCATCTGAAATGCAGACCTCTCGAGTGAAGCAAAGCGCTGACACGTGTTTTTGTTTCGTGTGATTGTGCGGAGTGCTCGAGGTCGCCCTGAAGATCAGGTGGCACTCGGTGGCTTCTATGGACGGCGAGAACTACAATTGATATACGATTCCGTGTCCCAAATGCAACCTCGCTCCAATCGCACGGCTTACGGCGCTACTTCTGGAGCCCGGGAGTACCACTGTGGTTTTACTTTACGAGATAAAGCGACTTTTTGCGCACCCGTAGACTGTAGTGTTTTCTGCAGTTCCGTCTAGAATGCAAAACAAAATGCCATCAATGCCGACGCCGACCCGAGCAGCAATCTGATTGGCGCCAGGAGCTGCAACGCGCTGTTGTTCCAGCTCGCTACCAACCATCGATCACCCCGGGAATTGGGCATGTTCGGGGCAATTCTTCGGCTTGGAGATAATCAGCTCGGCATGGCATATTATACACCTCCTTTATTCTTTTACTTACCTTCACGGGGGGGCAGGTCTCTGCCCTACCGAAAGCATCCAACACCTTTATAGTTGCGAAGATTGCTGCGCCTGCATTCTCCGAAGTCTGTTCACCCGTATCTGTCCTGTGCTTCCGCACCTTACGTCTCAGGATTTAGCGCAACAACAGGCTGGTTTGGGAGGAGACCGTCAAGATCATGGCTGACCTGTTCGAAAACGTATGGGGTGAACAGAAGGCCATTACAGTAGATCATGCAGTCGACATCACGCTGCCAGCAAGTCCTCTTCTTGGTGCTGGAGAATCTTAGCTGACCCGTGTACGAAGATCGCGCTTTTTGTCATTGGTGCCGCTGGGTTCGGCAGACGGATGGCTTGGCAGGAAGATTCGGAACTTCCGCCAGGCCACAAGCTGACCTTCAAGGCGGGGAGCTTCCCGTCCACCCTCTCCTCCATATCTGATAACTTTCTCCGCAGGAAGCTTTGCACCACGTCTCATTGAACGTCTTCGTCAAGCTCCTCACTCCTGGTTGGCTCCTGAAGCTAGGCCCCACAAAGCGCATGGAGCGGGCCTACCTAGCCTTCCAGGAGCTCGAATCATGTGTCATGGCCGCTGCGATGATGAGCTATGTGCTGATGACGCCACACAGCAATATATGCTGGAGATGATCCGTGCCCGGCGGCATGCCGAGAAGAAAGAAGAACGCTACGACCTGTTCAGCGGCTTTCTGGACGCCAGCGAGGACGAGTCTGATGGCCAGGCGAAGCTCACAGATCGGGAACTCCTTGGTTAACGTCTGCGTGCTGATATCTGATGACGCGGCACTCGCTAGATTCGCGGGCGGTGTCTTCATATTTTTGCTGGCCGGTCATGAAGTAGGTGTCGAACGATATATTTGAGGCAAGAGATCAGTTGTAAATATTCTCAGACCACCGCACATACGGTGTGCTTCACGTTTGGGTTGCTGGCGCTCTATCCCGAGCGACAGGAGAAGCTTTATCTACACATCAAGAGCGTCATACCAGATGACAGACTTCCTGTGAGTGTCCAAGTCAGAGTCTCAAATTTTTGGAACTAGTGTCTTAATTCTTGACCACAGACCTACCAAGAAATGAATTCGCTGAGCGAGTCAATCGCGTATGGTTGCTGTACTCAATGCTCGCCCCCAATTACTCATACGTGCACCTCAGCGTATTCTATGAGACACTCCGGTTATTCCTACCTGTAAGTTGCCTACAACATCGCTAGGAGATGCATATCCTTATGCGACTTCACAGGTGCCCGGTGTCCCCAAGTTCGCCGCCGAAGACGCCACGCTCGTCGCTACCTATAGCAGCGGCAACAAGGTCGCCATCCCTGTCCCCCAGGGTAGCGGCATCGTGCTGTGCATCCCGGGCCTGCACCATAACCGTACGCCCTCTCGCATCGGCTACGCCTCGCTCGCATTGCCCCTTAACACGCTACTGGAAGGACCCATACGCTTTCAAGCCGGAGCGGTTCCACGACAGTGACTGGCCGCGTGACGCGTTCCTGCCCTTCAGCTCCGGCGCACGGTCGTGTCTCGGGCGCAGGTACGTGCCCTTCTGATTCACCATGGTGCCCTCTAACAACGAGTACATCAGGTTCTTCGAGACGCAGGGCATCGCGATCTTGACCATGTTCGTGTCCCAGTACACGATCGAGATCAAGAAGGAGCCGGAGTTTGCGGGAGAGACGTTCGAGGAGTGCAAGGAGCGAATACTGCGTACAAAGCGGGGCGTAACGTTAGCGTGAGTGCCGCTGCTCATCGTCGTAGTGGGATGTATGCTGACGATCTCGATATTAGGCCCGTCCGGATGCCTCTGGTGTTCAAGAAGCGGTAGCAAGCCGTGCTGTGTGCCAGTGTACCATGTATTGAACGATGAATTCTTCTCTTGTGTTCAGTACTTAGTCCTCACACTGTGTTGAGAATGTCTGAAACTTCCCCATTAGAGTTCATGGTTGTCTGTGGGCTCCGCAGCCATGGATTGACGCACATAAAACATGCTAACAACAAGACCCGGCGCTCGATGACTCAGCCCATGCCGCAGTAGTCTAAGCAGCGAATAGTAAAAGGGAGCAGGCCTGATTAGACTGCTGTACACCACTGCATAGAAGTAAGTATATAAAGTGTCGTTGATGGTGAGAGCATGTTGTTAAGAAAATTAGGGTCATCTCGGCGAGTGACGCTCCCCACGTAAAACCCCAAGTAAGCACCAACAATTTCGTTGAATTTGGCACGTGCAGCTCATGCACGCGAGTGGCACAAGAATATGAACGATACAAATGGCATACGGATATGAATCAAACCTAGTGCACTGATTGGTGGGACTCATTGATATCGATGGGCTGGGGATGAGTCAGGTTCACATGGCTGTATGAGGGCCTGTCGAAGGCTCTCCTGCGGCTTCATCCGGCGTACTGCCGCACTGCGGCGGAGCGCTCGAGCTCTGAAGGTCTGCCGCCATGCTCAAGAAATCACCGGCAGGCAGATATTGCCAATGACGTTGCTTTCCATCGATTCCGCAGCTAAGAATTCCGCAGGAACAACCGCAATGCAGCGACGGCGTGGACACTTGCCAGTGCCTACCAGTGCTCCTTGGCAGGACGCCAAACACTACCAAACAGACGATACCGCGGTGAGCTGGTGGCAACCGCGGACATCTTGCCAAGGCGGGCTCACGTCGACATTTGCTGTGGTCTCTGCCGCAGGCGGCATCTGTTCAATTACTCAGATATCACCAACGCCAGCTGTTGTATACGTGCAAAACGCGGGACTTAGGTGGATATCGGCAACAACCAGGATCGCATACGGCGGTCGCCACTCGCAGATCTCCTGGAGATTCCATTGCAGGCTGTCCCTTGAGCTCTCCGAAAGAAGTTGAATTGTACAGCAGAAGTTTCCTGCTCTACAGGAGCCGTGCCCTGTGCGAGAACGCGGGGCGGAATGATTACGCAGCTCTGCCAATGCAAAGCACGCTATTCCCCAGTACGTGCTGTCGGAAATCGCATCGTATCTAACGCTTGGTTTCCCAGACTCGCAGGAAACCGCGACGTGCGGATTCTCGAGAGCAGCAACTCTGTTTTTGTCCCTTGGGCGAAGTAAAGCGGAGGATCATGCTAGTCCGCCGTACCGCATGAGGAATCAGCGGGACCAGTGGGCATGATGCAACGACTACCGCCTCTTGACCGCACGTGTCAACCCTTTCCACGTTTTTGTACGCTTCGTGGCGAGTGTGCTGCCATCTAGTCGCACGGGCCGAGCCGTGCTGGGGACAGGAATACCGTACGCAGTTGTGCATCAACCCAGGAGCTATGCGGGAATCCATCTCGCGGGCTTCTCGCGTCCTCCGTACCTGAGGGGGCCGGGGAGGACACAAATCCCACTTCGTGCACAGAATTTTTGTACGTCCTCGAAGGAAAGTATTTAAGCCGGACCGTCCCACCCATGGACTGTATCTCTTGTCCAGCTTATCCTTTATACACCCTACTCAACGTCTTAACCATGCCTTCAAACGCCATTTTCCCTCCTGTACCCAGTACTCCGATCAATCAAATGGTGAGTACGACACTGGCCGCTCTGTCTCGTCCTGACACGGAACCGCCAGGGACCCAACGCTCGCACCGCACCTGGTTCTCCCTGCACTCCGTGCCGCGACAGAACGGTCCATCACCCCGGCACTGCGCCCCCGCTGCCCTGGCGCCCTCGTCGCGACAGCAATCCGTTCATCGAGCACCCCGATCCCTACACCACGCCCCCTAGACAGACCGTGAGTATCTGCATCCTTCCATGACCTGTACGGCTCAGCTCATGCCTCCGCCCAGGGACGCAACGCCCCGACGGCGCCTGGTATGCCCGAGGAATTCAAGAAGAAGAAATCTAAGGTGTGTTTTTCCCTCAACTGTGACGGCATGCCAGCTTTGCTCACAGGAGCGCAGGACAACACGAGGAGGTAAACAAGTGGTGTAGGCCCCTACGAGGACAGCTGGCTCCCTTACTATTCCATGCTGCCGCGGCCCTTGCTGATACACGCTGTGCTTGGCGGTACTGGGACATTGCGTCGCGTAACTCTAGATATCCCTTCACAATAACATTTCCTAGCCACGCCTTCCTCCACGATCCTTGCCCATGTCGGACCTGTTTCTTGCCTCGCTTGTACCACGGTTACCCTTTAATGCCTCTCGTTGGACTATTGTAGCACATCGGACATGCCTATTCACCTAAGAATTAATTCTTTATGCCAGTGATATGCAACGGAAGTGGTGCAAGTTCACTGGTTAAAGGTGCCTGAAGTCGCTTGTATCATGGTCGCTTGCATTAAACGAGACGCCACAATACCAGGCGCCGGTAGAAACCCAAACGTCAACAAGATCAGTCGACCTGCATGAATAACCGACTGCGCAATAGTTTATTTCTTCGGGTCTACCGATACAGACCTCTGTACCATAGTCGAGGCAAGGATCTATCCAGGCATCCAACGCCTTGGCGCTTACACTATTATTACAAGAGCTTTCCTCGCTTAGAGCTCCTTTCACTGAGCAACATTCCCAACGGAATATCCAACCTGCAAGCAACATGAATATCTGGAAATTTCTGAGAAACGCGACTTCTGCGTACCTTCATGAGGGTCTCGATCGGCTTCTCAGAGTTTGCGACGAGGTCAGAATCAAATCTTGACGTCAAGAGTCAGCAACGCGCACCCCGAGCTCGCAGCTATCTGGACACTTACTCCATAAGTCCCTTCGGGAACAGCACTACGACGGTGCTTCCACCGTATGCGAAGTATCCGAGCTCCTCGCCGCGTTTGACGGTCTCGCCCTGCTTGGAGCCTTTCGTCCAGACGATGCTTCCGACCTGCAAAAACAAGAGTCGGCTGCGTTCAGGTATGGAGTAAGTGTGTTAGGACGCACAAGCATGGCGCCGATGGCAACGAAGGCGATGGGCGATCCGGTCGCCTGGTGCGTCATGTACAGCACAGCGCGCCTGTTCATTGTGAAGACATCGAAGCCGGGTTCGTTCACGGCCTGCGGGTTCACTATGGCCAAGTGTTAGTCATGCAGGGTATATATGAAAGGGGAGATAGACCGACCCGTGTAGTACTGCCCGGGAATATCGATGGTGTTCCCGAGGATGGCATCCACCGGGCTGTGGAAACGATGATAATCTGCTGGAGCGAGTCTACAAAAATGCTTATGTCATGACACAGCTGACATATCGGCCAAATAATCGCATACCGAAAGCTAGCGAGATTCGCGTTCTCAAACGTCTTCGCGATTTCCGAATCGGGCGCGACATTCAGAAGGGAAGGGATGGTGAAATGCGTCCCCTTGATCCTAGCATCCCAAGCGTTAAAACGCGGTCCGGTGTGTCAGGCCTTTCAAAGCGCACGCACCAGAACTGCTTCGCCAAGTCGACCGTCTGGTACACCGTCAGACGACAGTCCGCGGCGCTGCAGATTCCCTTCGGGTTGTCTTCGTTCTGGACGGGCCGGGAGCCTGGCTTGAGCTTGCGGTGGAAAAAGTCGTTGAAGGATTTGTACTTGGCCATGTCGGGCTCTTCAAGCTCATCGAGCTGGATGCTGTAGGTATCGACGAACGAGGGTATGCTCTTGACGGACTCGGGGGCGTCGTAATGTTCTCCTTGCTGCAGATGCTGTTATTGCGTTTGTAGGAGAAGACAAAAATGGTCTTACGCGAATCGACATGGACTTCAGAACGCCTTCTACGTCATGATTGTGCAAGATCTTGATTTGCGTTCCACCGTAGTACAACAGGTGCATCCCAATACTATCAAGAGTTAGCACCAACATATTCAAATCATAGGCAGCTGACGCACCGAGGGTATAAGGGCATGCCCTCGAAGAACTTCTCGTCTGTTCCTCTCATCGCTACATAGTTCCCTATATGGTATTGCGACGCGATGTCTTCAATTCCAGGAATCAGCTTCTTGATGAAGGGGATATGCTCCAGACGGTGCATGGGAGCGTGGATGCTGTGCCGCACGTCTTCATGCTTGCTCGAGTGCTCGACGAGAGTCTGAAGGGCGGCAGCAGAGGTAGCCGGATCTCTGGACCCCTCAGGTAAGTTGTTGGGGTGGATGGACTCGATTGGCTTCTGCACGTTGGTTTCGTGGATGGAGGTCATGGTGGATAGGGTGAAAGAGACGAGGAGGTGACAAGACGGAGGTTTTGATATGAGACTTATATATAGGTACCGACCAATTTGGCCACAGTGTGGATATGACGCCATCGGAGACTACCATGTAGGAGCGGCAGTCAGGCCAGGCACAATCATTGTTGCCCATCTGGTGCAAATAAGCTCAGAACAAATTAGAGCATGAAATTACAGGTCGGAGAGCGTCAAGGCATGCAGAAGGCAGCTGGGAGATCAGATGGTCGATAACGGGAATGCGACTACGTAAGACTTGATCGCAAAGTGCCGCCATCAAGACCTTTGTGGCGTGAGACACCGACATATCCCAAATTGTCATAGCGCGGGGCGCCGGCTGGACTGTTGTTCTTGGCATCCCACCACGGGCTCATGCCCGTACTCACTCGTCCCTTCAGATAGCGGGCCGTCAATATACTCATGCTCTGATATGAGATGATGATCAGAACCGGCTATCTCACGAAGCACGCGTTTCTTCGGCAGATGAGTCACGATCTGTGATGCTGTGCTTTGTGCATGCATTTAAGGACACCATCTGCCTTGCATCCGCCATACGGACAGCTCTCCGCTCGGGCAAAGATGGCCGCTGCAGCTGCCCCGCCGCTCCAATACAACAGTCGCACCGGAGAGCCCTTCATTCGCCTGCCCAGTCCTCACGAGAACCTCATCCTCACACCTCCTCGACCGAGCGATGTCGCTGCAAACTACTCGTGGATGACGGACCCGAAGGTGTACAAAATGCTCGAGGGTCCTCCCTTCCCGTACCTCGAAAGTAACGCTATCAGCTGGAACGAGATAATCACCACGCAGGCCGCCGAAGCCATGCGCGAGTTCCAGGAGGCCCAAGCCGCAGAGCGCAGCACTGGCACCAAGACGTTCGTGGGCACCTGCCCCGTGCGCTACATCAGGGAGGTGCAGGAGGATGGGTCAGACGTGGCCCTCGGCGACATCGATGCCCATCGGTGCCAGTTTCCCGCCGTCAGGGACCCGGACGAGAAGGCGCGCCTGGCAGAAGAGAACAACGCCCGGGAGCTCGGCGACCCAGACATTGTCTGGTGCATCGGCAGTAAGTAGGCCCGCGTTATGTCGCCCGCCGATCGTGCCCCCTGACGCGCGTGGAAACCCCAGACTGCCTCGCGAGCTCGCACCACGGCAAGGGCATCATGTCGGCCGCGCTGGCCGCGCTGATGGAGCAGTGGATGATCCCCCAGATGGGTGTGCGCAAGATGCGTGTGGAGACGTTTGAGAGCAACATTGGGAGCGTCAGGGTATTCGAGAAGAATGGGTTCACGCTGGAGGAGACTGTGTCCTGGACGAAGATCATTAATTGCGGCGAGACTATCTCCGGGTATCACGTCCTGTGGTGGAAGTCTCCCTGATATGTCCCTGTTGGTCCTCGGTGGCAATAAACCTTTTGCTTGCGTCACGAGCACGTCGTCGCTAAGGCCCATAATCGTCGTTGTCGGCCAGGTTTGCGTCCCCATGTCGCGGAGTTCCGCTGTCAGCCCCGTCTCTTCCATTCAGTAAGCCTATATATTCTTTCTCATCGGCCAGATACTCATAAACAAACCCTTGTTCATCATCTCTACACGTCACTGTCTCCACAGACTCTACACTTAATCTCTCGAGCGTCCAACTAGTCCTCCCATCCCTCCAGTATCCACAACTCACTTCTTCGCTTAGAAACCAAGCTCTCAAGCTCCATGTCCCCCCACCTCCCTTGCTACATGAGACACAACTCCGCTTCGGCAGAGTCCCTAGCGGGCGAGCTTGACAGACTCAACACGCTCCACTCCGTCATTCCGCAGCCCCGGCCTGAGGAGAGCGTCGGAATGAGTATTTTAGCAGGTTCTTCTGTTAGCACTTTGTGACCTGCTCCGTTGGGTGCAGGATATCGAGATGGATAACGACTACAAGACTGAGCAGGGCCCGCGCGCACCCACGACGAAGCCCTGCCTAGAGTACGGAACCGTGGGCCATGTGCTATGCTCGTGCGAAAGCGCCATGCCCGACGTTCGATAGGTGGATGGACAAAGCAAACATTCGATTCTCCATAGGAGACTATGCCCAAGATTAGGGCGACTTCGTAATGGAAGAGCCTGAGCTTGTGAGTGTATACGACCATGTGTGTACAGAGGGTCTGACTTCGTGCGCAGCTGTCCTGAGAGAGCTCGGAGGTAGAATACTGCTGCCGCTCACTGGGTTCAGCGGAATTCTCGGCACTCTTTCCAGACTCTTCCGCACCCTAGCATTGCCAGCCCGTGTACTGTCTCCTGTGACCAATTCATGCTCTCAGGCGGAGCAACGGCATTAACCTTCATGCAGCGCACCATGCAAGAAGCTCGTGGTTAAGGTCACACGTCATAGGCGCGGAGGTATATCTGCTGCTCGCTTTCCAGGACGTCTCATAACTGAACACGATGCCAGCTATCAAACTTACCGCAGAACAGACCAAGGAACGCTTCGGCGTGGCGAAAGCCATCGAGAACTTCCCGGCGAACCTGACATCGCAGGAGGAGAAGCACGTCAGGGTCGTGCTCGAGTACATGGAGGTGCGCTTCTCCATCCGCCCACCCTTCCAATGTCACCTACATGCCGAATCGAACTAACATTCCAGCGCAGATCGCGTACTCACCGACGGACAACAAGGGCGCGCCCTCGGTCGCGCACCTCTGCGCGCCGGGCAACACCTTCGCGGCGCCGAGCACCTTCCCGACGGCGCACACGGCCGAGGAGTACGCCGAGGCGCACAGTCACGTCATGAGCGCGCTCAAGGACCTGCACATTGTCCGCTTCGACGTCGTCGTCGCCAAAGGTATGTGGCGTTCGCGCTCTCTCCCCCTCTCCCTCGCTCCGACCTCCCACGACGAGAAGCTGACATGTGGGCGCGCAGAAAACTTCGTGTCGCTACGGTACACCGCGACGGGCTCGCACATTGGTGCGGAGCACAACGGCATCCCGCCGACGCAACGCAAGGCGCAGTGGACCGCCGCGGGTAACTTCGTCATCGACGAGAAGACGGGGTTCATTCAGCACTGGTGGAAGGACTGGGACAAGATGCAGAGTACGTACCCGATCTCTCTTATAGACATTGCATGTGGCTGACGCGCGTGTAGTGTGGAAGCAGCTTGGATGGGTCAAGCCAGATAACGACGCGACCGAGTTTGCGTGATTGCTGATAGTGAGGCAAAACCTTAAAATCCGGTGTACTTGTACGAACCCACCAACAATCTAATAATTTCCACGCAATGCAAGAGAGCGAAAACTCTGTCAGTCTGAGCACTGCCCAGCACGGAAGCCAAATCTCAGAGTTCAGTGCTTGAACTTGAAGGTCAGGCAGGCAGTTGCCATCGCGGATCGCTTCAGACTCTCAAGGTCACTGCTCCATCGCACTCGTTCGACATATTACAGAGAGTAAACAGAGACTCATTCAGACAGATATGCCGTGTGGTATGTACATGCAGTATTAGCGCAATTCGATGTATCAACCCTATAGTACCGGTATCAGGAGCAGGAGGCAGGCTTCAGAACACAGGTATTCAACAGCAATGAACGTAAAAGCCGATCGCTAATGTTTTGCATCACGACACGCGACCAAAACTCGGAGGAAGTCGCGGGTAAACGGGAGGACAGTAAGTTATGGCACGTTGGAAGCAGAATATAAAAGGGGGAGCATATGTGTCGGGAGAAGCGAAGTGAATAAATGAGAGTGACAACCAATAGCCCAAAAGTCCGCGCACAGGAAGGGGTGTGTGTGCGATACCGTACTCGTACGGCCGAACCAGTGAAGGTCAACGCACGAGTGCGGCGCGGTGTGTGCGGAACCGGGGCCGGCTGCTCCACCCACTTGGATGTTGTGAGGTTTTCGGGTAGGGAAACAGGGAATTCCATCGTCGTAAGCTGGGAGCACAAGATAATGGGGGTAGCGAGGAGAGAGACAGCAGATTAAGACGCTCGAAGGGTATCGAATGAACGTAGAGTACGAATAAGCGAGTCAGGCGACTCTACGATTGTTCGTGCAGCCGATTTAGTTAGAGGGATCGGCGTTCACGGCATCGAGAACGCTGCTGTCCATGGGCTCCTGCTTCTCCTCGCCGAGTGTGATGGCGTCCGACTTGATGAGCGCGAATGCTTCGGGGTCGTGCTCAACCGCACTCATGGGCGTCGCCATGGTACCACCACTCGCGGAGCGGCGCATGCCGCCCTGCGGGCCAGAGCGCGGGGGGTTCGCGCACCGGTCCTTGCCGTGGGCGATCCGCAGATTAGCGTAGTCCGGCTTGTTCTTCACTCCATCGATAGCCTTGATGGCGTTCGAGATATTTGTAAAGTTAACGAACGCGCAGTTCCTGTGACAACGAGATGGTCAGATTTTGATGTCTTAAATGCAGAACAATGGAGACACACTTCTCCTTGAGGAAATTGACCAGCTCAATTTCACCATACTCGCCGAAGTCTCGCTTCAGCTTTTCATCGTTGAATGTATCGAAGTCTTCGATGTTGCCAACGTAGACGTTCCGTGTCGCACCCGAATGAACTGCAAGCGCTAACGCCGGCGGGAGCGGACCAGAGTTCTTGCCCCAACCAATCTTCAACCTGCGGTTGTTGAGCGTGAGACCCTGATACGACGCGACTTGGAAGAAGGTGAGTGCGGCTGCGGGGTCGATGAAGGTAACGAACTGTATTGAAAATAAGTACACTTCTCTGACACTATACAAGATTAGACGTACCGCAATGTGCTTGTCCTGCATGTAGCGAAGGCTCTGAAGGACACCGCCACGAATAGCGTTGCAAAGGTCTTCGGTCGTCGTCTCAGGGTGAATGTTACCAAGGTAAACAGTACGGTTCAGGCTGGTAGCGCCGGCCATACCCTGCAGACCATCAGGCGAGAAAGGCAAGTAGGGAGTAAGCGGAGACGCTCCGGTAAGACCGAAGCCGCCGTGGTTCGTGTTGATGGGAGTCAAGGCTGCGGCAGACTGAGCAACCAGCGATTGCGCAGCTGCTGCCTGGGCTGCCTGAGCGGCGGCTTGCTGAGACTTCGGGATGTATGCGCAGCGGTCCTTGCCGTAGTTAACTCGCTTGCCTTGCCATGCTGGCTCGGTAGGGAGGGTGTTTACAACCTATGCACAACGTCAGATGTTTACACGAATAACAAGATGGGTCCAACCAACCTTAGTAGCGGTAGAGATGCTCAAAAAGTGGACGAAACCAATGTTCTTGTCGCGGACAATCTTCACTTGGTCGATAAGACCAAAGCGGCTAAGGTCGTCACGAAGCATCTCCTCGGTGACGTTCTCGTCTAATCCGCCCAGATACACATTGCGACTCGCATTGCTTTGCTGGATAGCAAGGGCAACAGCGCTTGGAACGGCGGAGGGTTTGCCCCAGCCGATCTTGAGCTCTTGAGCGTGTAGAGACAGCTTCTTGATCAAGGCATCGGCGTGGAAAGCCGCAGCGGTAGCTCCATCAAGGAAGGACAAGAAGACACACGACTTCTCGGGAAGGACTCGGATAGACTCGAGCGGGCCGAAGTGAACGAGGTTCAGAAGCTCGTCTACGGAGGCAGTTGCGGGAAGGTTACCGACGTAAACTGTGCGTCCGGTGACATTGTTATGCGCTCCCATAGCAGCCGAAAGAGCTGCCGGAGAATAAGGCGAGGTAGCGGGCGACGGAATTGCTAGCGATGGCAGGCGTTGCTGGTTGAACTCCTGCCACAATTAGGTGCATATAGCCAGAGATAAAGCGACGCACTCACCTGGGAAAAGTTGCCCATCTGGTTACCATATGGGAATCCGTTTAGGACACCCATTGGGGACATGCCCATAGCGAGCATATTATATCCACCAAACCCGCCATACGAACCACCATTAGCGCCAGCCGGTGTCTGTTGCGTCTGGGGTGTGAAGGGGCCCGCGGTGTTCGGGCTCATCTGCGACTGCATACCATTGGATCCTGTCACGGTGTTAATGCTGAGCGAGGGTGTGGCGTAAAGAGGGCTGCCAGTGAAACCGCTTGAGGGCGAAGAGGTGCTGTAGCCAGCCTGAGAGAGGCTCGCCTGGGGACCATAGCCGTAATTAGCGAACGCATCGCGGGCCGCATTGTTGTTGCTAAGGCCGTTGAGGCCGTTGGAGCCGAAGGAGGTAGGGGACCAACGAGCCTTCTTGGCATCCGGACCACCGACGCTATCCATTGACCGCTGAGAGGAAGAATTAGCATTGGCATACGATAAGCACGAGCAGGCAGGGATTGTTATTTCATGCGGTGAAGATAGTGGACAATGTGGACGCTCTACGCGAGCACACGAGACCCATGCTCGTCGCCATCGACACGCGGCCTCGCTTTTTCAGGGGGGCGAGAACAATGTCGCGTCTGCCCGCTCATGAAGTCGCGCCGACGCCGGTATGCCCGAATTGGTCGTGTGTCACTGCACAGTTTTTTCTAGGCGAGTACGCCAACCATGACTGGTCCCTCCCCTCGCACTCACTCCAAGGGCGTAGTCTACGTGTCCGCCGGCTCGCCGTCGCTAGGGAAATTGAGGACTCACCTTCATCATTTCGAGATCAAAACCTGCAAACGGAGGGTATTGAGCAAACGCTGTTTGCGAATCGTCCATCATTGCGCGTGCGACGAGGGGTGGAGGTGTTCGGGTGCAAGTGGGTGGAGCAGGGGCAACGGCGGGAACGTATGATGAGAAGAAAGGCAGAAATCAAGTTAGATGATGCAAACAAATGAGCGGGAGCAGGTGGGGAGTGGTAGCAAAGGAATGTGTGAGTTGGTTCGAAGAAACGAGACGCACGGAGAGAGAAGGTGCGAGGATTTATAGAGATAGATTATTTAAATGTGAAAATATCTCTTGAACTGCCCTCGCAACGAAGCAAAAGACCGCACTCGCGAACGCAAAGCGAAACCCTTGAAACTGAACGTCGGGCGCGATGTACACGAAGGCGGAGGCAGCGTCGACCCTGCAGAAAGCAAAGACCGAGGTCGGGAAGGCCGAAGGCAAGAGGAAGAGAGAGAGATGAGAGGACAGAGAGACCAGAACAGATCCAGGAAACAACAGCTCAAACAGCAACGCTGATGACAATTTCCCACACACGGACCACGCCCCGAGGGGGAAAGACCCCGGCCACTTCCCCTCGTTTCAGCTGTGAGAGACTGTGCACTACCCTAGACACAAAGCGACGCAAAAATATCGCGTATTGTGGTCTTTGTATGCCACAGTAGTCCCTCCTGTACGACAGTCGCCCCGACGTACTTGCCCAAGGTGATCCCGGTCTCGGGGTCTGCCCTACATCCCTTTGATCTCTGCGAGGTAATCGTTGTAATTCATGCTCGCCACAATCCTTCCTGTTCTCTTATTGATGTTCGGTCTTTGGGGGCCACCAAAGCTATGGCACACGATACGAGACATGATTCAGGGTCCCAAGAAACACCACGGCTATTTTTCTCTCGAGCAGGCGACTTACTCTTACGCTCAATACCGCTCGATGGCCCTCGCCGAAGTCAATGACATGCACAGGTCCTATGTTAAGCTGTCCAGGACCCACAAACGCATTGGGTACGACCTCGGCTACCCCGCCAAGCTCCGCAGGCTCGAGGAACTAACGATTCTTAACGCCCTCGTCACCCTGAACATCGCACATCTCGCACTCAGTGAGCGTCCTGGGCTCGCTGAGACCAACAGCGGTGACCTTGGCCGCGTCCGGGAGACCCTCAAACACTTTGTACGCGATTGGAGCTCCGAGGGCGCGAAAGAACGCGGTACGACCCTCGAGCCTATCCTTGATGCACTTTGCCTCGTGTCGCCCGAACGCCGCGCTGGCATGCGCGTCCTTGTGCCCGGCGCAGGTCTCGGCCGGCTTGTCTGGGAGATCTCACAGCTTGGTACGCCGTCGTTTTGAACCGTGCCATTTCCGTTTCAGTGATCATCGGTTTCAGGCTATGACACGACGGCCAACGAGCTGTCGTCCTTCATGACGCTCGCGTTCCGCTTCCTGCTGTCTCCGTCGACAACGCAGAGAGCGGAACAGCACACGATATATCCGTACGCGTACTGGTTCTCGCATCAGCGGAGCAGCGAGTCGCTCTTCCGCCCCGTGTCCTTCCCCGACACCGTCCCCCGCCTTGGCGACCGCCTGCACCTTGTCGAGGGCGATTTCCTGACCCACAGCAGAAACTACGACATCATCGTCACCCTCTTCTTCATCGACACGTCACTCAACGTAATATCAACGCTGGAGCATATTTACGAGCTCCTCCTCCCCGGGGGCACGTGGATCAATCTGGGCCCGCTTCTCTGGCCTGGCGGTGCGCAAGCACGCGTCGAACTCAGTCTGGACGAGATACTGCAGCTCGCTAAGATGATTGGCTTCGAGATCGAGGGTGAAGATGGTGGAACAATCGAGGCGGATGCACTCCGAACACGGTCTGTTCGGTGCGAGTATACAGGCGACAGACATGCGATGATGAAGTACATGTATGACTCAGAGTTCTGGGTCGCGCGCAAACCAAAATGACTTTCCGAGATCTACACTTCTATTACTATACATGCGTATACGCAATGGCTATTCCCTGGCCGGCCAAGCCCATCGGACTACTTAGCACTCGGCTTCAACACTCCTCTTGACCTGCGGTGCGCTCGCTAAAATACAAGTTAGATGAAAACACGCGCAGCCCTCAACACATCACATCCACGTCTCCATCAGCTCTCTCTTCGCGGAGTCGAGCCGCTCCAATCGCTTCTGCAGCTCCTCACGACGTGCAACGACCTGCGGGGGCTCCCGCAAGAAGTCTTTGCACCGCTCGTAGCCGTCTGCACCGGTGATGCCGAGCCCCTGCAGTAGCGCGCTCTCGAGTCCGCGATCGCGGGCGAGGCCGAGCACAAGCTCATGGTCAATGGCATTCGGGATGTTGTCGACAAAGCGCTTGTAAGCGACTAACAATACGAGCGATTAGGCGCGGGCTGGCAGAGAAGCAGAGAGCCCACCTTGAAAGTACGCGCGTACGGTGGCCATGATATGCAGTGCGGGCTCGTATGGGTCTGAGGGCAGCAGCTTTGGGAGATCAGTCGCCTTGGCCGAGATGTTAATCTCCTTCAGACCGGACAAAATCTTCGTCGTACTTTCTGCAAAGTCAGGTAGAAGCGACTTCCTTGAGCTTGGGCTGCTACTGGACAGTGCACCAGAATCGTAAGCCGTGAGGCTTTGTATGAGCGAGTCATGCGTGTTGGCGTGCCTGCAACCTTTGTAATGTGCAAGAAACTTGTCACGGTAGTCGGTATAGTAGTGGTCATTGAGGGTACGTGGCCGTCTCTCAAGGTTAAGCAGCCAAGAGATACCGTATCGCGTCTCCTCGCCACAATTTTTCAGGTAATCAGCCACGAGGAGACTGGAACAACGGTTGGTCACGCGTTGCAGAGAGTTAAAGAGGCACGTACCTGACGTGAGAGTGCAAGCCGCCCTGGGAGAACTTCCCGAAGTGCTTCTCCGTCAAGGCCTTTACGCGTTGTAGTAGACACTGGTATACCGCCTGATACAGCTTCTCCGCGGGGAATTGCCATTTGTTGATGATAGAAGCGATATACTCATTCGCGACGATAAATGGATAGTGATCCGGTAGTTCTCTTGTTATAGCCCTGAAGAGATATTGTTAAGGACCAGCTACAGTCTGGAGGAAAGTGTGAACCCTTACTGGTTAGCCCGCTGCATGACCTCATCAATATAGATCGGACGCTGGTCGCTGAGGCCCACCATCTCCTTGTCTTCCTCGTTAGCGAGGAATGCAAGACTTTTGGAGCGCTCTTCACTCGAGTCCCCGGTCTTCTTGCCGTACAGAATCTTGGCGAAGTCTGTTGTGCCTGGCACAGGAGGCAGTGTGGCTCTAAATCCGGGAGCAGTTGAGCGAATGGCTCTCTTGAAAGCAGCGTGATGAGAACGAATCTGTTGCAGGAGGCCGTCCTCGTTCGGCGTCCCCTCCAAGCAGATAGCAAGATCCCGCGCAAAACCAGCCAGAAGATGAACAATCTCAGTAAAAGCATCCTGGGATGGCGCCTTTGGAAGCAAATATAAATTTTCTTCCGTCTTCTGGATGAGTTTCTGCAGCTCGTCCTGGAGCTCGGGGAGCCTAACGGAAGTTCAGAATCACGAACTGTCACAGTAGAGGGCGGTTACAAACCTTTTCGCAATGAGGCTTGACAGAAGGCTACTCAGCCGCTCCGTGAGGTTCACCGTACCCAACCGCTGCTGATAAGCATAGTCTAGGGTGGATCATAGAGATGTAGAGAAGAAGTAATCGTGCTCGCTCGCACGCGCCTCTTCCCAGGTGATACCCTTTTGCAGGGCAATCGTGTCCGGTTGCTTGACGCTAAACCAACCATTTTCGAGGGTTTTGAAATCGTTGCGGATGAAACGAAGCCAACTTTCCTCTTCACCGGCTGGAATGCGATCTGGCTTAGTGAGGACACCTTAAGAGAAAACATTAGCATCGATGGCCGAAAGTAGCACTGAATAACAAGTACGCGCCTATTGTTCGCTTGCCGTCGGGATCATACTTTTGGGCTAAGTCGAAGCCCCTTTGATTTTCCCAGTCGTTTGTAAGATATAGTAATCAAATAACATCAGCATACCATGTACGGGCACTGACATTCACATGCAACAGCTACCAAGATGATGCAGCTAGGTCGGTCGATGTATGAAACGACTAAATTCTCGATGATCTTCTTGTCTGTCCCAGAAGCGATCATGCCTTCAAAGCAATAAGTCGTGGGTCGAAGAGGCTATGTTACAGTATCTCACCAGGAAGGTCACAGAACGACAGATCAGCGACATCGCGGCCACTTATCTGCAAAGAGATACAATTGCTAGAGAACATGATCTCTCTAAATGCGGGATCTTCGTCTGGGCCCTCGAGGAACTGAGTGGACGGCGTGCTAGGGTTCAAAATTGCGCGTTGGGCGCGGCGAATTCGTTCTTCCACGTGAGACTTGTCCTTGATAATGCCTCCGAACTGCTCATTGCGAGCCTGCCCGAGAGTTTGGCCGCGCTCGTCGGCAGTGAAGCGCAACGATACAATGCAGTGCCAGGGATCATCGATGATGACAGCCGACACTCGGTTGGGCACCTAGCAATCTACATTCACACCTTCGCTTGTCTCCTGAACTGAATGCATATCGGACTTACCGCGTGCAAGTACCGCTGGCACGAGGGAGCTTTATCCCTGAAATGAACTCAATGAGCGAAGACTTCCCCGCACTTTGTGAGCCGATGACGGATATCAGAGGCAGATCTACGTCAGCTTGAACTCTGCACAACACGACATTAGCTGCCAATTTTCACAGTACCGCTAAGCAGAGTCCCCACCCAGTAGCGTGAAGTCTGTTGATCAAGTCAAGCATCTTACGGCGAGCAGAAGAATAGCGAGCATCGGACAGTCCGACAGTTCCGCCAGGCGTGGCTGCGCTGGAAGAGCTACCGGACGTGTCGGACGTTTCTGAGCTTTCGAGGGACATGCTGAATGCTCCGCAGGAGACAGGGGTGCGTCGAGTATCCATTTACCTGTCGGAGTCCAGAGCGGACGAGAATCAACTGCCCGCTTGCATATTTGGCTATTGTGATGGCTCAAACTTCCAATAGCCGAGGATATTCATGACAATAGAGTGTGAGAGTGCAGAAAATCATGTTGAGCAGATGACCTGAGTTGGAAGAGGGACGAAGGGAGTAAATGTTTAGACTACATGTAGCTTTTGCTCGGGCTTTGGCAATCAGCGCTCGGGATGGTCCGAGCGGACTTTAAAAATTAGAAGCACAGCGGATACCAAAGCCGGCTGTGCGCGCACCACATTGCACACAGACGAACGCGCAGTACTGTGGTTCCTAACACATCATGTAGATTGTATACATCATAGGCGCAGTGGATGTGCAAAGACTGGGGCTCGATGGCTTCAAGCACTTGGGCTAAACGTTCAATAATGGCTCCTCAGTCTGCCCTCTCTGCATCGCCAGATAGCGCTTTCTTCTCTACAGCAAGCTGGAAATGACTGGTAAGCAGCGATAGCATGATATTCACCTCAAGAAGATGCTCATATAGTCACTGGTTACGCTCCTCGACCGTGTTCAGCCTTTCCTCTTGAGAAGACCCTTTCCGGTGTCCCTGGCACGATGCAGCCAGGCTCATGATCGGGACGCTTTGCCAGAGAACCACAAGATGCTCCCGATAATTTTGCGCGCCCTGCAGGGTGTTTCTCGAGTACGGCTGGGTTTTCTTGCTATCTGGTGATAAGCATCTCGCAGTCTTGTCGTTCTGGAGATTGCAAGTACTTTTCACGCACGCACGTTCGCCCTTCGCAGCACTTGTCAGTTAACTCACCACTAGAGGACAGACAAGTTGCCCCACAATATAGCTATGTCCAGGCCTATGTAGACCGAGACTAGCTCTGCACATATATGTATCGTGCACGTAGACTTCGCCCATGTTCCAATGTTTAAACTAATTTATCGCACATGGGAGAAGGGCACGTTCCTTACCCCCTCTATATTGCCGGACGATGCCTCCTTCTCTCCTCATCCCGCTCTTGGTGGATACACGTGTGATTAGATAACATGGTAAGTGGTTTTTAGGCGAATACAGTATGATTTAAACCTTACAGAAGTCGAAAGCGACATTCACGAAGGCCCCGCGGATCCCGAAGGGCGCCCACTGCATTGACAGGTGGTCATCCTGCTCTTCAACGATCTCGGGAAGCCCATCTGGAGGCTCTGTCTCATCCCGCATATTCGACGATCACAAGGAAGCAAACGCTGCAGTGCACATCACTCGCAATATTGACACGCTAACACCCCAAGATTCCGAATAAACTTACAGGGTGCTTCATGCTGCTCACGGAAGAGCTGTGCAGACATTGCAATCGCATGATGATGCGTTGACACACGCCCGAGCCCTGGAAGCACTGCCTAAAATAATATGAGGAAGCATAGAGGAAATAGGGGAGGAATCTGGAGGCGTGCGAGCACTCGGGATGGCGGTACGAGGCAGCTAAGGGATAGGCCAAGTGTTGGCCGAAGGTGCGCGAACGATGAGGGATAAGGTGCGACAAGGTATGCGAAATGCGAAGGTAGTAAATTAGAGCACGAAGCCATGGTCGGCAGGCAAGTGGGGGTGGGTCAAGTGAGGGAGGGCACGGGGCTGCGGGGACGGAGGGACACAGTCATCGCATGTCTGATTGCTTGCCTTTTGACTATGAGTACGGGGGTGTATATACAACAGGCCTAAGAAAATTTACAAAATACCTAGAAAATCTCACAGCGTGCCACGTCAACATCGGAGGAACATTCATGAGGCCAAGCTTTGCATCCGACGCAAGCGACGCTATGGTCTATGCTAGCAGACACGTTGCGCGATGAGAGGCGGCAGTTCGCGCACTAATAGCACACTTTCATCTTTTGGCGAATGCACTCCGGGACGGAGCGTAGTCATCGTGGCGTGCGGTGTCTGGCGTGACGAATACGGACTTACCAGACGTAGTGCGGAGTGGCGCTTATGTGAAAATGTACATGTAGAGCCTGGTGTGGCGCATTTGCATCAATGCTTAACTACTGAAGTAGACCGTGGCTAGCGCACTGAGTAATACCCATCAATGTCTGCCAGGTCGCTGAGACTAATGATGGAGGAAGTGACTACACGGCGGCGGGAAGGCAGGGAAGACTTGGCGTCAATGCGGGAAGGCAGGGAAGACTTGGCGTCAATAATTTATTGACGCCAAGTCTTCCCTGCCTTCCCGCCGCCGTGTAGTCACTTCCTCCATCATTATAATTTATTTGTCTATCAGGATGGGCCCCCGAACGCACGCATACTGGCATACGGGATAGCGCTTCTCGACATTTAACGAGCCTTTATAACCCTATATGGGGCACAGAATACAAGCGTTGGAAGAGAGGCCTGGGAAGTCAGCTAGAGACATATTGAATAACCGCGACTCAAAGCAAGCACGCTCGCAGAACAGTCTGATAAGTGAATGGGTGGAGAAACATGTGCGAAAAGAACAACTACGTTTCAAGAGTCGAGCGCGCCTTCTGCTGTATCCCGTTCCACTTCACCAGCCTCCCGATCAGGAGCCTTCATCTCCGAGGGAATCGCAAGCTGGAAGTGATTGGATATCGTAGCAAGCATGGTCCTCATTTCGGAGAGGAGATCCTCCGCCCGTTGGGTGCGCTCCTCAACCACTCTCAATTTGTCCTTTAGAGATGGCTTTGAGCCTCCGGGATCCTCAGACGCATCGTCATTCCCGACGGACACAGCTCCCGGAGACTTCTGCCAAAATATCATCGTATGGTTCCATTCGTGCGAAGCGCCCCCAACGCGACGCTTTTGCTGTGCTTTTGGTCCATCTTGCCAGCCAGTGGTCAAGGTGTCACGATCCTTGTCGTCTTGCAAGTTGCAGTCTTCGCATACATATATTCCTCCTACTCAATAAGCGTCAGGTGACAACAGAATAGAGGATATGAACACGTACCCCAGCAGTCGAAGCAGTACCAGTATGGTTTTTGGACCACCCGCTTGCACCGAGCACACACCTTGCCTAAAGATATCATCAGATAAGAGGCTAGCCCTAATTCGCAACGGGAGACTGACGTTTCGTACGCTTACCAGCACTCGCGTCGTTGCCGCCGTCTTCGCTACTAATGTCAGAGGTCATCGACGGTGCACCAGCACCTACATATCTCTCCGCGAACTCGTTGCCAGAGTCCTCTATATCGCCCTTGTCATCGCTATCTTCCTCTCCGCTCTCAGAGTTCATTTCTACAATACCCTCCAGTTCCAGCGTCATAAACGACTTCATCCACCGTTTCTGTACATATCGCCGGAACTGTAAAAGGCGATGAGACCTCCTGTGCTGCTGGCCGTGAGTTTCGTCTCGGAACTCCAGCCCCGTGCAGCCGATGCACAAGTCCACAGAGTCGTCAACATTTTTTTGGGCGAAGGCCCACTTGCAGCAGTCGATGCAGATGACTCTGGACCGGCGTATCGGGAATTTGCCACAGTAGTCGCAGCTCGCACTAATGAGAGCTCCGGATTTAAAGCCAAAAAAATCAAGACCAAAGGACATACCGGTGCACCATGCTACTTCTCCTCAGGAAATATGCGAGCGACTTGTAAAAGCAGACATCGGCCTTGTTGAGAGCCAACTCGAGGTCACGAAGCTCTTCCTCCTCGTAAATGGAAAGGATCGTAAGGAGAGTGTAGTCCCGTTCCTTCACCCAGTAAGAATCCATCAAGCGGGAGTATAGTTCAATATACCGCCGCCGGAGATCTCGACGAGCCTGAAAATGTTCCCAACGGATCCGCTTTGCCGCAGTCTTGACAATATGCATAACGGCGTTTCGGGCGAAACGCCAGAGGGCTTGAGGCTCGCGGACACCAGAAAAATGTTCGGGTGGTCGAAAAAGTGGGAGGAGCTATGGCTAACGTAAATCCAGAGTGAATATGTGATACCCATGGTACAGTACCGAGTGAGCTATATTGCTCGTTAGTATGTCCGCCGGCTGCATGAACAACTTCGCTGCGTCCTGAGTCGTGACGGCTGGTACTTCATAGCACTGGAGGTTCACCACTTCCACTGGCTCCTTGGCATATCGGAGTATTATTTTCCCAGAGGGTGTAGCCGCGTCCGCAGCATCGGCCTTCGTACCATTGCTGTAGCCACTGATAATCGGCGGGTATTCGTGCTCAGGGTTGTATTTCTGGCAATAGTCGCAGAGCTCCCACTCGGAATAGTAAGCGAGATAGAAATACTAGGGGAATCCAGTCAGTTAAAGGTGCATATTTCGATTGCAATGATGTCTGTACCAGTCCGGATGCAAATTTTTTCAAGGTATCTTTCTCGGGAAGGTCGTTGACTAGGCAAATGTCTAGGGCCACAACATCAGTAAAGCGACTCTTCATGCATATATCTTCGATAGTCTCACCTTTCTTGATGGTGTCAATTCGATCCACGGCTGCCTGGGTTAACTGGGTACAAGAATTCGCCATGTAATGCAATTCATGTTCGTGAAGAGGAACCTTGCAGGCAAGCTCGACTATCTGCCGGGATCTTGATACCAGAAGATACAGTATCGGCAGCAAGTGATAAGCGCAGCTATCAACAGAGGCTACGCACAGATAAGAGGGTACAATCCTCACCTGCTCGAGACGATCAGAACCGAGTAGTAATGCCACGGTGTTCGGAGCATCCAGATAGTAACCGATCTTCTCCAGAAAATATCTTAACTGTTGCTCTTTCTCGAATACGTAGTCTTCAAGCTTGTCGAATTGTGTGTACTCGCCCGTGACTTCGCAGGCTAGCGCGTATGCACCAGCAAGGATCCTATGCAGGCCATTGTCGGGGTAAGTCAGGCGATTGATGAAAATGTCGACAAGGGCGTGATTGCAGGGGAGCACGGAATTCTGTGACTGCAAGATACTGCGCAATATCTGCCGAACCTGAACGTAGTAGTAGGCGGTAGAAAGCGCTTGACCTACACACACATCAAGGATTAGCGCATTCGGTCGTAGAAATCTAAATTTGAAGGATACGCACCGATAGTCCAATATGTCATCCAATGAGGTACGCTTTTCATGAGAGTAAGTGCCGCATCAATCAGAAGCATAGCGCGCCTAACGGACCTCCATTTCTCCGGACGATCCCCGGTGAACGTGTTGATCTCTTTCACTGTCACCCAGGAAGAAAAATCTCGATCCAACATTTCAAGCAGAGGGTTAAGTCTGAGCATGTTGATATACCTGAGCGTCCATCCATCCTCTAAGGAGAATACACGGGCCTTCTTGCCAGGTAGTAATTTTCTATCCGCCTGTCTCACTGTGGTCCCGGCGGATGCTGATCGAGGTCGGACTCCCGAAGTCACGAGAACAAGCGCAGCATCCTCATCTCCCGCTTGCAGAGATTCATAGATCTCCGCGTAGTATTCCCGCAGAACCTTCACGAGAGGACGCGATTCGGCGCAGCGCTTCCACCCCTAGATAAATTAGTCATGCGGGCAAAGCGAGTCGCCCTCTAGGAAAACACACCATCTCGGACCATACTTTCCAGACACCCTAAGCGAGGATGTTAGCTGTGAAGTCAGAGAGAGTACATCGTAGCATACCGGATCTTTAATGTTGTCTTGAGGACCACCAAGGATGCGGCTGATCACGCGGTCGCCATCTCGTTGAACGATACCCTGTATTTCGTCACACAGCCCCCCCCCCCCTCCAGGACTTTGAACTTGGCAAGAGATGCTCCATTCAACTGCATTAGGATGCTGTCCAGGCTACTCTTGAGGTCTCGCTTGATCTCTGCCTTGAAAGCTGCCCTCGTTTCTTGATCTTTAGAAGGAGTTGCCGCTGGCGCTTCGGTAACGGCGAAATCCTTGATCAGTTCATCTGCGAGTTCGTCTTCGACGATGCCTGACTGTGGACCTTTAGGAAAGCGTATCAGCAGCGCTGCGTAGACCTGCTACTCTGCGGGGTCCCGCAAGTTCTCGAAGAATAAGAGCAAGCTGTCCACTTTGTCATTCAGAGGTGGGTCATTGTCTGTTGCACGTCACGGCTGATATAAAGTTAGGTGGCATCGCGAAGTTTATTCTTCAGGTCATAGAACGTGCCGACAAAATCTTGGAGCTTCTGCGCCCAGCCAAGACTTTTCGCGGCACGAACTGAAAAGTAACGTGAGTGGCAAAGCTGTAGGCGGCGAGAAAAAGACTGACCGACGACGTGGCGATTCTGAAAGCTGTCGCACTCAGTCACATACTGCTTTATGGCATCCGTTATCTTCTCAATGATCTTCTTGAGGTGTTGATGGATAAGGTCATGGGCGGTGGCACGGTCAGTGTCATGTTTCCGAGGTAAGCAGGTCTCCAAACTCCATTCAAATAAGCGTGTCGTTCGGCCGCAAAAACTGACAAACGGCACGTACCATGTAAGTTCATTCATGGTCTCCATCATCGCGACCCTAAGGATGTCAACCTTCCGATCATTTTGTCGACGAGTGATTTCGAATTGAATGGCAGCCTTGAAGGCGACTACTGCGGCTGCATTTATCGTTAGAGCTTAGAACGCGATAAAGCGTGTAGTAACAAAAGATACATTTGATAGCGGGGTGTAAGTCCGATATCATGTCCAACGTTTTTTCCAAAAGATTGTAGCGTCGCTCCCAGGCCTGTAGGGTGGGCTGCAGGGCTTGCCAAGTCTCTTTGGCAACATCGGGTAAGCCACCCGTTACCAGCTCGATTGAAGGGTTGGACACCTTATCGAATGCGTTGCCTGCACGTCTTGAGTTGTCGTAAACAGGTGAATCACATAGATTGAAACTACTGACCGACGCCATCGAGACCCTTTTCGAGTTTGGTCTTCTTTGTGGCCCCGGCAGTAACCAAGGTCTTCCGTGCGTCAGCTAACGTTTTATGGACTGAAGTGTGTCCGGAAGCCATGCTGAAAGCAACAATGCGGGGGTGTGTAGCGTCCGTGGACAGCAGGGGGAATGCGCGCAGAGACTGGCAGCAGCTTCTATTTGTCCGAGTAGCTCATATACTCAGCACAGCAGTGGTGTCACGGGGTATTTGATAGAGCCAGCGTATCGCTTCGCGCTAGGCCCGCGTATCAAGAAGTTCAGCACCACTGTCCCTGTGCTGTACCTTGAAATGCGTGCTGTTTTGGGACGTATCTGTATCTGCTCGCCACACATATTAAAGCTAAAGTCAAACATGTCTTGCCTCATTGGCTGATGTTACCTCCTATGAACCTAACTGTCAGCCTGCGAGAGTGATGGATATCAGCGCACAGCTCTCGCGGCACTTAGTAGTCACGTTCGGCGCCTGCACGAGAACTTCTGTGCAGTGTTCACCGATTTTCGAAATTATTGCCTGTCTTTCTCTGTGCATCTGGCTTCGAGGGCACTATAGAGAACATGGTAACGAGAGAACACAGGTTACACCGATGAACGTATGCCCGGCGACGGTTCCGAATATTGACTAATATTACCGGAGTGCTGTTCAAAGCTCAAGAGTTCACGTTCAGCGTCCAGATGCCAGATGTTCAAGCTCCAAGGTCCAAGAGCGACACACGCAGATAAGGTGTGCAAGGACGCGGTACTCACGTGGGCTGTTGACGAGGATTGGGAGAAACATTGTGAACGAGTGGACTTGCCAAATAAATCTTATATCGCTTACGTCAGCAGGAGCCCACCTGGCCTACTCTCAGCAGATATTCGATCCACCACAGCATGGATCCATTTGAAGTTCGTATGCAATTCTTGACGCTGCTTAGACGGTTAAATGCGTATGTCTCTTTGATAAAAATCGTACAGAAGATTCTGAAGCACTGAACAGCTCTCAGCAGTCAATCCAGAAGGTGGTCGGATACGCCTTGAAGTACTTCTCGAAATGTGGGGAGGACCTCTGGGATTGCATAGTCGAGGAGTCTCAGAAGGTGCGTAGTGTCGATCTCGTGGCTAATACTGTGTTGATCGCGTAAGAGCAGGGGTCAATAAACAACCGAATCAACATCCTCTACTTCCTGGACTCTTTATGCGAGGCGTCCCTCCTCGTGAAATCACAACACGGACCCGTCCGACAAGAAGGACATGCGTCAGCGTTCAATTCGCTCTACGTGGACTATGTCTCGCGGGACTTGGGAAAGATCGTAGAGTCTGTAGTACCAGAAGGACGACAAGGTCTGCCGAATCTGATGAGTACAAAGCAGGTGCGTTCGCGCCATTCATCTCTTGTGTCTTCCCGACTCATGTTGGTTTTTTAGATATTGGAAAGCTGGAGAAGCAAGCGTGTAGTTGACCCGCAAAAAGTCGACGATGTCATGTCGTTCCTGGAAAACAGGAAAGCGTCGCTCGAGGACCTAGCAGACACACGGCCGTCAAATCCCCTCCCGAAACAAGAAATCTTCAAGCGCATCGAAGAAGACCGCGAACGACACAAACGATTGCGAGAGCGTCGCTGGGTCCAGCCCGTTGCGCACAATCCGCACTCACACCTGCCACCGCAGCTGGCGTCTTTCCTACCGCTAACGGACGATGGGGACGGTGAGGAAGAGCTGACGCTTGACATCGAGTTCGAGAACGACTGGGAGACGACGAGCGACTGGAACGAAGACGACGACGAGGCAGCGCAGGAGGAGAATGCTCTCTGCTTCCCGGACCTGAGCTCGATGCCGAACGACGACGGCGAGCAGCCGATGGACTTGTCATGACCCGCATAATGCGCTCGGGAATATGCTACAGTGGTATATCGTAATGAAATGGTTCTATGCTACATAATGTCGACAGATGGTCCCGGGTGACGAAGGTCTACTCGTCCCTGCGCCTTTTGAACTTGCCTCGCCCCTCGGCGAAGGTGCTGTTTTTGCGTTTCCGGCTCTCCTTCTTTGCCACGTTCCTCTGCGCTTTCTTCTTCGACGCCAACGCTGGACTTTTTGCTGCCTGGACTGCACGCGCTGTCCTGCGTTCCCGACGCACACCCAGGATGTTCTGCCTGATGCGGCCATAGATCTCCGCGAACTTGGTTGTGCCGACCTTGTTTTGCACAAGCTCCTGAAGCTCGACCGCAGTGGTCTTAAGTTCATCTGCAACGCAAAAGAGGTTTAGCATACGCGAAGACACTCGAAGGAACGGTACTGACCCATGTGCGAATCGCGGATAGTGTCGTCTTCGGCGATGCGGTAGACAGGCGAAAGGATATGCACCAGGAACTTCTCCACTTGCGACGGCTCCATGAAAGAGGCCATTGCAGCAAACCAGCGAAGAACAGATATAGGCTGATGGTACCAGTTGTCCTGCGGAAGGAGTTAGCATACGTCAGCTTGCGAGACCCAGCCATGACCTACCGGGCTGGAGGATTTGTTTCTCCTCGCGATGTGCGCGGATCTGGCTTGGAAGGATAGCTTAGAGAAGAGCCACGACAGTGGACGTCTCGTCGAAGACTCTTTCTCCTGTTCCTCCTCTCCATCCTGTTCTTCCTGTCCCTCCTCTCCATCCTGTTCTTCCTGTCCCTCCTCTTCATCCTCTCCATCCTTCCCATCATCATCCACGTCTTCTGCAGGCAAGGTCGCCTCATACATGGCGAAGCACTTGCTAACGTAGAACAAGTTCTTGACAATCTGCAGGCTGAGCGCAGCGTCGAGATGCTCGCTTCGGAGCTGCAAGCACAGTTTCCGAGCGACCTCCTCCATGCCAGCAAGAGACAACGGCGAGCTGTCACTGAGGTCCCCACGGGGTGATGCAGCGGGTACAGCGGAAAACAGGACGCCGAGCAGACGGCATGCAGCCGTACGCACCCAGGCGTGAGGGAACAAGAGCAGCTTGGCAATACCCGGCCAAGCGACTTCGTCCAACTGGGGCACAAGATCGGTGAGCACGCGCAGGAGCTTCGACAGCGCGTTGAGCGCCTGGTAGGGGATTTGCCATTCGATGTCAACGTCCATGGCAGCGTTGTCGTCTTCCTGCTCGAACAGCTCGCACGTCGAGTCGAGAATGGAGTTGAGGTCTTCGAGGATAGCTCTGGCGTACTGCGCGACGTCTCCCCGCAAATGCTCGATCAGAATGCTGTAGATCTGTGAAGAAACTCTAGCAAGCTGTGGCTGTGCACGCTGTGAGGCCCAAGTATGGACGTGTGTCATGACGACGCGTCGCTGGACTTCGTCCAGGCGAACAAAGAGATTTTTCACCAGCTCCGAAGCCATCTCTCTGCACTTCGAGGACTCGTCATTGGCGATCACGAGGACCAAGGCGACGAACAGAAGGTCGGAGTACTCGCGAATGAGGGCAGGGTCGAACTTCGCGAGAATCGCGCTGAGGAGCTCCATGACCGATTTCCGACCGCTCTCGTACACGTATGACAGGTTCTTCGCCAGGAATGTCATGTGGTTGCGGAGACGGCCTTTGCCTTGGGGATAATCCAGGAGGAATTGAAGAAGGATGGCACGGCACTGCTCCTGGACAGAAGGCGACTGACCAGCAACCATAATCTCCGAGACGCGGTCCATGAGATCGTAAATCTCGGGTACGACGAACTTGCGGGCGACAATAGCCTTCAGCATAATGAACACCGCAGCCTGACGGCTGGGCTCTTCTAGATCAGGCGAAAGCAGCTCAAGTAGGAAGACGAGGTCCTTCTCCTTGATTTGCGCCGCAGATTGTTCCCGAAGGATGGCGGCCAGGGACTTGAACGCAATCTGCACAAGTTCAGCCTCGGTCGATCCAGTCTGCTTGATGACCTGTAGAATCTGGCGAATGAAGACAGGAAGAGACTTGACAATCGATTTCAGAGGGCATCTGACGATCGCAGCGGTGGCCTTTAAGCCGGAGACGACCACCTGCATGTGATTCGAATAGAGCGTGTTGCCGATGACAGAGAGCATGGGCTCCAGACGAGCGATGACCGCAGGGTCTTTGAAATCGAAACGGCTCCTCCGATAGGCAGTGTTGAACAACTCGAGACCCAAAATGACGAACCTGAGCATAAATCAGAAAATGCCGCTTTCAGCTAGGAAACAACATACCTGAACGAGTTGTTCGCATAATGGTCGGCCTGCGCAGTCAAATGCTTCTTCATTTCTGTTAGCGCGTCGCCCTTCGTCTTTTCATTCGCAGGAATCGCCTTGGGCGTTTGCTTGAGGAATTTCGCGTTTTGGCTAATGAGCGTGTGGCAAAGGACGAGGAGGTCCTTAGACGTCAAGTGCTGGTTGATATTGAGACCACCCGCAATCCTACGCAGGAGATCCTCGATTTGCTGCATGACTTTGAGCGTTTCGGTCTGCTGAAGAATGTTGCGCACGGGAACCAGCAGGCTACTGATTTTCGGAGGAGTGACATGCTTAGCGACAAGAGCGAATGAGTCTAGGCCTTTGGATGCAGACCCGCGTACTTCGCGCATTTTGGTCTTGAAATCCTTGGACTGGACATCCTTGCCCGATTCGCCGAAGATGACTTCTGCAGAGACGTGGGCGATGTCGTTAACGCAATCATCTAGATTGGAGAAGGTCGTGGCGTGGTCTCCAGAAGTGACGTGGATCAACAGGGCATGTGCGACGTACGCCAGAATGTGTAGGTGGGGTCCTCGCAGAAGAGCCGTCCTGAGCTCGCGCAAGATGAGGGGAAGGTACGATGGCCCCAAGATTATCGCGATCTTGCACAGCGTCTCGCGCGCTAGGTCTCTCGTGTCCTGCGACTTGCTTCGGAACACCTGGCTAAGGACCGTCAGAAGACGAGAGATCTGGGTCTCTCGAGCCACCAGGGGAAGGTGCATGGCGACTTGAACAACACCGATCGCAATTGGAATTCGAAGACTGTCCTCAGTCTCGTCACGTTTCTCCAGATGCGAGATGAGGTTGGGCAGAAGACGCGAGCTGACGATCTCGGCGATATGGGCCTGCTTCTTCGCAGTGTCTGATCGCTCTGCGGGTAGCTCTTCCTCTCCTTCCTCTGACACGGCTTGTTCTTCTCCCTCATCGCTCGAGACCATAACGTCCATGGGAAAGTGGAAGTTGTCTAGGAGCGCAACAAGAGTGCGGACATAAACGCGCTCTGAGACATCCTTGTTGCGCGAGAGTCGAAGGTATTGTTGGATGAGTGTGTAGTAGGCACCCCACTGAAGCTGTCTCGCCATCTTTCCTGTTGTTATGATGGCCTCTGTCACGAGGTGGTGATCCACAGAGCTCCCGTCGACGATGAAGTTACCGACAAGAGGTATAAAGATATCGGTAAGGGTCGAGCTACGAAGTGCGCCTTCAATACATAACTCTGCGAGACGGCGCAATGCCCTGGTGCGCCTATGAAGCTGGACATGCAAGATGTTGTTGAATATGTTAGCCTCCTCGTCACCGTTCGCGAGCAGGACACGCATCTCCCGCAACGAGGAGAGACGCTCGCACTTCTTCGCCGCGTAGGAGATGATCCCTAGAATCTCTGCGCGGACGAGCTCATTCTTCGAACGCAGACTGTTCTTGAGTCCGGGGTAGAGCGTATTATTGAATGTTGCCTCGTAGTCGCCCCCAATTTCTTCGACGCGGTCCAGGAAGCGCTTCATGGCATGCGAGGCGTTGGTTCTCACTGTCAGCTCCTCGGGCTCCTGAACGAAGTTGAGCATGTTGAAGAGGATCGGAAGCCATTCTTTCGCTGTCAGTGTTGCATGCCTTTTCTCATTCAGCTCCACGAAGGCCTCGATTCGCCTGCCGAAGTCAGGCTCCTCCATACGCTTCGTCGACCATGCATTGAGGGAGTCCAAAAGTTCGGCAAGGGAGTACAAAGAAGAATCGATCTCGGCGAACTTGCGGAATGTCAGCACCAGAGAGATGCGAGCCGGCCGCGAGCGTAAATTTTGGAAGAGGAATGATAGCAATGCATACGTCCTCGTATATGTCACACTTGCAGAATCTTTCAGATCGACAACGACGGGGAAAAGGCTCTTCACGATGTTGACCATATCGACCTTGACCTTCTCGGGGACTAACTTCGTCGGCCTGCGGAGGACGGGAGTGAAAACGTTGAGTAAGAGCGACGCTTGTCTTGAGTCTGCCATGTACGGAGCCAGCGAAGACAAGATGGTAATTTGCCTGCGACCGATATGATCTGTCATGGACACCGCCGCTTTCGTGCGTTCCATGAGAACCGCGAAGTTCGTCAGGAGGAGTTCGACATGGGGCTTGAAAATGGCGTTCAGAAAATCCTCATCTATCTCCGAGTGACCGAGCAGGTGCTCGACGATGTCCAGGACCCGGGAAACGACGGTAGGTTTCACATTGGTAGCAATCAGACAGTCATAGATCTTTGGGAGGGTACGCTCGTCATAATCAACCAGGAAGCGGGCAGTATCCCGTTTGAGGGACCACGCATGGAAGAGCTCCAGAAGCGCAGAAGGCGCCTGTGTATTTTCGGTGTCCAAAGCATCGAGACGTGGAGAGATGAATGTCTTGAACGCCTCCTTGACATACGTGCTGAAGTCGAAAGTCATAGGTAGGCGGAAGAAATCGGTGAACCGCTTGATGCCAGCCTGCCGGACGGCACGAATCGCACGAGCAGAACCTGGGCCTTCTTGGTCGGCATCTTGGTCGACATCTTGGTCATCATCTGCGCTCACGTCTTCGTCTTGCTCCTGCACGTCTTCTGCAGCCGTGGAACCGAGACGACCTTGAGCGAAGCCCACGAGATCGAGGAGGGTCGCCAAAAGGATAGGCCACCTGTTGATCAAGCGGGTGCCAAGGTTCTTGGTGACGTCACCCAGCAGCGTTAGGAAACCAACAAGCTTCTTGCTTGATACACCGTCCGCCAAAGGCTTAGTCATGTATTCCCCACCGTCGCTGACCTCACGACTTTCGTTGATGGGCTTGAGCATAAGATCAACAAGAGTGTATAGCTCTTCATCGCGGCATCCTGCGAGAGCAGCCAGGACGGCCGCACGGCGATCACCACCTCTACCGCGCCCGCGCCGCTCGAGTATAACACCGAAGAGTAATCGGATAATGGTATCAATTACCTCTGGACGTTCGACATCCTTGATATCAGCGATGCTCAGCTGTGTCAGCTCGTCGCGCCATCGGGTGTCATCAAGCAGCGCATAAAGGGAGTCCTGGTGCGCAATGAAGGCAGGGGACTTGTACGTGAGGATGCACGACACTGCAAGTTTCTGCAGCTGGCGATCTGGGTGTGAGAGGAGGATGGTGTACATTGCGTATAACCCTTCGGTCGAATGGAGAGCCTTCGGGTTGGCAAACTTCGAGAATAAGGTGAGCCAAGCGCTAAGCTTATGGCGAGCAAGCTTGGTAGGTACGTCCGGCGGAGCAAGGGAGAGGAAGTGGGGAACCAGATCCTTGTTGTGCCTCTCAGCGAGGGAGGAGCAGGCACAGAGCGCATTCAGGAGCTGGAGCTCGTAGTTTCCCTGATCGAAACGTTCTTCTACAACTTGAGCCTGCAGAGACATCAGTGGTTGTATCGCTAAATTGAACCGCTGCAGGGCTGACCTGTACGATGATAATTTTTGCAGCATTACCATGAAGTCGCTTGGCTACGCTTGACCGCAACTTGTGTGCACTAGGATCCCTCCAGGACCGCTCTTGCTCAAAAATTGTGTCCTGATCGCTATCATCCACAGACATCCAGGCAGGGGAGGGCTCCGAGAGCTGGTTCAATGATGCAGCTTTCAGTTGCTCGAACAGCAGGTTCCAGGTCAAATCACCAAACCGTTCCGCTATCGCAGCGAGGGCTTCGGAGGTAGGAACCCAGAGTGGACGTAGGTTGACCTTGAGTTGTGCTGAAAGATGCGGTTAGCGACCTGGCTATCGAAAGAAAATATGTGCCCCTAGCCCACCTATTAGCCACCTGACAGCAATCTCGGCACCGATCTCGTCGCCGTCCTTGAGGATGTGACTCAACCGTCCTATTCTCATGACACGTTCGCGAATGCCGTGCACGTCAATGCTGACTTCCTCCGCCTGTAAGCACTTCTTCAAGACTTCGGCAGAAGCTCCCACGTTCAAAACGCGCGAATTAAGCAGATGAAGCATCGACAGCCTGAGCAGGCGAGAATGCGAGAGGAGCGATGTCCGCAGATAGTCGTAAACTGTCTCGGATGAGATTCGCTCTGCAGGTCCTTGTGTCGCTTGAATAATCGACACAAGTCCATGGAGGGCGTATCCTGACCAGCTCCACTTCTTCACAATTTCCGTTGTCCAAGTATTAATGTCAACCTGACTACGCCATTCGGTCGGATTCCGGCGAGCCAGACATGATAAGCAGGAACCGATGACCCACGACGAGTTCGTGCCCCGTTCAACGTATTCGTCATGTGGGTTTTCCGCGGCAACTGTAGTGTTGACAATAATAGCCAGTAGAGGTCCTAGAGAGGGTAGTATGTCGGATAGGGAGATAGCGTGATGAAGAATAAGAACCTGCACAACCATGTCAGCGTACATATCCAGGTGTAGAAAATTTACGGTCCTACCTGATCAGGAGTCCGACTCCAAGATGATAGCTGCCTAGTGAACCAGGCCTGTAGTCTCTGCTTCCAGGACGCCTCAGCCTGCAGCTTTTTCTCTTTCTGCAACGCGCTGAGCAGCTCGAGCGCCTTCTCGGTATGCGAGTCGAGGAGGTCCGGCACAAGTTTGACAACGTGTGGCGAAGCGAGCAACTTGCAGCCTCCCCAATTCAGATCGGACAGTACGGTGCAGAGCTCGAGAGCAAGCACAGGCCGTTCCCAGATGCGAACAAACACTTTCCGGCCAGGACCCATCCAGAGAGCCATATCGCCAGCAGTGAGACACGCGGCGACGAACTTGAGAAGAGCCTCGTGTAGAAGATCCGATAGAGGAAGAGACTCGAATTGCGAAAGGAGGGTCGTCAGATGCTTCGCTGACATGCGCGAGCCCTGGCGAACGGAGCATGGCACGGTGATGACCTCCAAAAGTCTTCGAAGCAGTTCAGAATCTTCTTTTTCAGCATCGGCGAGCTGCTCATTGAGTAGGTCAGACAGTGGGGAGAACTGCTCTGCGGTCTTGCAGTGATGTGCCAGAGCAGTGAGAAGTCGTCGAATAACGATAAAAGGAACTTCTGGGCTGTTACAGCCGAGATAATGACGAAGGAGAGTTTCCACGATTGTCACCGTTGTTGTATGCAAGGTTTGGGAGACAGACTGGAAGCTCGTTCAACCAGTCGCCATAGGTGAACTATGATAAGACGCACCTTGCAAGCCGAGACAAAGACCCAAGAGCTAACATCCGGGCTTGCAGCTGACACAATAGATAGAACACACTGCTCCCGCACCGCAGCCTTTAGCCTCCTTATGGTGGTACCCCAAAGCTCCGCTACGACTCTCTGGACTTCCGGGTCGCATTTCGGCAATACTTGCGCAAAGGCGGCCCACGTCTCTTCGATAGCGTTCGCTGGTATGGCGGCATATTTGAATACCACAGAAATGGTATCTAGTAGCTGCTTCAAAACCCCAGCAGTGAGGGTACGAGGAAGTAGTCTGAGTAATCGGTCGAGGACAGGACGATATTGTGGCGCGATAGTAGCTCGTAGGTCGTGCGATAGCTTCTGTAACAGACTGGAGGAGGATAAGCTCCATCACAAGAAATAAAGAACGCATAAATGTACTCAAGTAAAGGTTTTAAAGCCTCCTCGTCCGCTTTGTCTACCGCGTCTAACCAAAACTCCAGTAATTTCTGCCAGTGGTGCACAAGCAAAGCCATAGACGCAGAAAGACCCTCTGTCTTGTTTGCAAACTCCAAGAAGGTAGGAGAAATGTTTAACTCTCGCCATTCTCCTAAAGATTGGTGGAAATACGAATCGTTGTCCTGCAACCCACTTTAATGCACCACGCGTATAAAGAGGATATCGGGACATACGTCGATGTCATAGCCGAACTGTTCGCGTGCAATGGCAGGGGTTACATGTACTTGCTTCAGAGTCTTCTTGTGCGACTGGTGCTGGAACCCGGATGGCATCCTTTACATATAGACTTCATACGAAATATGCGGGAGAACACACCTTGAACCGCTTGGCAGGACGTTCAGCTACGTGCACGTCCATGACGTCGTTTCTATCTTCCATATCCTGGAGCATTTTGCAGCAACCACCTACAACCTAAAAGAGGGCGAGCGAGTTGAGTGAGCCGCCCGCAGCGGATGGGATGAGTGGTCGAGGATAACCTCTACGCGACAGGAAAATGTTTGTGGTGCGTCTGGCGCTGGATCTTATCTTATCTAAACAACAGAGTGCGGGCGCTCCGAGAATCTGGACGGTCTCCTGCAGCTTCTCCGGTTCCGAGCGTGCATTTGTGTACCGCGAGTGGTATCATATATATATATGCAGCAGCAGAATTATAGATTCACAGCATTAGCGATAGCAATAAATACTAGCCCAACGATCCAAGCAAAGCATAGGAAGCACCAAATATAATAAATCTCAATTCGAACCATGGCGGTTATCGCTTGCACTATATGCAGGTGGCGGGACACCTTCTGTGTCTATCTCGATGTATCCGCGAGTGGTAAGCTCTCCAACGAAGTGCTTCTCTTTCCGGCTAAACATGGTCGTGGTAGCGATGGAGGTAGTCGGTGAAGAGCAGACTGAGTTGCTCAGTTCATGCGCAAACGGCGGAGGGTGTATGGTAAGGGGTTCAGAGAACTCCCAACCTCCATCTGATCGCCGATGTGCTACTCTCATGGCTTCGCCCGGGATATGAGCTAATGGGCACGGTTAGCGAGAGTAGAAGACGCAGAAATTATTGTACGCACTAAAGCGAGGAGCCTCCTCGTCTACTGAGAATGGTGTCACCTTCGAGGCTGGATGGAACCTGTCCAGCACTTGACTACAGCGCCCGGCGTCTTCCTGCTCCAGCTCCATCACTTCTGCCGACTCTCTCTTATGCCGAAAGTAGAAGAAAGCGAGCCCTCCTATTAGCAGTGTGAGCACCACGGCGACGGTCGCGCCGACTGCCGCGGCGGTCGCGGATGCCGAGTCGGACATGGTAGGGACGCGGTTGTATGGACTACATTCAGAGCCAGTAAGTGGGTACGAGTGGGGTATATGATGCAGGTAGGTTACATACCTAATTCCAGTTTGATCTCCGGCCGTGTATACGTAGCGATGTCGCGGGGTGATATGACGATCCGGTCTAGTTCGCGTTAATGTTCTAGCTTCCAGTGACCTGCGCGTGGCGTGTCAATGAACTGAGCGCGTCGGCTGCGTGCGCAATCATACCTTGCCAAGAGCAGTTTCAGCAGGCAGACATGAGAGTAGAACACAAAGATGCGGCGAAGCAGGCGGTAACCAGGACCCAACGAGGGTTGGCAGTCGCCAACAAGGCCTAGACTCTGAAGAGTTCGTGTTTTGACTGATGGGCCAACCTATTAGCGCCAGGGCGGTTAATCATCAGCAGCGACCGAGGCCCAGGCCTGGGCTGCCCTCACCACCAAAGCGCGAGGACCTCAGGCGTAGGACACTCTGGTCAGAATGGTATTGTATAGTGAACATTTATTACGTCTCTGTACGTCTGTTTTCCCAAGATATGAACGACATATCATGCGTAACATTTTACAGTCATCAGGCGAGCACCAGGATGGACGAGCAGAAAATAAACCAACTACGACCAGCCAGTGCCGTTAACGGACAAGCTGCTAGAACCAGTACCACGACAGTACTTTAGCAAGAAATTCGAGGCTTGGCATCTGCAGCCTCAGACAAAGACTCGTCACCAAACACCACGACTTCCTTCTGAACGGAAATCTCGGACAGCTGGATATTTGTCGAGGCTGCCTGTGTCGTGCTGATGCTGGAAGAAGGCGCATTGCGACGTCCCCATTTCAGCAGGCTTGGGGCCTGTCTCTGTAGGTATAAAAAAGGATGCATTAGTTTAGTGATATGCAGGAGACATAACTGGAGTCATTACAGCGCTATCCATATCAACTGTCCCGTGCAGTTGCGCCCTTAGTTCGTTGCGGCTGACAAGGGTATCAAGAAGCGTCTGTAGGTTAGAAAAATTAGTTTTATTATTTTGTATCGTCTAGATTACCTACGTTCGTATAGACACGGCCGATAGGGATGGCGAACATGCCGTAGAAATTGGTGTTTGGCCAGCGGGTGAAGGTGATCAAGTCGCCGATCGAAAAAATACCGGCGAAGAGACCAGTCTGGATCGCACCACGGATGAGACGATTGACCACCGTGTCAGTCTTTTGGAAGCCGGTTTTTGACCGAGCAAGGATGATGCCAAGGGTGACTGCAGCCCGCCGCAGTCAATAAGGGACCACGTGGGCATCTTTTGGCGACTCACTCGTAACCAGAGCATCTACACCAACTTGAAGCACGAGCCACGCCGTAACCAAGTTCGTCAGCACGGATAATTTCGCCGCCCTGGTCGTTTCTGGTGAGCGGTAGCGCAGTGAGATAAGGAACAGCAGACTTACTCCTTAATAATCCAGGCCTTGATACCACAGGTCATGCCGAGGGCGCACGACGGTATTGCCAGCGCGATAATCAAGCCGTACAAATACATATTCTCGGTGAACCGGTATACCCTGAGTCTCACAGGTAAGTCGATTGACTAATGAGTCTGAAAACGGCGGCGACGTACCGCCAGCCCAGGAAGATCTGCGTGACCATCGACGCCCAACCAGTGGCTATCGGGGTCAGGGTGTACGGCCAAATGGCAACTGTTATCATTCGAACGCCCGGTCAGCGATATGACGAAAACCGGGACCTAAAGCCACCAACCTCCAAGTGTCTCTGGTTGACCATATCCAGTCACACTATCAGCGCATTGCTGATGAGTTTGATGTGAGCTGACGGTAGTAGGGAATGCTTACCAATAATAATATGCCATCCAGATGCACCTGCACATCGGAGTCAACATCTGTGATCATTCGCAAAGGGTGTATGACTTACGCTATGCTATGCACACTGTCCAGCAAAAACAGAAAGAGTACCATTAACCTACACACCGGTAAGCAACTCAATTAAGATGGAGGCCTTGTTTGAAACTTACTTCACCGGCAGAGGGTCATTAAACTCTGAAGACTCGTCAATACAGAGCGGGTCGTAACACGGGCTCTTACTTACTTCCTCTGTAGTACGCGATGAACTGGAACATAACTAATCCAAATAAAAATGTGTTGACTACAAAGCGCAGATGAGTAGTTGACGCGTTGAGCCTTGACGGAGCTCCACTCACACATAATGCCTACTAAGAGGGTCCCTAAAAGAATGTCAGCCTACTAGGCCGGCAAGATAAGAGCAACGAACGGCTTACCGAGGGTCAAGTCTAGTTCACCCATCTTGCTGCGTTAAGTCCACCGGGGCAGGATGAGTGACTTGTTGGGCTGAGTGACTCCAATATATGCTGAAGGCAAGGATCAAGAATGAAGAGATGTCAACGGGACATTCCGCGATTTCGTAGGACATCAGAGCGTCCCTAACCTCAAACTTCTGCCGTTCATATCGTTAGCCGACGACAGCGAGCTTTCAATTGGCCCAGCATCGTCCGGAGTTTCCATCACAAAGGATCTCGTCGCCACATCAAATCCAAAGTGGACGCGAGAGCGCCAGCAGGGTCGCGATTAGCCCCACTGCGTTACCTGGGCGTTGGAATACGGAGCTCCCCTGAAACGTCCTCCGCAAGTTGTGCAACAGCGGTCCTCGCAGCGGGGTGCTGCGCGGCGCTCCGCCGATGAATGAAAGTGCGGTGTCATTTCATAGAGCAAAAGAGGTCGCGCTGTGTCCGGGCTGCATACGCCAGTGGTGCGACACTTCGCAGAGCCGGCGTGCAATTCGCAAGGCACAGCGACCGCGTGTCACTTCATTACTTCAGTCTGCTCCATGGCTAGGCCGTATCCGTATCAGCCCTCGCTTTGACATATGCCGCGCCAACGACGTCGCCATGCCGTTTTCGGTTCCGCCCTGAGGCGTACCGTGCCATCATCAGGGTCGTGTCGCAAAGCTAGCGGCTTCTCGCGAGGATAAGATACGACAGTTTAGTCGCGTGATCGTGGTAGCGCCTCGTGTGCCCTGCCTTGCACTGTGATATCCCGGCGGGGTGCCTAGCTACTGCTCGATATCAAGCCCTAATTTTACTGCGGGACACATTGATGCAGCACTATACGTTCTAATATACGACACTCGCTATACGACGCTCGCTAGAGGAGCTGCCCTTACGGAGTAATACCGCCCGGTTTGCGACTCGAACGGCCTACGAAATGTGCACATACGGCTTGTCATCTTCCAGCGCTGCGTCGATCATCGCAGGGAGACTCTCCATCAATGAGATCCTATCGCTCTCGACAGACTTCCATCCCATGCGGGTCAAGCGATCGGCCTTCGCGAACATACTTCCACCCAGCAGGGACCAGCCATCTGGACAGACAAAGCTCAGCGCCCAGTCAACTCCTATCAGAATGTGCGCTTACAGTGTCCCAGGGGTTCGACAATCTCCTCTGGCATCGGCTTCGCCCCGGGCTCCTTCGTGATGCCCTTGTTGTACAGGTGCTACATACGCGGTTGTCAGGTCCACGAAACTCAAATGAAACAGCGGACTTACGTCGCCCATAGCTTTTACCCACTCGCCGTAAGAAAGCAGGGTGGGTGTGACGGCGAAATCTATAAGGGTAAGATTTCGCAAGGGGAGAAGATGGTATCTCAGCTGAACTCACAGAGCCCGTCCGCACCCTCCCCCGCTTTGCCCTCGCTGGCGGCCCTCAGGATCATGAGTATGGCATCCGCAAGATCCTTGACGTGGATAGTGTTCTGCGCGTTAAAACCCCTGCCCCAGGTGCCTCCGTAACCGACACGCTTCGCATAGTCCATGAAAATACGCAGCCAGAGGGTAACTTTCTGCACGCCTGTTCGAGGCAAGTCAGCATACATCTAATTCCCCTGTAAAGTATGCGCACCATTACCGACGCCGTAGATCTGGCCTGGATAGACGATGATCGAGCGGATAGAGTTGTTCTTCCGCTTCCCTGCCGCGACTATCTGCAGACGGTGAGCACCACGAAAAGGAAAGTCATTCTGATACTTGCTGGCTTGTCAGACTCCAAATGGGTGTTTGTCGGGTCACAGCTGCGCCGTATGGAAGTAAGCACGGCGTTAAACGAAGCCGAGAAGAAGCATACTCGTCTAAGTCCAACCCTATGTCTGTCCAGAATTCCGGATTTTCGGTCTTTTCGCCGCGAGTATTGTTGCTGATGATGCCACAGCCGGAGACATGAAGGTACAATGGAGGATTGCCCGGTCTTCCGGCAGAGTTCTTCTCTAGGCCCTCAAGAGTGGCTATAATGGAATCATATGGTTCAAAGTTTCGCAAGTCGCGGGGATTCGCGCGCACCACATACGCTAGGCCAATGGTCCGAACTAGCCGAGTTGACGACGATGTCAGCCTTCGAGGCCTCCTCCACAATGACTTTCGCGTCGTTCAAGTCTCCCTCGACCACAACCAGCCCGGGATGCAGTCCTTGCAACTTCGCGACACGTTCTGGCGTGGGGTTGCGAACTAGGGCCCTCACAGTATCGTTGGGGAAATCCCGCGCCAACTGAGGCAGGATATCGCCGGACAAGAATCCGGTAGCGCCGAGGTAAAAGATTGTCTTGACCATCGTGCGACGTTGAGTCTATGCAGTGTCGGGGAGTTGAGCAGGCTATGCACAGCATCTTGCGCGATGCTCGCCGAGTATTATATGCCGCCTCATTTACTCGGGCATGCACGTTAGCTCAGAACACCCCTGAGACAGAGGTTGCCCTGCGATGCAAATTCAGGAATAACACTTTACTAGCGTACGTAAGCCGGAGGCAAATTGACCATGTTCACCGTTCGGCGTCGTCGTCCAGGGTGCAAGTACGCTAGAGCTAGACAATATCAGTGATTTGGCGGCTGCCGATGGTCGTGGCCCGTGAGCGATACCAGGAACAGATTAGTGCTATCCCTGGCCCGTGTCATTCGGGTCAATTCATTGGACTGTAGTTGCGGCATACGGCAAGGCATACCAGATGCCGCCGTTGTAGCAGCACGGTGACGCGGCGAAGCTTGTAGTCGCCGATGGAGTCGGTGAGCACATGCTTGTAGGGTCGCCACTGATTTCTAAGGGTCGCGAACATCATTGCTCCCTGCATCTCGTTCGGCCGCAGGAACGCATCACAGACCCCAGAAGGGCAGTTGGGGTCAGGATCTGCGGACTACTACTTTGGTCCATGTGGACACAGCACCCGCGTCAGAAGGCAAAGGCCAACTAGCGGTGAAGCGTCTCTGCGAGGACCGGTGAGGTGATAATTGCTGACAAAATGTGCTCCTTTGAACATCTTCAAGCAGAATAGTTCGCTCGGTGTCATAGGCAATCGAATCGCAAGTTATTGGCAAATTGGCAAACAATGAGGATGGCTCTCAGGCGACAGCGTACGAGGAAGTCTGCAGTGAGCGCGGGCGTCCAGATTGAAATGGAACAAGAGGCAGCTTCGCTCCGCTACGCGATTAATGTTCTCTCGGAGACTATTTGCGTGACTGCTGTATTCGTGGCTGGTGTCTTCGTGGTTGGACTCCACTTGGCTACCAGTTGCAGCATTCCTATGGTAATAAATTGTTAAGTAAGTTTCTAGTTAAGTATCTCCGTGGCCGACCTTCTGATCCTCAGGCCTCAACGCCTGCGGCAGCTCGGATTACACAGGCTAAGGCCTTCGAAGTATCGGGGGGAGTGAGAGAAAGTAACATGATTTGTGGCCGATCAGGCGCATGCGGCGGTGAGTATACAGAGGTCAGGGCTGAGAATAAGTCGCAAAAGGGGGTAAGAAACCAGTTACTTACTTTCTGCAGGGTACCATGTTAAAGTTACGACAGATGGTGGCAGAGAGACAGAGAGCTGCAGCATGCCACTCGATAGCACAACGGCGTATAATCTTTCAGGCATGAATAAGTACCAACTTACGTATGCTTAATCCATGCGTGCCGGCAACGTGCATACCTGTCTGCGACCAAGACTGGTCACTTTAAACATGGAGGATTAATATTCTTGATGGTAGAGTGGATACATACGGCCGGAGTCGCCTGATGCGCTAGCACGTCGGCCAGCGCGCGGCGACACATCGTACGAGTCTTGAGCAAAGTCTTGAGCCTGAGGACTTCATAGCATCACGGCATCATATATGGCGGAAAGTCCTGTACGACCAATATAGTAAACGAAAGCCTAACACGGCCAACGCTAAAATTTTCAAGATAACGCTGTAAGTACAAGACGCCTCGAGCTATTGAAGCTTTCTCTGGACTTACTACAGCTAAGAGGTTACATCTTTCCCCTGTTGTTTCCTGTGTAGACTTATAGATATGGGAAGCATCTCATGAGATTACTCGACCAGCCTGCAGCATCGTCCGAAGTTGTCCTTGCTCCTTAATACGGCAGTGACTAGGCCTCAGTTTTGACTGTCTTGTTTGCGGTGTAGATCTGTTATACAATGCTGCCTAAGGGGCAGGAAATTCGAACCATGGTATTCCAGACAGGCCACCATGTCGTCGTGAGCGTCGTGGCGTAGGCTCCTGCCCGGCAGCCCTGACATCACCCCGGTCGTTGATGCGGCCGCCGGCCAACAGCACTTTCGGGCGCTCTTGACGGCCCAGTCCGGCAGTTTTGACCTTGACCTGCTTCCAGTCCCACCCTCTCTTGCACCACCGTCACCAGTCTTTATTGGTTCTGCAGCGAGCTCATCACAGCTCAGGACTGTCCATTCCCTTCAACTCGTTCGCATCGAGGTCAGCCCAAGAACTTTCGTCAACACAACTCTCGCAACGCGCCATAGCAGCATGCAACTCCTCCCGCTCGCTCTCTATGTCCTTTGTTGGACCGCCGCGGCAGCTTTGGCGCTGCCGCAGACATCCTCAGCCTCAATTACCTCAAGTTTAGCCAGCTACCTAAGCGCTTCTGCCACTGCAGCCGGCAGTATCTCTGCAAATGCGTCCTCAAGTGCGACACCCACGAGTTCGGCACAACTACCTAGCCTGAGTGGATACTCGCCTTGCGGTTAGTGTAGAGTTTTTATGGAGCGGTTCATGTGCCTTATCCTGTGCACTAGTATCAAATTGCCTCGATCTCGCGATCTCCCAGGTGGGCTGCAACAGCGTTGCGGACGTCGGCTGCTTCTGTGGAAAGTGCGTGTCTCTGTCTAAAACACGCGACTGCGGCGCATTAACCAGCCGACAGCGCGACACGTTTTGTCAACGACATAACCAGCTGTGTCAGCGGGCAGTGTATTGATCAACTAGCGAATACCGAAAGCCTAGCCCAGCAATTTTGCAACGTTGCGAGCCCCAGCGTATCGCTTTCGTTCTCCCCACTCCCATCAACCCAGTCTTCTACGGCCAGCGGATCTTCCGCCATCTCTTCTGCATCAACCTCCACGCCGTCCTCCGCATCGACCGCCTCCCCTTCGTCTGGGTCCACCAGCTCTACATCGTCTTTGCCATCACCCTCGCAGAGTGGCAACACTAATCAGTCTTCTGGGGCTGGCAGTATATCTGCTGGGAACCTCGGTCTCTGTGCATCGTTTACCCTCGCACTGGGTCTTGGAGCATTTGGCATGTTTCTGTAACAGTGCCAACAAGCAGCTCGTTCGTCACATCTTATACCCTATACCATCACGTCTTGACCAAATATTCCCTGGACGCTTTACATGTTAATTCTGAACCTTCGGACATTGAGGTATTTTCACTGCTCGGGGACATTCGATTAAATATACAGCGCAATTTGTAAATGCGGAGATGCGAATATAATCGAAAGCAAAGGAAACGAGCAGGAGAGGATTTGAACTGTGCCAGAGGGAAACTGACCTCGCATCCTAGGAGAAGCGTGAAGTCATTATTCGGAGAGAATTGATGCGAGTCAATAGAGGGAACAAGATAGCGTGAAGCACTGATACCTCAAGAAAAGAATACAGGGACATGTTAGTACTCAACGGCTTCATCTTCGTCTCCAGCGGCAGCCTGGAGTAATGCAGCGGAGGAAGACTCCTTAGTCGTGGTTGTTGACGCGTCCTGTTTGGCCTCTTCCTTGGCCGCAGCAGGCACGCTCTCGTCGTCCACATCCATAGTTGCCCCATTCTGGTGGGCAGAACCGGATCCCTCAGTATCCTCGTTCGCTACAGCATTCGACGGTGCAGGATCCTTGGACTTCCTGTCACGCGCATCCTCCATCTTCACATCCTGCTCCTCGGCGCCATCGCCAGACTCCTTGCGTTCGCTTTTCTTCCGCTCCTCCTCTTCTGCTACACGCTGTCGCAGCGTGCTGATATCCTCTATACCTGTTGTCCGCTCGGTCTTGAAACTCTCCCACTCACGTTCCGCGGCGTCTTTGATCTACAAACCCAGTGAGCTAAATAAAAGCACAAATAACTGAGCAAGACGCACTTCCGTTTTCCGATGATTGAGGAAAGCTTCTTGTTCCGGTAGTAGTATGGCAGGAAGGTAGTATAGTGGCGGTGGGTGCGATTTCGGCGGGAGTGCTAATGGGTCGGTAGAAGAGGGTGATGATGAATCATCTCGGGTTATGTGGTCAGCTGTGGACAGGAAGTTCGCAAGCAGAGGTAGCCGTGTACGGCGCTGCTTATACTATGCTTGACGTGAGAAGCAATGTCATTAAATCCGGTAGGTTGTCACGTACGATAGAGTCCTTCAGTTGCAGCTCTTCCTCCTTACGGTTCGCGCTCGTCTTGTCCTTTTTCGCCTCTTCGGCTCTCCTGACAGAGTCAGTCTCTTTGCGCAGCTTATCCTGTAACCTCTGCTCTATCATCTGCCTCTTCTTGGCCTGCGCACACTATCATCAGCCGGCTATATCGGAGCACAACGTTGTATAAGGCAACGCACCGCTTCGCTGTTCTGGCGCTCCCTATCCTCATTCTTCGCTTTGTTTAGCGTGCCCAAGACAAGTCCAAACATCGTCTTTCCACGCTTACGCTCGCGCGCATCCGTCGTGAGATCTAGGCGTGGACGCTTCCTGGCCTCCGCTGCCGCGGATCTTGGGGAGGCCGCGTCTTGCATCTGAGCATCTTGCGATTCAGTGTTTGGATTTTCGTCAATTTGTGCAGTCCTATGTCATAATTAATACCGAGTGCATCGAAACGCGACGGAAGACATACTCCTCGGTGGACATGGTGAGCAACGGCGGGTGAGAGATGGAGATGAGAGGAGCGTGGCAGCAGGTACTGTAGAGCGATAACAAACGTTTGAAATGAGCTTTGGCGACGTCAGTAATTTGCCTTAGTATGCGGTTGAATTTCGCTTCAAAAAGTATAAGCAATATTGTTACCTCTCGCTTGTTATTAGGCGCTTGCTCGGTTCTCGAGCTTGTCCCCCGCACGCCATGCCACAGAAACCAAAGACGACCTCCGCGTCTGCACAGAAGGGCAAGCCAATCAGAGTGAAGAAGCGGCCGGCGAAGAAAGAGCCTTTGCCTGTTACTGAACGACTGAAACGACTCTTCACCTCTCTGTGTGCACAGATAGACGGAGGTCATTTCAGCAACGCCATTAAGACATGTGACAAGAGTCCGTCCTCGTATACTACCCTTCGCAGGCTGTTCGTTGACTAAGCCTCTTAGTCTTACGGCTCGAGCCCAGTGATCCAGACGCACTACAGACGAAAGTGTTTCTGCTTCTTCAAACGGAGCAGTATGCGCATGCTCTCGCGCTCATAGAGGGCAATGACAAGTACGCCTATGAAAAGGCGTATTCGCTGTATCGGACCAATCAGGAGGCAGGGGCGAGGAACGCTCTAGAGGTGTCGAAGCGCAATAAGGGAGATGACGACCGTGGAGTGTTGCACCTCGAAGCACAATTGGTATGAGATATCCTGATCGTTGGCAGATGCAACGGCTCATCTCCGCGTGAAGGCGTATCGTGAAGGCACATACCAGGCCGCATTCGATCTATACAACCAGCTATTAGACACATCGGAGCCGGTACGTCTTGACCCCGTGTTGGTTTACGGTCTCTCTTCTGACCGGAGCGAAGAGCTCGGACGAGCATGCAGACATCCTCACCAACCTGGAGGCGGCACAGAAGCACCTCGAGTTCATTGACAGTGGCTATCTCCGCTCATTGGACGACCTTCCCACGTCGGTCACAAATGACCTGGAGTCTGCCCCTCCCCCACACCCTCCATCGGCTGCGGCAACCCTTGCAAATGTCATTGTTTCTCAAGATACAGACACCACCAAGAAAGAAAAGCAGGTTAGGCTAAAGCGTGTTCCTAAGAGTGTGGTTATGGGCGTGACCCCTCCTCCGGATCCTGAACGGTGGTTGAAGAAGAGCGAGCGGTCGAACTTCAACGCCGGTGGAAAGCGGAAGAAGGGTGGCGGGGGTGCGACGCAGGGCATGGTGGAGAGTTCAGCGCCAGCAACCTCACACGGAAGCAAGAGCGGGAATAAAGGGAAGAAGAAGAAGTGAGCGATGAATGTGCCCGTCTGGCGGAGGTACCCCTCGCTCGTATGCATGCCCCAATATGAGACAACTAAAATCATTTCCCTGTGCTACCGTAGCTTGGTCTTTCCCTCTATTGGACAACATTGTGTACCTCGCTCAGACCATGCGGGTTAAGATCTGGCCCATCGCTAAGTACGCGAACCCATCCCGTGCTTTGTCCTCGAGCTTCTCCGCGTGTTTGTGGCGAGTCCAAGTTAGCGCCTCGTGAAGTGTTGGGTAGGTTATCCATATTGGCGTTTTTCTTTGCCCTTTGAGTTATCTACAACTTAAAAGCGAAGTTTCGAATGACTTGAACGATAGTACACAGCGTCGAAGTTTGTTTCTCAAGATGTAAGTTGAATTTTCTAATCGTACCTACGTGGAAAATTATCCACGTGTTCCGATGACGTCCAGCATGCAGCGTGTTCGATCCCAATTCTTCTACCATTCCAGCTGACCAATGCCGAGACTAACAAGCGGAGATCGCCCCTGGGGTGCGTGTTAAGTGACCGGCTGAATTTCCTCAATTTTTCTGTTCTTTTGCAGGCTGTTGAGACTGTAGCTTCCATGGAATGTGGAACACGTTCCGTCCAGGGCTCCCTCCTCGAGGCCATCGCACACATCACGAAACGTGTACAGAAAACAGAGGTGCCCCAATGGCTCAATGAACATGGGAGATGACTGATCTCCGGTCAACTCGATCACGGTGTACTCGAGGCGCGTCTTCGCGCGAAAGACGTCGCGTACAGTATGCCGTTTTTTTTGGCTTCGTTTATCCGTGTCGCGGAGTGCCTGGTATGGTATATAATATGGCACCAACGCCGTTCTCAACGCTCCAGCAACCCCCGCCCCTCTTCTCACTCATTCCCTCCAGCTCCTCACGATGTCTCACCCAGAGGTTCACGGCGTCGTCGTCATCTCTCGCAACGGCGACCGCAACGTCGCCTACCAACACCCTATCTCCTACGAGGTGGACCCCACCGAGAGCACGCCGCTCGGCGAGGTGCAGGCACACAAGCTCGGCACGTACCTGCGCAACGTTTACTTCAACCCCGACTCGCCGTCTCGCATCCGCGGCATCAGTAGCGACATCGTTGACCTCAAGGAGGTCCATACTCGCGTCAAGGTCGGCACTGAGGGCGCGTCCGTCTTCGACTCCGCAACGGCGACGCTCCAGGGACTCTTCCCGCCGAACCCCAAGAACAAGATCATCCTTGCGAATGAGACAACCGTCGTCGCGCCCCTCGGAGGTATGCTACGTCCTTCACGTGCTCAGATATCTGCTCACAGCATTGCAGGCTACCAGTATATCCCGGTCGAGACTGTTGAGCCAAACAACGACCGCTCGCTTGAGTCCTGGACCGACTGTCCTGTGCGTGTTCATGGCGTCTGTTTCCCGCGCTTATTCTGACCTTCATTCCGCTTAGGCTTTCCAAAAGCATGTCCGTGACACCCTGTCTGGTGAAAAGCTGAAGAAAGCTGCTAGCGAGGCTGCGCCCTTCTTCCGTGATGCGCACGACTTCGTTTTCGGTCGCCCGCTTAGCATTGAGAACATAGTGAGTGTATCAATTCCACCAAATCAGCATCTTACTGACATTGATCTGTGCAGTACAACGTAGGAATATCTCCAGCGACTTTTCGGTGTCTGGCTTAGCTCACTATATTTTCCAGGTCTGGGATTGGATGAACAGCGAGCTGATCCACAATCAGACCTATGCTTACCGTCTCCCTCCCACCTTCATCGAGCAGGCTCGTCACTGGGCTAATGTTCGGGAGACTGCCATATTTGGATCAGAAGACATGCACTCCATTGCTAACGGTATGTGTATCTGTCTACTGCGTACCTTCGCTCTCTGACGTTCACAATCAGTTGCCTCCCGCACCATGCTCGACTCTGTGATCGGCGCTCTGCAGCGTGTCGCTTTCAACGGCGATCCGCTCCAATTCATGCTGATTTCGACGACTTACGAGCCATTCATCTCGCTCTTCCACCAGACCAAGGCTGTCGACCAGGACCCCGAGCTTGCCGCCATCCCCGACCACGGCGCTGCCCTTGCCATCGAGCTCCGCCGCGCGCCGCCACCGGACGTGCGCGAGTTTTTGCGCTTCAAGTTCAGGAACGGCACTGAGGAGGAGTTCCGTACCATCCATGTCTTCGACCACGGCGAGGACATTCCTCTGACTGAGTTCATCTACCGCCTTGAGGTGAGGGCCTTCGTTCTCATGTAGGGGCATAGCCTGACTATCGCACGCTAGGGCTCTGTCGTTCACGGTAACCGGAAGTGGGCCAGTGCCTGCGGCAGCGACTTTGCCCCGTCATGGATGGGTATTGAGGCTGCCGAGCGCTCAAGATTCGTCCAGGGAAGCTGCCTCATGGCGGTCTTCTTCATGCTCATGATGTCCGCGTGGTTCGGCTCTTACATCGCCAAGCGCTACCGCCGCCGCAACCACATCCGCCTCCAGGGTGAAGAGGTGGGTGCTCTGTCTCGTGATGCCAGTGCTTCTCGAACTAAACATTCCATGCAGGGTCGCATCGAGGGTGTCAGCTACGGCACTCAGGCCGAGAAGCACTAGGGGTATGGTTGCATCTTGGGCTCTAGGACTGGACAATGATTCCACGAAACACGGGCACATGGATAATGCATCTTGTCGCATCTCTTATACCATCGCACTTCGCTCTACGATTGGATGTCTTCTGGCCATATGTATTCTGTAACGTTCTTATCATTTACAGAGTCTTGGTTTCAGTGCAAAGATTTGACCTCATTCGTGCTATTCTATACTTGTGTGCGCATGATCTCACCAGCGCATATCCTGTTCTGTGCACTTTTCGCGTAGAAACCGTACGATAGTGCACTAGTATTAAGAGGACTGCATGTACGGTTGCCGAGCAGGCTCAGGCCAAACCCCCAAAACCCAAGTCCGGATCATAAAGCTGATGGCCAATCACTTAATGAGCGTCTAAGCACTTTTCCGCACACAGACGTTATGTACGGCATTGTTAGGTCTTTTGGATGTTATGAAAGCATGTAAGATAATGTGTCTGTATACTCTGAGGCCAACAAGGGTAGCAGCGAGTCGAGGGCCATTATCTGACCCAGGCTCACGGAAGTGATAGTCAAGCGCCCAATGCTTCGATTATCTTATCGAGCACCTACCCCTAGGTTACTCGATAGCTAAAATGTCAAGAACGCGGCTGCATGCTCTGTTGCACGGTAGAATAATGGTCAGACATATGAGTTCAATCCAGTATATGTCACTCCTAATAGGGGTGTTCAAAGTTCACTTTGAATGTGCTTTAGACTCGCTTTGATGGCAATTCAGAGGATGAAACAGAAACTCGAAGCGGCGCGGTTTCGGGGTCCTGAAGCGACGATTCGGACTGAATCATGCTGAATCGTGTCAAATCAAGGTCGCCCGTCGAAGCGGCTCCCGAGCCGCTTTGCACGCCGCTTTTCGCTCGATTCACGCCCGCTTTCCAGGCCAACCTGCTTCATCCCATGCCTGACTCCCTCCTCCTCTCCCTCCTCCCGTGCTATTTGCATTGATTTTGTAATAGCCCCATGCACATGGAGTAGTGGCAGTGGGATCAATTTATATTCAAATTTTGCTACCTGTTTTCAGCATGTTACAATAAAAGCATGTCCCACACAAGCATTTCTTAGCTGCTCCATGGTGCATACCAACGAGTAATTTTTTGAAGGCATCTTTGCTCCCTGAGAGTATGCAGGAGCCCTGCTACAGGTATAATAGAGTGTATATAGACCATTAGGAATGAGGCGGAGGTGTCCCTCGCACTGCCAGCAATTCGATTTTACTCTCTCGTAGTCGGGGGTGTTCAAAGTCTATGCATGCTCCAGTCGTGTTTCGCTTCGTTCAAAACAACTCTTGAAGCAGCCGTGAATCAGTTTTGCGTGTGAACTTTGAACACTCCTAATGTCAGCAACCCAAAGACTGTGCTGGCTGTCTGTCACATTATGATAGCATGTACTACAGTGACAACTGAAAGTATTGCAACGGACTAGGCGCCGATGCATTTCCCACTCGTCATCTGTCCCCCTTGCTCAGTACATGCCTGAATATCCATAAAAAATTAAAGAACACTCTATACACTATGTACTATATGCAATAAAATTTGAGGAACAATCTGTACATTCTTCATGTCAAAAATGTGGAGTTTTCTTGTTCACCCATCAAAAACCTGGTGTAGTCCTACATGTGCTAATTGCTGGAGTGCCCGCATTCCTACCTTGAAAGCTGCATTTTGCAAAGTAAGTGTTTTTCCACACTGTCCTGAGGGTGCAGAATGATTATTCTAATAGTAAGACAACAGGTACTACAATAAGAGTGATGACTCTAACCAAAAAAGCGAAAGTCAAGCTGCTTGACCATATGGGCTGGCACCAGCATGATATTGCTGCTTCCTTCAGGGTTAACAAGTCCACAATCAGTCGCACACTCACTGATTTGAAGAAAAACCCAGACCCCTACTATAAGGAACCCATACTCAGCTGTCCGCACAAGATGGATGAGCATGACGTGTGCCAAGCCACGCGCGCGATCACATTTGGCTTTGCATCTGATGCCACCGACCTTCAATGGAAGCTTTTCTCTGTTGTAAGCCCCCAGGTTGTTCACCGAAGGCTTGCAGAAGCTGGTTTCCCAGGCCGTGTTTGCAGGAAGAAGCCGCTTCTCACAAAAATTCATGTGCAGAAGCACAGGGTGTGGGAGAAACGGCACTGGCTCCGGGAGATGAAGACATGGATGCACACCATCTTCTCCAATGAGTGTAAATTCAATTTTTGTGGCTCAGATGGAAGAAGGTGGTGCCGCAGGAGGATGAAGGAAGAAAACTTGCTGCAGTATGTGAAGAAGACAGTAAAGCATGGAGGTGGACACATTATGGTCTGGGGGTGCATCATCTAGAACGGAGTTGGAAAGCTTCACCTCATTCAGGGAAACCTCAATGCGGGACAGTTCCGTGAGATTCTCACGCAGTTGTTCCTGGGGACCCTTGATGATCACTCCCTTACCCGCGAAGGCATTGTTTTCCAGCAGGATAATGATCTGAAGCACAAGTCCAAGGCAGCAGTCAAGTGGTTTCAGGATAATAACATCACGCTAATAGACTGGCCACCTTCCTCTCCTGACATGAACATTATAGAGCATGTCTGGAGTCACCTGAAGACAAAGCTGTATGCTTGGTCTGTCCAGCCAACCAACAAGGAGCAGTTATGGTGCATGGTGAAGGAGGAATGGGAGGCACTTGATCTTTCTTACATTAGAAATTTGTACCTGTCTATTCTGGATCGCTTGGAGGCTTTGAAGGATGCAAAGAGCCAGTATACCAAGTACTAATTTTTGCAAGGCCTGTAATCTTACGGATGATGAGCATTGCTTGTATTTCTGACTGTTCTGCTGTGTCGCGCATGAGCAGTGTCCCAAAATGGTAAGGGGATTTGATGGCACCTGAACACTGTTCAGCCTGCTGTCCCCCTGGTTCTTTGTCCTGGAGCATGAAATTGTGTGTACAAAGACTACTATATATAGAAAATATGCATGCAAAACATCACACTGAGTAGCCTCCTGAAAAGAGAGGATGGTGTGCGACAAGGTGGAAATGCATTGGCGCCTAGTCCATTGCAATACTTTCAGTCATCACTGTAGTAGCATGACTTCTTAAATGACATTGATCACAACTATGATTAGCAGCTGATGCTATATATATACACATGATAGCTACACGGAAGGACAAGGTCGAGCACATCTGCAATGACTCCGATGGCAAGGGATGCCTCAGGTCCCAGTCAAGCCCCGATGCACCACTCTGGAAAATGGGCGTCTGATGTTGCCATTGCTGCTTGCTCCACTGGCCTGCCAACAAAGATTGAAAGGCTCTATTTGGCTTATAACCTTGTATACATGCAATATCAAACATTTATTTATGCTGAAAATGCTTGAATGTTTAGAATAAGAGGTGCCAGTGCACTCTGAGGTTGGTGGTGTACAGTAGTTGTCTGAGTGCTGACGGCATCAGGATTTCTGAAAAGAATGTCCTGACATGCCACAGAACAGAAGGCCTGGGAACTGGACAATATTGCAGTCAGCAACGCTGTACATGTTCCTCAGAGAATGCACACAAGCCGTGAATCTTTTTTTGCAACAATCTCAGTTGCAGCTCACTACTCACCTAATTAGTGGCTCTTAAGAACACAGATGGTGAAGTGGGCAAAACAGGGTGTCATTGAGCTTGCCAAGGGCTCAAAAAGTATTTCAAGCCTTATTGTGAGCTCCAGACTTTGCCGTAAGCTGTAGGCCTCATCATGAGAAACTACTTACAGGCACCAAGTGCTATAATTATGAAAGCTGGAGATGGACAAAAATAGGGACATCACAAACTCAGGATGCAGGAAATCTCAATCTCAATTTGATCATGCAACACTGCATAAGATTGCATGAAAATGCATGTGGATGCATGAACATGCACACATATGCATGTATGTGCACACTCATGCTACCATGTAAACCAAAGTACACTGTTGCAGAACTGGAACTGGGCCAATGCAGAAAACTCAAACTCACATTGACACCTATAAAGTGCACAGGCTCAATGCACGTATGTACACTTCAGTGCATATCAATGTCTTTAAAGGCACTTCAAGAGTACAGTCTTGGGCTGATTGAGATAAACACTTTGTTCACTATAGACTAACACTATCTTACATATACGCATGACTTGGCTAGTTGTACAGGCCAGAGGTTCTCAAGCCAAACCATCACTACGCAGTCTATGTTGGCAAGTTCATTTGGAACTTTGGCTCTTTGAACTGCTTCTGGACCTTCCTATTTGAGAGCATGAATAAAATTTTCAAGAGCTACAAGACAAACAACCATGGTGGCAAAGAAATAGAGGTCACATTCTTTTGTGAATTTCACCACACAATCTGAACCTCATGCATGATAAGCTTGCTTCTTCCACACGTTGTTAGCTTGACTCTCAAGTATTATTGCAGCCTGCCAGTGGTGCACGGACTGCTAGTGCAACTGGTTTACCAACTGCAGTTGAAGTGATGTCGAAGACATCTGAAAATGACTGGAGAACTGTCCAAGCTCTTGCACAAGAGCTTGATGAAGAGCATCAATATGGTGTGTCTTTATTTGCAGCACCAAATTACACAAAACTGACAACAATACCTTGCAGATGGAGTCCGTCTTTATATGAGCAACTGGGGTGAAAAAGCAGACCTCTCAGCTGAGCTTTACTCTGTGATGCTGAGCTACTACTGGACATGCTTCTCTGAGTACCGCTTTTGCTCATGGATTGCATCATTAACAAATGATCTCACGCACCTCGTGACTACTGATGCCATTTTCTTTGACCACATTGTGATCAACCAAAGTCACTACACCTTTGTACTTTGCTCCAATGCCTCTGCTGAGGCTTTAATTGTTGTATGCACTAATGATGCAGGAGTGAGATGGGTGGGCGAGCTGCTCGAGATATTTTCTATCACCCAGGCACCAATTGAGACGCAACAGTTTGAATACATGTGCTGGCTTGTGCCTTACAATGGTGACATTGCAGCAACTGCGTGGCAAGAAAGGTATGTTATAAGTGCTTGACTGTGCAGCTGCTAACATATTTTTTACATTGCTCGGCTTGGTGTATGTCTCTGGAAGAAGGACCTGTATCTTCCAAAGGATGACAGTGGCCCAGGAGCTATCATCAAGCTTGATAGAATTATTTGTCATGCTATACATCTTGATGTGACCATTGGTGAAGTTGAGACATGGGCAACCAGCTTAGTGCAATCAGTACATATTTGATTCAGTCAATACATACATATCTTAAACATGATTACGCAGGTTGGAGCCATACTACCAGAACTGTAGAAGTTAAATATTTGCCTATGCATTCTTCTCATTAGCTTCATCACCAGATTGACCACTGCCTGCTTCTGCGGAGTCAGAATGGCCAGCATGATGGAAGTGGCTTAGTAAGTCGTTATCAGGAATGTTCAACTTGAAAATCATATAGTCCTCGAAATCAGCAAGAACTTTGAAATGACCAATCATACTGGTACACTGAGCCCAATCATTATTGACATAGCTTGCAAAGAGAGGGCGACTCTTTGGTGGCGGTCCATCATAGTTCTTGTCAGAGACACCACGAACACAGAGCTTGGTGGCACATCTGCCATTGTGGTCCTTGATTCACTTGGATATCATAGCAAGTGCACCAATGATACAGTTGAACTGCAACAGATGTGAGTATCTTTGCTAAATGTGTCTTGAGCATGATAATAACAATGTACTGAGTCAGAATGCCAATTTTTGGTGCATACCTCAAGCTTCCTGCTTTCTTGAGGATCTTTGTGGGCATCTAATTCTGTCTCGCCAGAGTATGAGTACTCAGATGACATATAGTCATTATGCAGGAGCTTCTCAATGCTGACGGTGTTCTTTTCACTATACTGCTCTTTGAATTCTTCTACAGCCTGATGGATTTGGTCACAATGCTGAGTAAGTCTGAAGAGAGTCAGTGTGAGCTCACAGAGCAAAAATGGTAAGTTAAAATACACATTGACATCTGAGCACATGCTTAGTATTCATGCATTTGGTTTTAGCCTTGATCTCAGCAGTGTGACTGATCTGGGCTTTGTACTTGTTATGAAGTGTGGTGAAGTATGTTTCTGCCACCTGTCAAAGATGTGTGGGAGTTGAATCAGCTTCATTTAAGGTATGACAGCTTTATGATAGAGAAGAATGTGTTCAGAAATAAACTCGGCAAGTTGCCACAAATGGCTGACCTTCTGGCTATTGATAATGCGATCAATCATCGCCTCAAGGTACTGATGATTAATGTCAAGGCTGATGCTCTCTTGCTAGAGTGAGTTATACAGCAGGGCTTCATTCTCGATGTAGGAAGGTGCACCATCGGCTAATGGCATGGGGAGGATTAGCTTCTGGTTGCAAACCTTGTGTACTCTGACCAAGTCCAACATGGTCTTCTGCACGGTTTTCTGGTGTACCGATAAGTGCAGCTCATTTTATTGACCAGACGTTGATCTTACCCTAACAGGGCCTGTGATGCAGATCTTTCCTGCCTTCTTCCTGCCACTGAGCTGTTGCTTGACAAGACTGGTGATCTCTTCAAGGCTCAGTGACATTTGGATTGTTTTGGCACCTGAAGATCCAATGTTGAGATTGGCTTTGCTGCCATGCACAAGTTCACTGAAGGGCATTGCAGGACCTTTTTGCATGGCAGGTGAGTCAATGAGGCCTGCAGAAGGTATAATACTCTGTCCTGTTGTCATCAGCTGTCCACTACCGCTGATATTCCTAGCATGCGCAGGGAAGCCACCCATGTTTGGGCCATACATTGGGCCCATTGGTCCCATGTAAGTGCCTATGTTCCACATGAGGTACGTTAGCTACAAAAATATATACATAATCTATAACAGCACTAACCAGCATGAAGCTGTGGCCTGCATAGTGTCCATGATGAGGCCCAATAGGGCCTCCACTGTTACCAATGCCTTGGCCCTTGAAGTGAAGTATAAATAAACATGTCAACAACAGCATGATTATCATACTTACAGTAGGACTGGCTGTGTTCATGTTAGGGTGCAGTGCAGAAAGGTGACCAGACAGTTTGCATGACAACATTGGGAGGAACATAAATGGAACCGTCAGGTTGCATCTCGAAGGTGCTGATATAGGACGAGCAAGCCAATGTGTGACCTGAAGCAAAAGGGAGCAGCAGTCGTATCGACTCAGAGGGAGAAGCTGAGGGAGGGAGGTTGACCTGGTGTGTAGCTTGTTATTTATCACTTCGGATGTGTTTCACCTATTGCACATTGATGGATAGAACCTTCTGCAGTATCGGGAGCTCAACAGAACTTACAGTTCCGGTGCCTGTGGCTCTCGTGTCATGCAATTAGATCAGAGACCAGTGCGATCAGTTTACATGTGCAGGTGTGTCTTTAAATTAACACTGCAGATAAGACCTCAAACACATATGCACATACATATAAAGTCACCACCACGGCAGGGGACCACTACAGATGACTAGCCAACAGGCAAGCATGGTCAGGAGTGTAGTGGATGGAGAGCACGACACAACATGACATGCTCCAGAGGACAATGCACTAGTCAGCACAATTGGTCAGGCAATATGGGCAGTCAAAACATGACATTTCATTTGTAACTATGGCATGACAACATTGATTACATGAAGTTTCTATGTTCTGGGGGCACGACATTTTGAATGTGTCAGTAATTGTTTCCCAAGGAGTGCTAGAAATGATTGCACCAGATTTATGACAAAACTCAGGAGACCAGCTTTTGCAGGCGTCATAAAACAGTACATATGCTGCAATGGATCTGGTACCTTTCTGGCCAAATCTTGCATAAGGACTTTTAGTGTATTGGGTGGGCAACACTTTGTATGAAACACCTTGTATCATCACGTATCCAGTGCCTGGACACTTTCCATTTAACACAGTGAGTCATACTAAGGCAGCGCAAATGATAGGAAGAAGTTTTGTAATATGGCAAGAAATGAAGAAATTGTACCTGCCAAGCACCTGTGCTGCGGCCCACATCACTCTAGTGTCTTTTGCATTCAGAGGTTTTCACCAGCATTATACTATGTCTTGTGCAGGTGTTTGAACATAGGTGACATAGATGTGGCCAGATGTCATGAGCACGCAGCCATCAAGCATCACAACGGCACTTGTGTTTAAATGTATGCCAGATGCCAGGATCTGTGCAGATGTGTCAGTGCATGGAGTTGTGGGGTGACAAAGGGGCAGAGAGTGTGCACCACAAGGTCAATGCTTCTGAGCATCTTGTCTGTGTGCATAACAACATCAGTGATTGCAAGCAGTTTGGGGAAGATGTCAACATAGTCCTCAGCAACGAGTGCAACCTCCTGCATGTGGACTGTCCGCTCCATGTGATCTCAGAACTTGTCTGGATAGATGTCATCCAGCAGGCACATGCCACTGTGAATGATGGTGACCTTCATGTTCTGTGCAGCTGGCAGTCTCACACTGTGTGCGGCAGCAATATGCTTTCTTTTTTGTTGCATGTATGAATTTGCTCATCATTCTAAACTTCTAAACTAGGTTGAGTGCAAACTTCTGCTGTGAAAGAACAGCAGGAAGCTCTTCGACAACAAGTGCCAGTCACTACTTGAAGTTGCCAAGACTGACACATACACCAGTGGCAAAGCCTTCAGCACGCAGCTGACAAGTGAAGAGAAACATGCCAAGACATTCTCTGATGGAATGTGGGGCTCAGTTACCAGGCTGCATTTGGTCCATACTCTCAAGCTTGCACAGCACTCCTGGCATGAGATAGCCACCAAGGCAATCTCTTTATCATGAGGCATTCATCTTGTAGATGAAGATGGCCTTAACAATGCTGAGCATGTCATGCCACTATCAGACAACGAGGACAACTAATAATACACCTTTCATTTATTATCCTATAGTAACCATTTATGCTAATTTCTCTCTCTGCTTGCAACCCTCTCGCTACTGCAGTAGTTTGTTTATTGAAATAATTGTGTCTCTCGCTTGTTAATCCTGGTAATTACAATTATAATATCATTGTTCAAGTTATTGCAAACTGACTGGAGCCTCTGAACAAGGCTGGAGAATGCTGGCCAGACCGCCACAATGCAAGTTCTCTGAGCAATCTGTCAGTGTCTGTGCTGCTGCCCAAAGTCTGGACATGTCTGTAGTCTGAACGGCACTACTGACCCACACTGGCTCCATAGATACATGTCTGAACCCAGACTATGAAGGTTGGACATGGACAAAAATCAGCATGTTATAAACTAGAAATATGCAAAAACTCATTTTCATTTGAAAGGTGAGCGCCCATGCAACACATTGCCTGAGAGTGCCCAAAAATGCACACAGATGCACAGATGTGAATGTAGATGCACGTGCATGCACAGGCATGAACTAAAGTGCAACATCACCAAACTGGAACTGGGTGGTGGCGTACATCTCAAACTTGCATCTGCTACTGTACAGGCCAAAGTGCATGTACGTGCACTTTCTTGTGCATTGGTGTTCCAAAGGCTTTCTAGGTGAGCATATATCATGCAAGTTAGCTGTGCAATTGTCAACATTTCACACTAGCGTGCACAAAGGTGCACTTTGTAATAAACTTGCACACTGCCATCATAGCCACCCAACAAGTTTGACATGGGCACAAGTTTGATGGGAATGATAACAAGTTTGATGGGAATGATAGCAAGTTTGACATGGTTGGTAGTGCACGTACTAGGCTCGTCCCCACCACTTCCTTTGGAAGCAGCCGAGATGAGCTGGGCCCAAATGTAGACCTCCTTAAGTGCCAGACCGTGTGAATTCAGATTTCTTCGCTCGATGCTTCATATGCTCTGAGAACAGTAGTCCAGCTTCATTGATGTGAGGTATGCAGATAGCCATTAGCCAATTTCTGTTCCAAATAGTAGGATACTTCATTCTATAGTAGAAACAACAAGAAATTATGAAATCAAGCCTATCCACTATCAACATGAGAGTGGGCTACTGGAGAATGCCAACGGCCAAGTGAACATGTCGAGAACAGGTGGGCCACTGGAATAGAGTAAATTTCTCTTACTTGTTATAGCAGGTTATAATCATGCTCAGTGTAGAGAAGGAAGGTGTGGTGGTGAGGGGAAACCAAAATTGGCTCTGCTTGGCTGACCAAAGTGCCCTCGCTGTCATACCAGTGGTGACAGAAAGCTGTTACAGTGACTGGTTGAGTAGGCAAAGTTGACAGAAGGTCGCCATTGATGTTCTTGCCCATGACAAATGTAAAGCTTGCTGGTGTTGCAAGCTCTGCACTGCCATTTCCTGCTGCTGCAGCTACACCACCGCTTGCAGTTGCATTAGCCTGCAGCTTCTTTGGCACTGACATGTACTTCAAATCCAGGGAATCCAGCAAGGTCTTGAGTTCATGTCTATAATGGCTCTATAGCAGCCACTGAGGCTTCAAGAGGGCTTCCAGCTGTGGAACTGACAATGGCCCAAGACAGGCAAGCATCTCAATGTTGTCATCGTCAAGGATTGCAGTTGGAGAAAGAAAAGAGCTCTTGAAGTCCCTCTCAACAGTACGCTCACACTAATCTTCAAGTTCCATGACAGATTTGTGGTTGATTACTCCCTTTGTGGGTATCCTGATAGTGGAGCACGCAGCCTTGCAAGCTGGACCTGGTCATGTATGATTGAGAAGGGATGGATCACAGATATCACAGCATGGCATGCCAGGAATGTGCTCTAGAGATACAGTGGGTCTTTCATTGAAACTGTAATAAGGTGACCAAGTACTCACCTAACGAGGTAGGGTCGTTCTCAAAGACCTCCCTAGGCTCCTGTCAAGGCACCAAACATTATGTGCCAGACCTGTCCAAGGACATCAGGGAGCTCATCAACTCACTTCACACTCATCGTGTGTATGTTGTCAATCACAGTTGGGTCATTGAGGGCAACAAGGCTGTGGTCCCGGATATGCTTGTTCTGGGCTGGAACTGACTTCACAGGCCTCTACGAGAGTACAACGAAGTATTCAAGCAGCTTCGCACTTGATGGAAGCTCAAACTGCTCATTGGCAAGCCTGTGCAAGTGCTACCCTCGGACTCCGTGCCTGATTCTGTCGCATCAGTTGTGCCTGCCGAACACCTATCTGCACCAGCTCCACAAGATGACACAGTGCAGCAGGCTATTATCTTGGCATTACGATCAGACCCGTACATGGCTGCCGCAGGTGGCAATGAGCAGGAGGAGGAGGAAGAGGCTTACCTTGCGCCATGGGAGAACAGTTACACCGAGCCGGACCAGGTATTCTCACTTCAGGACTTCGAGGATGTTGCATTAGACATGTGCTAGAGTAATTATATACTTGTAGAAGAAGAAGAAAGGAGTTCTATATTGTAAGTCGTTGCACAATGCGTAGAAGGTGCTTCTCCCTTAGAGAGCCTGCGCGCGAATGTTACAAGTCCGTTTTCACACGGCTCGCTTATCGGATTAAGGGGGGTCTGTATTTTGGCCCGGGCTATCCGCTCGCAAGCTCGCGCCCCTCCCGAAAGGGATGGAGGCGCACGTGACCGCCCCGCGGGCTCACGGCAGCTCTGCGAGTGGCTGGTAAACGAGTCTATGCACGTACGTGCACTTTTGTGCGCAGCTGTGCATCACCATGTACGTTACAGCCAGTCGCAAAATGATAGGCCACTTTGAAACCTTAGCTAGTACAGTGACTGATGCTCCGACCTGGATCTAAAGCGAGATACAGGGCGGCTACATGGGCTCATCGGCCTTGTGAGCGCTGAGCGTGAACGACGGTGAACCGCTGAACGAGTCGCATCCAAAGCTCACAACCCCGATGCCTCTGCTTCCATACACTGGTCAACCTTTGGCGACGCATTCCTAAATAGCACAAGGCGCACCCGCAGTCAGTATTCAACGCGTACGATGGTGCACGGCAAAGCGTCTGCTACGTGATGCAAGGAGATCACCGAGCGGAACTGCAATTGCTGTAGCGGAAAAAACCTGGGGTGGTCTATCGTTTCGCAACCGGCTGTAACGCACCAAATTGTGCTAATGCGCACAGCTGTGAACGCAATACTATGGTAAGTGAATCCACCCTCACTTGTTGTCAATCACGCTCAGCGAGAACCAGATCTCCATTGCGAGTTTCTATTTCCGTCCATCACAGACTGTGATACCAGACACATCTCTGGATACTGGAATGTCTGGAAATGTCTGTCCCAGACACTCCAGACGCCGCCAGAGCACCTGGGAAATTGCTGATGCGTCTAAGACCCTCTACCGATCACTGTAACGTGTGCCGGTCCAAGTACTGCGTATCACCATCCACGATCCCCCAATATAAAGCCCAACTGCGCCATGGCATCCTCTTTCCTTCACCACCTCGTCAACTGGGGCTTTCCGTCGTAGACTCTGTTACATCAGCGGCTGCTCGAAAGTCGGCTGAAGATGTACATCTTTGATACCACACCCACAGAGCTCGACGAGCTCCTCCATTGGTTTTCTGATGCGTTTCACAAAATATGCGTCTGTCTGACAGCACTGTTTGCGGCTACTGGCACGTCCATGCAGCAGAGCGTGCTGGCACCCAGTGCAGGGACACAGGCTCTGCCGGGTCAGTACCTGTTAGGCTTAGGTCAGTCATTCTAGTGCACTATCTGTCGTGTCTAGCTGACCGTATTCCACAGGCATTGCTGATATCACGGGGTAATTGTAATTGCTTTATCAATGGGCTTCGTACACTGAATGTTCATCGTAGACCGGTGGTTGAAACCAACATGATGGTAGGCGATCAATCAGAATGAGCGCAGCACGCTTGCTCAGCAGTCACGCTCGCAGGGTTACGCGTATCTCCCACAGACAGATACAGGCTTGCACATGCGACAACGAGCCCGTGCTTGGGTAATTGCAGATCAATCCAGCCCATCTGACCGCTTCGTTTATATCAACGCTGGTGAGTGCCGCACTCCCTGCTTATTCGGCAATAATCACCTGCGTATCTCTATCAGACATTGCGATGGGTGATACAGGCATTCGGAGGTCCGTCGTCAAACAGCTGTCCGAGATGTACCCGGGCTTGTACAACAATGAGAATATTGCACTGGGATCGACTCATCAGCATAGCGGCGTCGGCGGATACCTCGAGAACCTATTACCCCAGATTACATCTAAGGGGTATGTCAAGGAGACGGCAGACGCTATTGTGACTGGAACCGTGCTTGCGGTTAAGCGCGCTCATGAAAGCCTGCAACCTGGACAGCTTGCACTCGGAAATACGACTGTGCTGGGAGCCAATATCAACCGTTCCCCGAGCGCGTACTTGGCAAACCCTGCGGAGGAGCGAGCTAGGTACAAATATGACCAGGACAAAGAGCTCACACTTCTACGATTTGACGACACCAACGGCAATCCCCGGGGATTTCTAAGCTTCTTCCCTGTACATGGGACAAGCCTTTACGAGGTATATCACTCTTTCGTCTGAAACGTTGTGCGCTAATGTCGAAACCTTGCAGAATAATACCCTTGTCAGCGGTGACAATAAGGGCATGGCTGCCTACCTGTATGAAGGTCCGTATGGCTCTTACCTATGTAAGACGGGCCACCATCTAATATACCTGTCTTAGCTATGATGGAACCACATGCAATGCCCGGAAATAATACTTTCGTGGCCGGTTTCACCCAAGGTAGTACGACTGACCGTATTGAAAACATAGATTAGCTGACTGTCACACCAAACAGCGAACGTAGGTGATACGAGTCCAAACACGTATGTCTAGTCTTTTGATAGCCTCTTGGCCTTCTAATTTCTTGTCATAGTGAGGGTGCTTTCTGCGAAAGCCCCGGCCAGCCATGGGATGGCATGCCCTGTCAATTTGATCATTCGACGTGTGGTAACAAGACGGAAGATTGCCATGGACGGTGCGTGTAATGCACTCTCTTGAGCGACTGCCGCACTGAATAGCTCTTATCTAGCGGGCCTGGGTTCCGGATCTCGGATTTCGAATCCAACAAGATAATCGCCCAGCGACAGGTCGATGGTGCCAAGAAACTGATGAGCAGAAACCTACGTCCTGTCTCTGGTTCTGTGGCATACGTGCACACATATTTGGACATGTATTACCTTCCCTATTTATCTTAATACCTTGCTCACGCTATGTTATTCAGGCGCTATCACTCATTTCAGTTACCGAATGGCACCACAGTCCAGACTTGTCCTCCGGCAATGGGTACGCCTGTCCCTGCGTAGGGAATTCTAGTTGCTCAATGGACTGCAATTTATAGGTTACTCCTTCGCTGGTGGAACGACCGATGGACCCGGGGCCTTCGATTTTATCCAAGGAGACAATTCATCCGACCCTCAGTGATGTACATTTATTAGCTTCATCAGTATATCCATTAACATCCAGGCAACAGGAATCCGTTCTGGCAGATCGTCAAAGGTCGGTTCCGGCATAACACACACTAGCTTGGGCATATTGACAGCAAGACCCAGGTGCTATAACCCCATACCCACTAACTGAACAGATAACGTGCCAGTTTCCAAAGCCTATCCTTTTGAACACTGTGAGACATCTCATTCAATCGTCTCATCTACGTAGTTCTTATTTGCAACGCCCAGGGATACGCAGAACTGCCGTACCCGTGGTCACCCCACACCGTCGATATCCAGCTCCTCCGCGCCGGCAACCTCGTCATCGCTGTGATTCCGGGAGAATTGACTACCATGTCTGGGCGTCGTCTCCGGTACGCCTCGGCCGCTCTCCCCAACAGCCTGAGTATGCTCACTTGCGGGTCCGCAGTGAGGCGGTCCGTGACCGGTTGATCTCTTCGGGTATCCTGGGCAACGATGCTTACGTCGTTATCGCCGGTCCTGCAAATACATACGGGCACTACGTCGCGACCAAGGAGGAGTACGCTATGCAACGCTATGAGGGAGCATCTACCATCTTTGGTCAATGTATGGCGCTACTTTTCCGTCTTCTTGAGTGTCCGCTGATTGTCGTTGTGACTCAGACACCCTGGATGCGTACATCGACAAGTATACTGATCTCGTCCGGTTCCTCGATCCTGACGTTGTTGGCACTCCCGAGTCTGACGACGCCCCGAAGGACCTGACCGGCGAAGGGATTACTTTTCGGGTATGTAGAAGTTCGAGTCATGCGCTTCACATGTCGGCTGACGGCTTCTTTTGGCAAGATCGGAGTTGTTGTTGATCACGCCCCGTTGGGCAAGCAGTTTGGCGACGTCTTGACAGATGTGCTCACGAATGTACCGTATCATGCCGGCGATACTGTGTCCGCTCGTTTCGTGGGGTAAACATGACGATTTTCTGTCAAATATTGCTCTTACTGAATTTACCTGGTAAAATTTAGTGCGAACCCTAGGGTCGGTCTAATTTAATGCGTCTCACAACATGCACGTTACTGAGAAACCGTGCAGAACAATTTTAGGCTGGAAGAAACGTTCCTCACCGTAGACCAGCTTATGAACGGGCAGTGGGCTCCCGTGAGATCGGATTCGCACCCTTCAACACTGTACCAGTGGCTTAGGACTAGCTCAGTAAGCGATCCTTTCTATGCGCGCTGGCAATATAATCTCATGTCGCCTAGATTTTCGGGGAGAGCGCGGTCAATATATCCTGGACAATCGAAGATATGACTGCTTGTACGTACTCGCTGGACATGCTCTATGCAGGGTACTGATAAAATCCCAGCCGGGACATACCGTTTGACCTACTTTGGCGACTCCAAATCGCTTGGAGGCTCTATCACACCCTTCATCGGCCACTCGTCGAGCTTCACTGTCTCATGATCTCTTTCTGTATACTCAAATCTCATGTTCCCGTTGCTCAGTCGGAATCTTGCTCATCAAGTATCTAATACGTCTAATTCGTTGGATGCTACGGTGACTATATTACAGGTTATGCATGGTCCATGATGTGTCGTGAGGGATTGGCGTGGAGAAGCCCAGGTTGTGTGCAATCGAGATTATAGAGGTGCTCGTAGTGTATAGGGCGTAGCAGTGTCTGATGTACGATTACGCAACAGTCGCTTGCGTCCTCTGGACTAGGGAGTCTTCACAACTTCAGCGCAGACATCCGCCTGGAAATGTCCATTAACACACGTCTCCATCACAAAACTTCGAGGCTTACTGATCTAAGCCACCCATCCAGCTTTGGGCCGCGGCATACTGCGCGGAGCTCCTGCAGTACGCGCTCCCACAGTCGAGCGTGTCGACAAGCTGACCGGAGCCACCAGAGCTGACGATGATCTTCGTACAGTACAATACGGGCGTGTGTGCGAGCTGCGCGGGAAGGGATGTGCACGTGCACGGCGAGATGCTCGAGGTAGCGTAGGCGGACGTCGGTGCGGAATGCATCTAGAGCGGGGAACATGAGCCGAGCTCCTGTTCCTAGAGGGTCGCAATGAACGCTAACCTTGGTTGTGAAGATATCGAGACAGAATCCTACCAGAGGATGTGGAACCGAGAACACGAGAGAGAGGAAAGCGTGAGAGGACAGGGAGACGGGACAACCGCAGGCTGTCACTGCAGTAGCACCAGGGACAAGGGCCCGGTATATATACATGTTTTTCACACAGCCCCGCTTTGCTGCATACATGTGCAAAGGCCGAGTATAGCTACGCTTTTTTCTTGGCACATTGTGTCGCGTCGTCAAGCACGCGTAGCGCGAAACAACGTCGTCTCGGCGCTAGACACACGCCGAGACCCGAGAACAACAACACTGTCTTTGTAAATCGCATGTCGTTCCGGCACAGAGCGTGCCAATTGTTGACAACCTTCCCGCGTGCTAATAGCCATCGCGCGAGGAACTCGGCGGTCTCACACGTACGCCGCACCCCCGGATGTCAGCGCGGGCGCCTTGTCGCAGAAGCTCATCCGTCCACGCGCACACAACTATTGTTCGCGGTACAGCCATGCATCTCCAGACAGTCTAGAAGCGTGATTTATCATGACATACATCCTTGTCCTGTTACCCGGGACAAAGTCGGGCTAATCGGTCTGGGCGCCCTCGACAAGCGTCGCTAGCTGGTAGCGCGGCGTCAGGAGGTGGAAGGCGATGTATCCCGAGAGGAAGCGCTCCCATGCCTCACGCTCCTTCTCCCCCTCCAGGATCTCCCGCACCCTGTGCACCGCAGCGACGACGTCCTCGAGCAGCTCCACGACGACGGTGCGAGTATCCTTCCCGGTGACACGCGCCCGATCATGGATAAAATTCTTCGTGTCGCCCGCCAACTCTTCCTTGTAGAAAGAGAGGATATCACTGAGAGTAAGATGCATCAGTGACGGAAACGCATGACTAGACGGGAGCACTTACTTGCCGTGAATCAGAAAGATGATGGCCTCTCTAGATTCGCAGCTGATCAGTCAACCACCTGACCCTACCACAAACGCGACCACTTACGGAATGGCCTGAATATGCGTCGAAACATCCGGGAAACTGAACTTGTCCCAGATGAATGCGGCAAAGACCTCCCCGAGACCGTTCCGGGCGCGCTTATACAGGGGATACTGGCTGGCCGAAGGGCACAGCCGCATGTCCTCGAGGTGCCGTTCGAACAGCGTGCAGTTGACGAAGTTGATCGTGTCTGTGACCACTGTCGTGGCGGAATAGAGGTTGAAGAAGTCCGTCATGTGCCGGAGGTTGTCTGCGAAGAGGTCGAGGACGGGGTGCAGCTGCGGCCGGCCGCTCTGGAGGCGCTGCACGAACTCCGAGAGTGCCGCGTTGTCGACCTCGTAGTCGTCGACGCAAAGCCCAAGCACTGTGTAGAGCGCAATCTGGATCTGCGTGTCAAAATGTGTGTGGCCATAGCCGATCGTGCCGAGCTGGATGCCCGAGATAATGTGACGCTCCAGGCGGCGCGCGGGTATGTTGCCGACGTCCCAGGACATGACGGTCTTGCGCACGAGTCGCTCGACAGCGTCGTACTGGTCGGGTCGCTGGGTGGAGATTGTTATACCGGTTCTCTGCAGTAGCTCTTGAGCGGCGTAACGAGCCAGACTTAGCTGCCGGCTACACCTCAGTATCGGAATGCTAATGAGAGCTGCAGATACAGCTTACGAGATCCTTCTGAGCCGTCTCGAACTCCACAGTTCCTTCATTAGTTTGTGCAGGAACTATTGTGTCCAGTGGCTTGCCGTTGGGCAGGGAAGTTGGCCTAACAAAGGGTGCTGGGATTCAGCAGATATATAAAATCATACACAGCTTGCACTTACTCGATGACAATGGCCATTGCGAGGGATTGAGTAGACGAAGTCTGAGTTAGCTGTATTTGCCGGTCGTTCAGCCTTTTATACGAACTACGTAGGCTAACCAGGCTGACAAAACATTTAACGAACCTTGCACCCTGAAAAGCTCCGATGCTAGGCGAAGAAAGCATATCCTCAGTGGATACAGTGTAGCCATTTGCATGCACTCCATGAGGCTGCATCGACATGAGACACACAGCAAAAACGTCACTGCTAACCTTAATGGTCTCTCTACCGTTCCAGCACGCCGAAGTGGTGAGATTCCCGGTCCATGAAAGGGCAAAAAAACTTTCATGACGATAGATCGAAGCTAGGCACGACAAGGGTCCTAGTTTCGCAAACCAGACGTTCTGGATCTGATCTGCGATCCAATGCAGTGCTGCATACCTTCAGTCATCCAGGCGTCGGACCGCGGACAGGCATTACTCCGAAATAGCCTGACAACGGCTGGCACGACGGGGGTACAGGGGTCCGAGGATTTAATGAACTTGAGGCCCTAACCATTGTACTCATTGAAGGGAAGCAGTCAATTCTATGTGGACAGCCTAGGGTTTTTTTTGGGAGCACCTTGTGGGACGATGTGGGCCCGCTCTGGCTGCCATCTATGGTAGAGAAGTAGCGTCTGCTGACATAGTTCGTGCGATAGGCAGACTGACCACATTCATGGCGGTGGCATTAGCCGTGGCACGCGGACGTATTACTTGTCCGTCGCCAATTTTTTTTAATTCGAGCAGACTGCAGTTATATGGGGTATACAAGAACCCAAGTAAGCGTCAACTAAGTATCGATTAAGGTAATACACAGCTCAAATTTAGAGATAAGTCATCAAGCGCCTCCACAGATCTGTGTGCCGCTCTCGTAGTCACGCTGTATGGCCATATTTTGCACTCAGAGGGATCGCTGCATGCTTATGGAGACTTTACAGGGGAAGCAGTTGCATTTGTGAGGGAGTACCTCAGTCACCGGATGAGCACAAGGACTCGGAGGAGAGGGACTGGCGGAACTCGCCTCATAGCGAGGAGTTCATTTGTATGAAAGCCTGGGCATGTTTATGGTTTGTCTATTCACATCTTCTCTCTCTCTGTTGAGCAGTGTTGTAGTATCTGAGGCGCCGGATGCGCATCAGCCGCGCCGGTAGGGATACCGACATGACGCGCTTAGGTCGTCATGCCCAATATGGATCTGTCATGCCCGTTTTAGATATAACCCGCGCAGAGCACTCTCGGCTCTGCGCCCTCGTTATGCTTCCTCTTAGTCTCAGCTTCCTAAGGTACATTTTATTGGTCTGACCAGATTAGGAAGTAGATAAGCTATATAAGAACATGTAGTATTATTTTTGGATTTTATCCTTGATTACTCGTGAATCCCCCGCCTGCGCGAAGTCTTTCACAACAAGCAGCGAGGGTTCCAACTATTGTACTTATCATCATCGTTTCCGCAACACGCACGTGACTGTCACGCTGTGACGACACTGGTCGAAATTGAACTGGGTCTATCTTATCAGTAGAGGAAAAGACTAGCACTTATCTTAGGCGCCTTTTCAGTTCAGCGATATTCCTCATTACCGGCATCTTCTAGTCATCGCATATATATATATAAATCCAACAATATAAAATTTAACATCTACAGTGTGCTAGAATATTTTTGTAAATTTTAAAATACTAGCTATTGTGCCAGACAGTGACGACTATCCGGCATGCTTATGTCAGAGGACCTTTTCCGGGATCAGCCCGAGCCGATAAGCAAAGGGCGCCTGTCTGCCTCGGGCTTCTTTCTTTCTTTCTTTTCCCCTTGTCGAAGTGACAAGCTTTTTTTGCAAACGGTTGTCATGTGCTTATCATTTATAAATGCTGTAGAAGAATCTGGCAGGCCCGGCGGTCAGCCTATCCGATCGCATGTTAGGCCATACACAAGCCAAAAGAAGCTTGCAGATTACCGGTGTTTTGCAAAGGTCGTGCGAAGGGCACTGCTACTTTTCGTCCTGCGAGGAACACTCCGCGACGTTGCCATCACGAATTTTGCCGGGGTATGTTCTAGGGGCGACAATCGATGGGCGCGCGTTCCAACAGCCGCCTTGCTGTCAAAGCGGCCAGAGCGACTATCCTTCTTCTTGCCGGGCCAACACAAACTCCGACGCGGGAGAATCGAGACGGGCAGTCCAATGGGATTATAGTACACTGTCTTAGGTTTTTAGCTCGTCACATGCTTAGAGCTACTCGCGATGACACATAACTACGTACAGAGTGTGGTCATACTGTTCCTTCCATGCAGGTTCTGCGGGGTCAATTGGTACTGGCCGGGTCCTTATGGGTCGAATACCCGTGCTACCCATCGCGGATGGCAAGACGCGGGCAGTCAGGTGTCTAGTTCGCAATCGCTCTCTCGGCCTGCGAAAGGCTTATGCTGGCACGTCGATTCTGTTTTGACGTTGCTGTCTGCGCGATATATTCTCTACAAGATGTCCGTTGTAAATTTTTGAGCTGTTGTGCGCACACGAAGTTATGGATTAATTCGAGTTTTGCTCCTGCGAAAAGAGACGCAGCGTGACAGCGCTCGCTCACGTGATGTAGTCGGAATTGAACTGGGTCTATCTTAAGCTTTTTGCGAACGGCTGTAATAATATTGTGGGAGACTCAGACTGACCACAGGTGCTCGTATCCAGATTAATTGGTGTTTTGAAGTCCGTGCATGTTGCCAGCGTGTTTACCACAGCATCCGACGCTGGAGTTAGAGCATTTGACCTATTCGATATAAGACCATCCAACCTAAGACTTTCATTGACTTCGGTAAATGTAACTCCGGAGCCTGTTCAGAACGGTACTAGTACAAAACGAGGTAATTAGGACAGAAATAGAAAAGTGTCAGCAATTGAAAAAAAACGTCTGCGTATTCTATATGGGTAGTCGTGAGACTAAAGCCCCCTGCGGACATATGACTACTCGGCGTCATTGAATAGCTCCTCAAGCTTATACCGTGGAGAGACGAAGTGGAACGCCACATATCCCACAATGAAGCTCTCCCACGCCTGCTTCTCTCCCTCTCCCTGTAGGATCTGCCGAGCTCTATTTACGAGATCCACGACGTCCTCCATTGTGTCCATCAAAGAAGCTTCAATATCCTTGCCCGTGACACGAGCGCGGTCGTGGATAAAGTTATTTTTCTCGCCAACGAGTGCTTCCTTGTAGAACGAGAGCAGATCACTAGGAAAGACCTCATTAGAAACGCCGCTTGGGGACTTAACCGAGAATGGAAAGCTCACTTGACATAAACGAGGTACGAAATACCCTCACTATCGGCGGCCGGTCAGCAATGAGTATTCCGTTTGAGAAAGGTCAGATACGCACGGGACCACCTGGATGTGCGTCGATACGTTCGGGAAGTGCACCTTGTCAAAAATGCAGTACGAGTACGCCTCGCCAATGCCGTTGCGAGAGCGCTTGTATACCGGATAGTCGCGCGCCGCGGGGTGTACCTCCATGTTCTCCGCTTCCTTGTCGAACAACGTACAGACGACGTATTGGATCGTGTTCGATACAATCGATGCGGCGCCATATGGGTGGAAGAACTTCGGCATGTCGCGCAGCGTACCCGCGAACACGTCCAAGAGCGGGTGCAGCTGCGACTGACCCGCATGGAACCGCTCTGCGAACGCGGCGACGGCGCCCGTGTCAATCTCGAAGTCGTCTATGAAGATGCAGAGTGCGGTCCAGAGCGCGATGTGCACCTGCGTTGCGACGGCTGTGTGTCCGAACGATGTCTTTGCGACATTAATCGCCGTCACGACATGACGGTGCAGTCGCCGCGGCGACGCGTTGCCCATGTCCCACGTCGCGACCTCCGCAAAGGTCAACTTGTCAACTTCATCGCCGAACGTAGACGCGTCGAATGTAGGCATGGCGATGCCGGTCCTGCGCAGGAACTCGGTTATGACGTAACGGCAGAGATATGGCTAGAGGAAGCAGCAGGTTCAATAATGCCACGCAGGACGCGCCAGGCCATGGACGTACCAGAGACTCGGCTTCAGATTTCTCATCGTCGGATAGCTCGTCCTTGGGCTCATGCTTCAGTGCTGAGACGCTGTCCTGAACGGCGAGAGTGCTATACAGCAAATGGTGAGTCATTGCAAGCACCACGAAGCTGACGCGACGAACCGGTGAGTTTGGACGACTGGAGACATATGGTAGATGTTCTGCTTGGAGTAGAAGACTGGGATTTCTTCTGGCAAGTGCTACTCGTCACCGCAGGAGTCTTTATACCTCAAGGCATACTGCTTCGGAATTCCCAGGCGGCTATTGACGCAAACCAGGGGCGCTTCTCCCGGCGCACCTCTTCTTCATGCTTTCCTAACCAAGCGAGACGAGCTCGCGATCAAATCGCAGAGTGTGCATGCCTTGTCAATTTTCCACGAGATAAGGGTGTCGGACGCCGGACGAAGGCCCGTACCGACCCGGCTGCGCCGATCCAAGGACATCAGCTGCTAAGAGACGCTAGGTATAGCGGGTAGGTGTGTGCAGTTAAGCTCAAAGTTTTGGAGCACAAAGTGGCAGCCGACACTTGGGCGGCACCGAAGCGTGCTCTCACAAACACCGAGCTCAGAGACGCGGAACCGTTAGCAAAAGATGAATCTGGGCATATGGCCCGCGGGAGTGGTGGTCACCATGTACGCCGTTGGGCGTCCTGTGAATCCGGCAACTTTGAACCTCCGCTCACCAAGCGATGCAGCCCCTGAAGACCCTTGGCAAATTACACCCACGAAGCTGTCGGCGAATCCCCGAGGTTTCCGCTGCCGACGGGGCGCGGAGAGGAGCTTTGTTGGGCAACATGGCCGACACGCGCAGCTGTTGCAGCGCTCTCGAATCCCCAACTAGACTCCCAGACGTGCGAACAAGGCGCGAAGACTGCTGACGAGCGGAAGAAGGACTTGTTCTGCTTTCGGCTCAGATGCGGATATCGGCAACTGCCGAATGTACCCCATAGACGCTGCACCTCCGTGACCACGGCATACGTTGACCAATGTTCAGCCTCTGAGAAATCGGATATTACGCTGCCGATATTCCAGATACTGGCGCGTCTCTTGAACAATATTGAATTGGCCTAACACCGTTGGTCGGAATTAATTTCTTCGAGCAGGATTTCCGACGTGCTAAAATTCGAAGATGTTCGTCGCGTAGAATGTATCATTGCGTCCGCGTTAGGTCCATGTCAATCTGCCAGAGAGGGCTAAAATACCTCGCGGAATAAGGATGGGTCTATATGGTACTTCGACCACTCGAGACCTCACGCGTCGTAAGGCACATTGTCCTAGACACTCCTCTCTTAGAAGACCGGTAATTGATTGATGACGGTATGTTAATGGTAGGTTGTATGCTCCAGACAATAAATGGATTTAAGTTCTATCAGTCGAACTTGGAGTTTGTAGTAGGCAATCAGTGAACATGTCAACAGTATTCCCAACCTGGAGGCGACTAACAGCTGATCATGCGGCTGCAGCAAGCTCCACAAGCTTGTAGCCGAGCAGGGATAAACTCGCGCGATTTAGCTCGTCAAGAATCAATTCCTTGTCTCCACGCTCTGCGGTGCCGACAATCTCGTCGGGATGATCGAAAGCGTAACCATAATACCATTGCCTGTGACGTGTTCACCGTCGTGCGCAAAATTAGGCCGCTCTTCGGCCATCTTTTTGTAGAAGCATAGGATGTCGCCAGGACATCATGACGCCGGTTAGCACGAGAGAGGTGAGGTACACAGGGAGCAGTGAAGCACTGACTTGGAATAGTCCAGGTGGATACGGTAATCGTCTCCCTGCATGGCCAGTGAGTACAACTGCATTTGACCATAGAGAGACACAAAACACGCACGGGGTGACCTGAATATGCACCGATACGTCTGGCAAGCGTCCGGGAAGCTGAACTCGACTAAACGGATGACGAGGAAACTCCACCGGTGCCTCTCCTGGCATGACATGCGCAAGACGTAAGATAAAACCACATGATAGAGCATATCACGGTATGTCTGCTTCTTGAGTAGCGTACAGCTGACGTGGTGAACGATACCGGTGTGTGTCGTTGACACTGCGCGCGAGCGCGGTATAAAGCGATGTACACGGTCTAGGTATCGATGTGATTATGCATGAACTTCTTCATTGTCATGCTTAAGTCCGTGACAACATGCCGGTAGACGCGGTCTACGGAGATGCTACCAAGGTCTCATTCCGTGGTAGCATTGCCACAGGCGCTCTTCGTAGCGAGCGCCAAACCTGCGGAAGAATTCCGACACAGCGTCACGGGAGGCGAGAGATTAAAGGTGTGGCGATTGTTAGAGAGTCAAGATTATACAATACGTGAATATCGTGCCACAGAATCACCGCTGTGTAGATCCCAGATCCTGTTATTCTTGTGCGCTATCGCTTTGGAGGCTCGGAGCCATGTTAACTCACGCGGCGGCGTGCGAGGTGGGGCCGACAAAGCGTATATAGCTAGATTAAAAACTGTGGCTCAAATAATAGAAGTACCCACTATGATACGGAGTCTATAACGGCTACGATCAAGCAGCTGGGGCACTGGTAGTGGCAACAAGGGGCAGACTTGACTGCAGAGGCACGAAGCCAGGAGACACGCCTGTGATATCGCGAGGAGCATAAAATATTTGTAACAGCATTGAGAGCGCTGCTGTTTTTTTCAAGCTTTTTAAAGCAAGACAAATCCAACGGCAGCGAGATCGAATATTGCTACGGCTCAGCTTGGCTTGCCTACAGCTGGGGTTTTGATAGTTTCGCCGTACCATCCGCGCCAAGCTGAGTCACAGCCAACCAATGCAGCCGTGTCTGCGGCTCTCTCAAATGGCACAGGGTAAGTCTCAGCGTGTTCTGGTGCGGGAAGAGCAGAGGAAGAGTATCCCTTGGCATCTGGCGCTTAAATATGAGCGCTCGATGAAGAGATTAAGCGCCATCATTCATGGCTGGAGATCTGTAGATCTACTCAAGTTTTGGGCCAGTCGGCTTGAATTCGTTCTATATTCCGGCGGTGGCGGAAGTTGTTTTTATTTGAGCTAGCCTCAGGCATGTACACAGTGTCATGCAAGCGAAACCCGAACGCGCGCAGCATGTTTGTTCTGGCCAAAGTCACTCAAAAGGTGCGATCGTCGCACCGGGTCATCTTCGCCGGACCCTTGACGATAGACGCGCCGTTTAGTCGCGCTTGGACATGCAAGTACGGAGAAGGGCTCTGCTGAACTAAGAATTGCCTGAAAAGTCTGAAGGGATACATTCTGGAGTATAAAGATTCCCGCAGCAGCAAAGATGACTCGTCAGAAGTCTTCTACTCCGAGTAGCACACCCACGGCATGTCTCCAGTTATCCAAACACACTGGTGCGTCATGGAGGCTCCCCCGTACCATGATAGCTCACTATATGACATGAAGCTTTCCCGCAACTAAGGGTAGCGTTGCGGTGTTGACACCTGCGTCCAAGGACGAGCTATCCGACGACAAAGAATTCGAGGACAAATCTCCGGTATGTCTGTGGCCAATATAGTACCCCGCGCGGCGGTGCTGAGCCTGTAATACTCCCTCAGCAACATCTCTGCCGCCGCGTGATTGCCGAGTTCTTGCGCCGGACTGGCATCGTCATGCCCGCCTTCGATGCGTCCGCGTTCGGCGACGAAGTTGATCGACTGACGCTCGCAGAAGCCGCTACATGGGGTGTCGGCGACATCCTGCCCCCACGGCTGCAAGGTCACGTTGTTACGGCTATTAACATCGCAAAGACAGCGTACGCCCACACGCCCGTCGCGACGCAGGTGCACATTGCACTCTGGACGGCGCTGTGCATCTTCGTGGACGACTTCGAGGTCGACAAGGACGCTGTCGCCGCGTTCGCGGAGCGGTTCCACGCGGGCCAGGCGCAGCTCCACCCTCTTCTGGACGCACTCGCGGGCACGCTACGCGACATGCCGAAGTTTTTCCACCCATACGGCGCAGCGTCGGTCGTCACGAGCACAATCCAGTATGTCGTCTGTACATTGTTCGATAAGGAGACCGAAGGCATGGAGGTGCACCCGGCCGCACGAGACTACCCGGTGTACAAGCGCTCTCGCAACGGTCTCGGCGAGGGCTATGCGTACTGCATCTTTGACAAGGTGCACTTCCCCGACGTATCAACGCATATCCAGGTGATCCCGTGCGTATCTCTGACTCCTCGGCCGAATTACGTCTCTGATAGGTGCCGATAGTGAGGCAATTTCGTACCTCATTTATATCAAGTAGGATATGTGTCTCCTCTCTGTCCCCGAGTATCACTCTTCTGATATCAAGCCTCACTTCAGCGACTTGCTCTCGTTCTATAAGGAAGCGCTCGCCGGCGAGAAGAATAACTTTATTCATGACCGCGCCCGTGTCGCTGGAAAAGATGTTGAAGCGTCTCTGATGGACACGATGGAAGATGTTGTGAACCTCGTGGACAGGGTGCGACAGATCCTGCAGGGAGAGAAGGAGAAGCAGGCATGGGAAAGCTTCATAGTGGGATATGTGGCATTTCACTTCATTTCGCCACGGTACAAGCTGGAGGAGCTGTTCAACGGTGCCGAGTAGGCTTAGGCTTGTACTTGTGGCGGACTTTGATGTCGTAGCCATCCATGTGAGACGCGCTGATATTTTCATCCATCATGCATTCTTCCACTCCTGCTCCAATTGCCTCGTTTTGTACTAGTACTGCCAGTGCTCTAAATGATTCCGAAGTAATGTAAAACGGATGTCTATCAAGAAAGATTGAACGCAGCTCGCAGCTGGAAAATGTGTCATCTGCCTGCCAGTGGGGAAGCTTCGTCCTGGCATGCGAGCCATTAGTGTTCAGGGTGATAATCTCAATGCCAAACCCAACTGTAGGGCTAGCAATAACACTTATTCTATAGTTACCATCTATATATTCTAGGGGAGCTTGTGCGGGGTGCTGCTTCGTCTATTCAATGTTTTTATGCTTTTGGTCCACGAGCAGTACGGCGCTTCTTCAATTCACACGATGGCATGTTATATGACAGTGCCAATGATATATGCCATTTTGATCGTTATCGATTTGGCACGACGCAAGGAACGCTGTACGAACTTCGCCTTCCCTCCGATACCCGGACAGATAACTGTTCACCGGCGACAGATTGCATATTATAGACAATATGTAGCTTAGAATTCGGCCGATATCATCCCTATTGAAGAATCTATAAACGCGATGGCAGATTTCCGAGGTGACTCGCAGCTTGATAATTTGTAGTAGACAATCTATAAACACCGACGTTGACAGCACTCCAAGACGGCTGCTCACACGGCGGTGGTATCAGTAAGCTGCGCAAGCTTGTAACGTGGCGAGAGGAAGTGGAACGCGACGTAGCCTGCCAGGAACCTCTCCCACGTCTCACGCTCCTTCCCGCCCTGCAGAATGTTCCTGGCACGCTCGACGGCACCGACAACTTCGTCCAGGATGTCCGACAGCACCGTCTTAATGTCCTTGCCCGTGACGTGCGCACGATCGTGCACAAAGTTGTGCCGCTCGCCGGCCATCTCTTCCTTGTAGAATGACAGGATGTCGCTGGGTAACGGTTAGCACGAGGAGCGCAACGGGAGCAGCGATGCACTCACTTGGCATAGTCCAGGTAGATCATCGTTTCCCTGCGCGATCAGTAAGTACGAGTACGGTAATAATATGGAAGACCAAGCACGCACGGGGTGACCTGGATATGCGCCGATATGTCTGGGAAGTTGAACTTGTCCCAGACAAATGACGAGTACACCTCGCCGAGGCTGTTCCTCGCCCGCTTATACAGCACGTACGGCAGCGCCACGGGATGGAGTGGTGTGCTGTCTGTCTGCTTCTCGAACAGCGTGCAGTTGACATGGTGCGCGGTCCCGATCAGGATCGCTGTCGCCGCGTACGGGTGGAAGAACTCGGGCATCCGGCGCACGGCGTCGGCGAGCAGCTCGAGAACGGGGTGTAGCTGCGCCTTGCCCGTCTGGAGGCGCTCGACGAACTCAGACAGTGCAGCCGAGTCGACCTCGAGGTCATCGACGCAGAGCGCAAGGATCGTGAAGAGCGCGATGTGCACTTGGGTGTCGGGGTGGTTGTGGTCGAACGTCGTAGTCGCCATGCTGGTGGCGGTGACGGTGTGGCGGCGAATGCGGTCGGTGGAGATGCCGCCAAAGTCCCAGTCGGCGATGGCGGCATGGATACGCGCGGCGACGGCGTTATCAGGGACGCCAGTCGTTGTGGGCACAGGCAAGCCCGTCCTGCGGAGGAATTCTGACACAGCATGACGGGACAGCGAGAGCTGAAAGGTGAAACGAGTGTCAGTGCATAAAATTGCCTGGGACTTGGGACATCGTACTACAGAATCGTCGTCGTCTTGAACCTGAGCGCCGCTTTGCTCGTGCAGAATTGCTTTGGTGCCAAGCTGGCTCGCTGCGGGGTACGAAGTGGGGCTGCCAAAGTGTGTCCACCTTAGTCCAAGATTACGGCTAAAGGAATAAGAGCACTCACTGTGATACGTGGTCTACGATCGCCATTGTTTAGTGATTGGTGGGCGTGAAGTAGGACTGGACTGCGGTAGCAGACAGCCATAAGATGCGCTCTTTATATCATGAGCAGTGGGGCCATTCCAGGCGTACTGCTTGCCCAGCTAGGGTCCGTTCCTCTCGAAACTGGAGCAGGTCCGATGGGGGCAGGATCGCGCCCGAGATGCATAGGGTCACTAGTGCTAGCCAAGTGCGCATTACGCAACCGTGTGTCTAAGGATAACCACGGGGCCCATGGTGGCTGTACGCGGTGAGAGAATGTCTGGTACCTGGAAAAGACTCAGGCTGAGTGGCGCACTGATTTTATGACCGGCAGGGAACCCGCACCATTGCCGTAAAGGATTTACTAGGGCGAGAGCCTACAGAGTTTCTACTGTGTAGTACAAACTTCTAAATGAAGTTCATTACAATCTTATATATGTGATGTATGATGATGATGGCATCGCACATTACTTTCGGTAAGGTGTAGCAGCGGTAATGAAACTAAAACCGTGGACATCGGGGCAGGGCATCTCTCGAAAACAGTCTTGAACTCATTGTCTGGGGCGTGATTGTTGTCTGAATCTTCGATTCGGAAGGAGTATTGTGGGTAGATTAGACGCGATGAGCAGATGGCATGGGGCTCCCGACAAGGGTCCGCGCGCGCCGAGTAGGCAGGGATCCGGGCACAAGCAGACCCCGGTGGTGCTGAGGCACGCGTAGCAAGCATCCGTTCAGAAATCTTCAACGATGTAGACCCACGGAACAAAGTCCGTGATGAAACGGAAGGCCTCACTGTATTACGCAAATCCTGCTGACATGGGCACAGATCCCGCTGACGTAGTAGATATAAATAGTAATTACGAGATAGCCGATAATCGCCCAACCTCGCTTGAGGAAGCTCTCGTCCCCTTAGGCCGCTCAGGAGCCTGCAAAATTGCCACAAATCGAGATAAATTGTTCGAGGGGTTTCTTTTTTTACCTCTATAATAATTTCGACTCTGGACCCCTCAACAAGCCCAGACTCCAGAGCAATGACCTATCTAAGCGTCAGAAACAGCCTAATTTGGCAGAATCTTGCCGTCGAGATTTAGTAGATAGGCGGTTAAGCAAACTTGCGCATGAAATATTCGTAACATCGTACAAGTGTATGGTAAACATTTTCTATATTATTTTCCCACATTTTAACCCAGTTTATAAGCCTCCGAACACGTTTTTCTGTGGGGAAAGGATCGTCCTCCCGCACGAGGGGTGTTAGAGATGCTGATTAGATGCAGTACAGGCTGCTCGGCAATCACCGAGCAAGCCCAAACGCGGAAGTTGAACGCCGTCCACACAGGCTCTAAATTTATTGTTGCTCCCTGTTGTATCCGTCCTTGAGTGCCTGTAGTGGAAGGCACGAGCAATTTTGTACAGAATAATTTCCTAATTCCCGTAGTATTCCAATGCTGACCACCTGTTCGTAGTGACATTGTCCTCGACGTGAGTCACCTCGCGTCGGCGCCGCTGGAGTCAAGGCCACTCATCTGTCGACTCATTATCGTGGAGCAATGCTGCGCGTAGCGGGAGCGAGGTGGTGCGCATGCGCAGGCGAGAGCGTATTTAAGGTTCACGTCGTCGGGCAGACACGACGTCGAGTCAGCCTCGACTTACACCCCATACTCTCTCGCAGTGCACACCAAATGGCCCCACCTGCCGCCGCTTCCTGCCAGAATGTGACTCTTCCGGTTATCCCAGAACTCTATGATGAGAAATTCTTGGACGTCCTCTTGCCCAAGCGCGATCATTCTGTCGAACCTAAAATGAATGTGGATGAACCTCACCACCCTATGATGGATGCTTTGAAGGCTGCTGCAAACCGCACTCTCACCGAAAATTGGGACCCCGCCTACAAGTCTACTCTATCTCCCACGCTCGACGCATTCCAGTCGCTCCGACCTGGCTGGTTCGACTCCGACCTTGGTGATACCCTAAAGAAGGCCTGGGCGGTAGATCCTGAGGTGACGCTCCGCATCATCTGGAACAGCAGGAGTATCCATGATGGGAAAAGTGACAAAGAAGCCTTCTATTAGTGAGTGTGGTCACCGTTGATGCCTGTCGTCGTAGCTCATGTATACTAGGGCCTTTGGTTGGCTGTTTGAAAATCACCCCCGCACTGCGATTTCCAACCTCCCTCAGCTCATCAAACCCGTCTGCAAATTCGGAAAAAGTGAGGTCACGGCCCCGCACGGCTACTGGAAGGATCTTCTCAACGTCGTGGCGCTTGCGGTCTGCCGCCAGCTTGGCCCTCTCGACGGTCCCGCGCCGTTCCTGCACTCCGCGCCGCGCTGGAAATCCTGTCTTAGTGATAGGACCAGCCGCACGCCGGAAGAGCACCAGGAATACATGGCTCATCAAAAGCGCGAAGCTCGGGAGCGCCGGATCGCCAAAAACTCTAATTTCCACACCTCGCTCGTCGAAGCATTGAAGGAGCCCCGTATCCGCGCGCTTTACGTTACTGTTGCACAACTCTTCGCTGAAAGGCTCGTCGAGGACTCTATTCTGGCGGATCGCGCTGCATCCATGTCTCCCGGGGAAGAACGCACGGCAATCCTTCGTCAAATTAGCCTCGCCGGAAAATGGGCCCCTTCGCCTGGATGTTCACACGATCGCGTCACTAACCTGTCCTCTGCCATCTCCCTGCTCATTTATCATGATCCCGCTTTCCATCTTCGTCCCACGCTCTCCATTTCTCGTGATACCCCAACCACCACTCTCGATACCCACATCCTCCGCTCTTTCTATCAACGTTGGATTCTCCGTCCACTCCGAGAAGCGCTCTCTTGTGCTGAGTCGCTTATGTCTACGAACCGGTGGTCTGAGATCCAGTATCGTCGCGTTCCCTCCATCTGCATGCAGCGGAACCTCCCCAACTTTTACCGGCACGACCCAGCTCGCTTCGAAAAGTATCTCGATGATGTCGAGGGCGGGAAGGCCAAGATCAGTGGTGCGACCCTCCTTCCACACCAGCTCATTATGGAGGCAGCCAAGTGCCGCAACGACGTCAACTACACCCCTAACCCCAACTCACACAACATCCGGGACTTCCACAAGCGCGTTGCGGAGACGAAGCTGCGCGGCATAGAGGCGCAGTGGAAGGTCATGCTCGACCGGGTCCGCGAGGCGGGCACTCTCGACAACTGCCTCGCGATCTGCGACGTCTCGGGTTCGATGGGCTACCTCTCCATACCAGAGTCGCGCTCGGTCGAGCCGATCTTCCCTGCCATCGCACTGACGCTCGTACTCACAAGCTGCGCACGGCCGCCGTTCGCGAACACGTTCATCACGTTCTCGGCGGAACCGGAGGTCGTGCGGCTCGATCCGGCGCAGACGCTCGTGCAGAAGCTGGATGCGATGGAGAAGTCCGCGTGGGGCATGAACACCGCGTTCGACCGCGTCCTGCTCGACCTCCTCCTCCCGCTCGCCGTCGAAAACAACGTCAGGCCCGAGGACATGGTCAAGCGCCTCTTCGTTTTCTCAGACATGCAGTTCGATTCGGCGTGCGGCGGCCGGAGAGACGCGTGGGAGACGAGCCACGATGTGATCGAGCGCAAGTTCCGCGAGGCCGGGTACGAGCTCCCCGAGATCGTCTACTGGAACCTCGCCACGCGCGAGACGACGCACCCTGTGACACACGAGCGCAAGGGCGTTGCTCTCATGAACGGCTTCTCGCCCGCGATGCTCAAGGTGTTCATGGGCGACGCCGAAGAGGAAGACTTTGAGATGATCGAAGCGAGCGCGGAAGAGAAGACGAAGCAGAAGCTGGATCCGATTAATATCATGCTCAAGGCGGTGTCGAAGGAGAGTTACTCTGGACTTGTCGTTGTAGATTAGAACTTTACCATACTTTCTTGTCGTAACATCTACTATCAGTCGCATTTGCTGTCGTTTGCTGTACATAATGTATCGATACTGTATCAATAGCGTCACCACTCACCACTCACATAGCCCCGTCGATCGTGCCGAATTATCGCACTATGCAGTCAGCGTGGTCGCCAAAGAGTGGCTGAGACAGCAGGTGCACCTCTAGCTATAGTACGACGTCGTTAACCGGCCGCACTGAGCAAGACCGGTCAGCTTCTCACCTTCAGATTAGCCTCGTGTCGCTCTTGAATAGACATACATGCAGTCCTACGCTTATGCGGCCAAGCACGAGATCTGCGTTGGGCTTGATGCAGTGGAACCTCACAGGTGTTAGTTCGATACAGCTTTTCGTAAGCCAAGGTCCAGACAAAGCCCCAGGTTAATATGCCGTGGAATTGCAAAAGGGCCACACCTTCAAGCTTTTGCCGCAGATATCCTTCCGAATATTCGTGAGCCACCTGAAATAACGAGGCCAAAGCACAACTCTCAGTTATTCAAATCGTTTTGAGTCAGCAACAGGGACTAAGCACAGCGGGAATTTCCGAACGTGAACACCTGGCGCTTACGGGTTTTTGGATTGGCCGCCACAACCGATCTCTGCTTTTGTCGCCCAGCAACGAGTGGCAACTCCTTGGCCCAATGGCTGCGCGTGCACTGACCTTTGCTCCTTTGTCCAATATGTTGGCCTTGTTCATGTTTCAACGGCAGACCCGTCTTAAGGTAATACCCTTTGCTTCTTTCATGATTATAAAAGAGGCCAGCCTCTCGCCACACCCCATCCTCCGCATTTTCCTCCTCCTGTACGCTCTCTCACAAGCTTCGCACGAGCAGCGATGGGCAGAGACCAATTTCTCTACTTCGAAGTCTCACTGGATGTCTTCTTCGATAATTTCATCAGCAGCAAGCTTCCCGCTAGGTGCTCCAAGCCATTCGTTAAGAGTGTGGCCTCAGGGCGTGGCACCAAAAGGCGTGCGAATGCGATGCTGACGAAACCTCATGTTTTGGTATGTCTTCTTTATTCAGAGCCGCCTGCTTCCATCTAACTAAGCTTCGTAGTGCGATGCACTCAATATGGTGCTTGGCGGTTCTCCGTGTCGTTTCGAAGTCGTTCCAGAGGCATGCGACGCAGAGACCTTCACTCCGGCTGTTGCATGTTTCACGAAGCCGGAGACAGTAACAGCGAAGAACTGCTGGGCATGGATGGTCTCCCCGGTCGAGGTGGTCACAAACAAGCCCACGGCGGCATTCCATCTTGCTCCTCCCGAAAGCGTCGGTAAAAGGACACGCAGAAAGAAGCAGCCATTCCTGTTAGACACGGCTCCTGGAGATCAAGCACGGCGGCAGCTCGAAGAGTGTATCTCCGAGATTCTCCTGCATCAGCACCGGACGCATATCTTCATGCTCCACGTCTCCCAGTCCGCGGCTCGTTTGTCTCGCTGGGACCGGACCGGTTGCATCGTGTCTGAGCCCATCGACCTGACTCGCAACCTCTACGAATTGCAGAATATCGTGTTCCGGTTGGCTTACCTTTCGCCACTAGACCAGGGCTTCGATGACCAAGTCAAGCTGGCCTCGCCTCAGCAGATCAAGAGGCTTCGGAAGTATGAGCCAGGGAATGTATACCTCGTGGAGCATCGCGACAACATTCTCGATAACGCGGATGAATATCCAATTTACGAAGTATGTGTCAACTATCCTCGACGTGTCCTGTATTTGCTGATTGCGTTTCAGATCAGCTGTCCGGCTATAAACCCTACCCTGGCCGACGACTTGACTAAACTGAGGGTGCTCTTCCCGAATCTGGGAGGTATGGGCGGCGAAGACTCCGACGAGGATAGCGAAGCCGGGCTCCTCCGCGTCAACGTGCCCTTCCCACGCAAGATGAAGAAGTACCTCATCGGCCGCCCGGCCACCACCCGTCGCCCGCTCGCAGGACGCAGCACAGTGGGGTACGTCGTATACGACCTCGCGGAAGACCGGATGTCGTTCCTCAAGGACCAATGGCGCTGGCTGGACGAGATGCGGTCCGAGCTCGACACCCTCAAGTACATCAGGGGACGTGGTGTCTTGGGCGTCGCACGACTCGAGGCTGGCAGCGATATCGAGCACCACCGGACCCGGTCGCAGCACTTGATGCGCGGGCTTCCCTACAGCGACAATGCGGTGGCTCGGGTCCACACACGTTTGGTCACCAGCAACGTGGGGCGTCCGCTGGGAACGGCCGCGACGAGTTCGGAGCTGCTGCGCTACGTTGCATGTGCCCGATACGGTGAGTTATTGTTTCTGCTTGCTAAGTACTAGCCCGACTGACGTCTGTGAAGCACATGAATGTGCGTGGAAGTACGCCGGCGTTCTTCATCACGACATCAGTGACGGCAACATCCTGATAGATGTCGAGAGCGACGACGCGTTTATGAATGACTGGGACGTTGCTATGTTCCGGGACTACATCAAACGCAAACATGAACGAGACGCCTTCTCCGTATGTGCCCCGCCTCTGTGAGACATCGAAGACTGCTGATTACTGCTCTTCTAGGGTACGTGGGCGTACGCTTCTGCCCTCGTTCTACAATACCCCAAGAAGCCAATCGAGGTTGAAGACGACATCGAGGCTTTCGTCTGGCTCATCGTCTACATGGCAATCCGATATTTCAAGCACAACCTGTCCGGGGCACCTGCGGAGATGGTTGACCTCACGAACAAGCTCTTCTACGAAGAAGAGATCAATGAGCACGGGTACCGAGTCGGCGGCAAGACGAAGATGATCTACATAATGCGCGGCCAGCCACCCGTACAGCTGGAAAACCGCAGGTCTCCAATCGCGCTCTTCCTCGATCAGGCATTTAAGCTTCTCCAAGAGGTGTACGCCAAGATTGACTACAAGGCAATTGCACACTGGAAGGGCTCTCCGCGCGGTCCGGGCATTCCCCGGTACTTGTGCAAGAGTGTGCTGGACGGCGTGAGTCACGAAGTGCTGAACAAGATGCTCCACACGGCGTGCAACTCCTGGAAGGAGCAGCTCCGAGCTGAGGCTTCCAGGCTAGCCAGAAATCTTCCTGACATGGTCCAAGCTCTAGCTAGTATTGCCATGAATGAGTAATATATGGAATTTGAGAGGGGAATAAAAATATCTCTGTTTTTTTTTTTTCATGGCAGGATTGAGTTTGAAGAGATGAGTCTGAGGACACCTATCCTGAGTTGGTGCATCACGCGGCCCTCTCGGCATGCACCAGTGCTCTTGCGTCTGAAAAGTCACGTATTGTCGTCTCTTTGCCTATCGGCGCCGGCAATACAGTACTGACACGCGCAGCACCGATCCAAAGACATCAGGATGCCATGTAGGGCAAGTAGGTGTGCGCAGAGAAGCGCAAGGTTCGAGGGTATGGTATGGGAGACGCCATTTGGGCAGGAGCAACGAAGCGTCCTGATAAAAAACACCCGAAAGTGCCAATCTTGGAGGCACGGGTTCTCCTCTGGAAGGGGATAAATTTGGGCGCGGTGGTAGTCATGCACTCCTCGAGCCGAGGGTGACTGCAAACGCCACCCCAGCGCCTACAATCCCCAGTCTCGAGCGCCCTACAGGCTCGGGGAGTTGTAGCAGTACAACTTAAGACCCTTGAAGCTCGAAGCTCGAAGCTTGAAGACCCTTCGCACGCACCCTCAGATCCCTAAAATTTTATTGTTATGCACTTAGCTGCCAATCTAGCACGGAGAGAGGAGACTCATTATGTGGCTTGTTTAGAAACACACATTCGTTGCAATGATTTTGAACCGACAGGTGCACAGACAACGCCCGGACGGTGCTGACGCCGTGAGACTCAAGATCATTTTCGTCTTAGGAAGGTATCGGTATTTGTCAGGTGCACTGCCTATGCAAGCACAGCCTACGACAAGGGTCTGAGCATTTCGGAGTCGTATGATAGTCTCGTAAACCAGACCCAACCCGACGACGTTTCCGTTTTAGGAAACTGACGGAGTTTCCTAAAACGGAAACGTCGTCGGGTTGGGTCTGGTTTACGAGACTAGTCGTATGAATCTTGAAGCTTGAAGTACCACTTCTTCGAGCAAGCTTTCCGACGTAGTATCGAAACTCGGATATTCGGGGTATTAGTCCGTTTGTGAGCGTCAACATTCTCCCGCCCGCTTGACCGAAACACGTAGACTCCCGTCGTGTAAGCTGTGGCGTCGCGCCCACGGCAGGCACACATCAGTCTGCCGGGAATGGCTTCGACTGTTCACAGAATAAGACCGGTCAAGATCCAGATCCAAATATATGATAGTTCGGCCGCTGGAGGCTCAGCACACTGTAAGACACATCGTCAACCAGCGAGACTATTCTTTTTTAAGAGATCCAGAGCAGGATAAATGACAGTTTCAAGTTGTGTATACACGTATGGCAATATGTATCCGTGGTAGGCTGTATGTCCCAGGCAATGTGGGGGCTTGAATCCTGTTAAAGGAACCTGTATCTAAGAACACGTTAACAGTAGTCTGAACCTCAAGGCGACTAGCAGCAAGTCAGGTAGTGACAAGCTTATGGCGGCGGGGCGAGCGCAAGTAGAACGTGACCTATCCTGCCGAAAATTGCTCCCACGTCCTCTCGTCCTTCTCACTCTGCAGGATGCACGGGTTGCGCTCAACGTTCCCGGCGTCTTTGCCGATAATGCTAGACTACAAAGTTTCAATCTTGTTTGCCTCTGACGCGCATACCTGATGTCCACAAAGATGCTCCGCTCTCCAGCTTCTAGCGAGCACAGACGCATTTAGCCATAGCACGACATAATGCACTCACGAGATGACTTGGACATGCGCCGACGCGTCCAGAAAGCTGATTCTTCTCTGAAGGAAAGCAGATACCGTTCCTGGCGCGTTTATACGGCACGTAAGGCAGAACCACGGGATGACGGAGCAGCACACTGCCCTTTTGCTTCTCGAACAGCATGTAGTTGTATTGACGCACGATGCTGACGAGATACTCCGTTACCGTGTACGTATGGGCAAAAGGAATCGAGCACCCGGCACATTTTGTCTGCCAGAAGCTCGAGCATGAGATGCTGCTGCCGCTCACGAGGAAAGGGGCAGGGCGTCGGAGGTGTCTGAGAATAGTTTCGTACTTCAGCATGCCTGAAGTGTTGTTGGAACCTATCACGAAGGTGTTTATTAACATTACCATGGCGTTTCGAATAACTATCCAAACCCAAGATGCATGAACGACGTTGTGCCATTTAAGCGTTTTACCGATGCGAGTTGACCTCGAGTTTGTCGGCAAGATTGTGAAGAGCGCAATTTGAACTTGGCCATCGGTCTAGCTATGCAAAAGCGTCGCATCTTCCATGCTGGAGGGCGTGACAATGTGGTAGCGGGCGCCAGGAGGCCTGTCTGCAGATGGATCCCAACACGATGTGACAGGAAGAAGAGAGCTAAGGGGCAAAGAAGCTTTTTAGTGCGCCTAGATAGTGTAGTGCGCGGGGCATTGTACTGCGGAATTATTGGCGTATTGGACTCAAGCCTTGTTCTTCTCGTACGCCGTCGCTGGGGCACTAAGCTGGCCTGGGCCGTGGCGGATGGAGCTGCTAGACTGTACGCAGTTAGATCTTCAGCTGAGGCAAAAACGAATAGAACCACCAGATGTAACACGAGGTCGACGATTGGCCATTGTTCAGTGGCTGACGCATCGGTACTGAGGCGTAGTGGCAAGCCTAAGCAACTATGTGGGTGAGTTCTTCATACAATGAACAGCATGAATGAGGTGCTACTTCTCTAGGCATGCTGCTCTTCCACAAGGCCCATCCAGAGCGAGGCAGGCCTAATGGCAGCGAGGTTGAGTGTTGTCATGGAGCGGGTCGGCATGTGCCACAGGCTCATCCTTGGATGGCTTTGCCATATTGGCCATGTCGCATATCATAGAGCGTAGTTGTGACTGCGGCTCTCCGATATGGTCGCTCTCATTACAGCCAATTGGAAAACGATAGGCCACCTTGAAACCTTTGCTAGCACGGTGCTCCGGCCTAGATCTAATTAGGGGCAGCTGCGTAGCGCTCATCGGCCTTGGGCCGGTGAACTGCTTAATGAGTCGCATCCAAAGCTCACAACCCCAATGCTTTTGCTTCCTTATACTGGTTAACCTTCGGCAAAGCGTTCTTGAATAGCACAAAGCGCACCCGCTGTCGGTATTCAACGCGTACGATGGTACACGTTTAAGCGTCTGCTGCGTGATGCGAGGAGATCACCGAGCGGGGCTGCAATCGCTGTAGCGGAGAGAATTAGGGGTAGCTGCAACTAGCTGTAAGGGCCCTATGGAAAGCGCATGTAGGTGTCTTCTCGTAAATTTTGCGCCGTAGGCCCAAAAAATCGAATATTGATTTACAGTCGTTTGCATATGAAACTGCAGTCCGCGATTTTTGTCCTGGTATTTGCTCCGTACAAATACTGCCTTCGAAGGCAATGCGTGCTGTAAGCGCACATTGTCACGCTCTTTCACTCAGCTCGAGGTAAGGCGGAACGACATGCTCAAAGTATCTGAAAAAAATGTTCAAATATTTTAATTGCTACACATATCTCGGAATGCAATGAAGCTAGTTCGACGTTAAGTATTTGCGAGATGAAAGGCGGAGGGGCCACACGCGCGCTTGGCATAACACTAGGCGCTGGTAGGCACATCGAGCGTTCGCCTTCAGAGATTCCGCGCTACGGACACAAAAAATGCAGGCGGGGCCGTCAAAAGTCTGCAGTAAGCCATCGCAGAGAAAGCTTAGCTACAAAAAAGCCAGTGCGACGACATTGCTGGTTTGTGATCCTTTCGTGACTTTCCGTGACTACCACCGCACCAGATAAGGCGAATTTGTACGGAACAAATACTGGAACAAAATCACGGACTGCAGTTTCATATGCAAACGCAGACTCCTGACCAGCGCCTAAGGGACGGGAGCTTTCTCAAGCGGATTATCGGGTTGGGTGATTATCGGCTATCTTGTAATTACTGTTTATATATACTACGTCAGCGGGATTTGTGTCTGTGTCAGCAGAATTTGCGTAATCTTTCGAAAGGCTCACCGTCCCTAGGCGACTGGCACAAATTATTGGCGCGCGTGCTCGGCAGCTCGGCAAATGTCCCAACAATTGTTTTCGTCGCTCGGTTTTCCGAAAAATAAGCGATGGCGCCTCCCCGCCTCGCTCAACCCTAAGCGAGGGTTTCGAGAACCTCCCGCTCATACCTGTAGTATCTTGGGAACTACAACAGGTGGCGGCTTGACTGCTCATTTCAGAAGCCATGAAATTGATTCTAATGTCTCTAATGGCCGCATCTCCTGTCTAAAGCAGGTGCGTGAGACTGTGAAAGATGTGGATGAGCGACTATGGCAGCTGCGCCGCTCTCTCCAGTAAGGTCCCTGACGACGCCGCGATGACTGCACGGCAACGTTGCGCCTTATATACCACCTTTCCGACAACATTTCATGTGTTCACCTTGATCCCTTGATGTCACTTCTTGAAAAAATGCGGAGGATGGACTGGATGTGTTTATGGTGCTTACACCAGGACTCTACTGATTGTCATACTGATCTCACTTTTGTATCTCTGCGGAAATGTGCTGAATTCAGTTATCCTAATACTCAATCTGCTCTCTGTGGAAGGAAGATCTGTGGAAAGCTCACCTTCTTCAGTCACATTAATTTCCATTGCATAATTTAGAACTCTGATGCTTCTTCACTTATTTGCCTCACATGTGTATTGTCAGATAAAATAGAGCCTTAGCTGCCTAAAATCGTATTAGAACAGCTTCTATCTACAGCGGGGCAGGTACCGCAGATGAAGCTCCTACTCTAGGGTTGAGCGAGGCGGGGAGGCGCCATCGCTTATTTTTCGGAAAACCGAGCGACGAAAACAATTGTTGGGACATTTGCCGAGCTGCCGAGCACGCGCGCCAATAATTTGTGCCAGTCGCCTACACAGCTGCACGGATGAGACTGTGGGGCTCAAGATCTGGCGGATTTTATGATTCGGGGTATCGTGATCTTTGAGCGTTGGTTTTTGTCTGAGATTCGTCCGACCGAAATCATGATTCTGTCCAATGCGAAATACGCCCGATCCGAGATCTCCCCACCACAGTTTGGCGCCCACCGAGCCTCAGGCCTCAGGCCTCGGAACACACGTCCGTTCGAGTTGCATTCCGTACTTAGAAGTCCACAATAAACGGCAGGAGACTACATTAGAACATATGTATGATCTCAACTCAGGCAGTAAGCTGCAATAGATGCCGGAGTCACAGGCTACAGGGCGGAGAAAAGCTCATCGTCAAGCTCGCTGGTACCTTCGCCCCTCATAGACAGGGCCGGAACGCTATCGTCGTCGTCCTCAAGGAAACCACTACCTAGATTACCTTTGGGGAAATCCCTCTCGTCCTGAGCTATCATATCTTCTCGCCACCTATCCGTCCAAGATGTCAGCAGTATATCAAAGTTATAACACCACGGGACACATACTTAACCCACCTGTCGTGAGACGCGTTCGACACATTCGGGACATGGGCGGGCACAGGTTCAAATAAATCGCTTTCAACACGGCCGTCGAGCTCGCGTACTCGTCTCGTGTGACGTGCGCTTGCTTCGTGGTGAAGAGCTTTCCGAAGTGACATGCCTAGTTCTCCGCAGACAGTGCAGTCGAAGCCATACCGACGACTGCTTCTGAAGACTGGGGTCTCGTTAGTTAGGTCCGGGTGACCGTGTGCAGGCTAGAGTCTCGCTGTACTTACATTATGGCTCAATAAAATCGTCTTCTGTGAGTGCCACACTGGTCTCATCGGGCTCATGCTCAGGCTGTCGACGCTTCATGTTATCTCACGATGGCAGTCAGTGCTGCGAGCACAGAGACTCGTTTGCACAAGTCTTAGGCGCAGAATTTTTAGCACACGGACTCATGATTCACTAGCGCAGAGAATATTGGCAGATTCTCGAATGCGGAGTATCTTGAGACTTGTGTGACATGGTCAGACAAAAACCAATGCTCAATGATCAGATTCCCGAATGGCCGAAATCGCGCCCGCGTGATTTTCAATATCTCTCAGATACTGTCACCTCAGTCTCATCCGTGCAGCTGTGTAGGGACGGTGAGCCTTTCGAAAGATTACGCAAATTCTGCTGACACAGACACAAATCCCGCTGACGTAGTATATATAAACGGTAATTACAAGATAGCCGATAATCACCCAACCCGATAATCCGCTTGAGAAAGCTCCCGTCCCTTAGGCGCTGGTCAGGAGTCTGATGCAAACGACTGTAGCAGATAAAAATGTGGAAAGCGGCGGGCGGGAGCTATGTGACGCGTGACGCGCCGGACTGGTCGTACAGGTACAGTACTAGTACTAGCTAAGGTTTCAAAGTGGCCTATCGTTTTGCAACTAGCTGTAAGTTATCCCTTAGTGTGGGAAGGGTACTGTACGAGTTTGAATGAGAGCGACGTCACGCGCCACAGGCCTCTCCGGTTACAATTTTTGGGTCTTGTCACGGAGATTTGCACTAAATCTAGCCCAAAATCGAGATAATTCCAACGGAAATCTCCAAAAAGTCCGCCCAACATACTGTTTTTGGTAATTTGGCATCCGCCGTTGCTCGCACAGATGCCGGCTTGAATGTCACACCCCCGGGGTTGGTTACAGTAGACCAGGGTTTGGCGCTTAATTCCCAGCGCCTCGGCGCAAATTAAGCTCAGCCAGTGCATGCATACCTCTCTACATTGACACTGATTCTTCGTAGAACCTTATTGCGTGCCGCAGATGGCTGTTTGTCTTGGAACTCAGAACGCTCGCCGAACATTATATAACGCCTGCGAGTATATTCATGGTTGCAACAGGCACTTTCTGACTTCATTGATATTCCATTCTCCTGGTCGAGCGAAAGCTTGTTCACTCCAGTATTTGCCCCCACAGCCGTTAAGCATATCGGTTGGTGTTGCTTGCGCTCCTTCGTCCATGATTCGACTCACTAATGGTCTTATCTCTTGCAGAAGGCTCATCATGTCTCCAAATGGCCTCCTACTGCCAGATACAGCACTCGACGCGAATTCTCTGGTGTGTAAATGGTCCACACTATCCTATCATTATCTAACGTGTTATTTTCACAAGCCGGATCTTTGTCGCAAGACAATCACAGAGTTCTTGCACCGAACAGGCATCCCGCTGCCTGGATTTGACTCATCGGCTTTCGGCGACGAGATCGACAGGCTCGCACACGCCGAAGTCCAGACATGGAATCTCGGCGGCGTGTCCCCCAACCGCTTCGAACACTGCCTCACCACTGGGATTGATATCGCGAAGATGGCGTACAGACACACTCCCGTCGAGACACAGGTCCATATTGCCTTGTGGACTGCGCTATGCGTCTGCATCGACGATCTCGATGCTGGCGTGGAAGGTTTCGACACTGGCGTAGACGCACTCGCCGAGTTCCCGAACGATTCCACGTCGGACGCGAGCAGCTTCACCCGTTGCTTGACTTGCTCGCGGATAATATTCGTCGGATGCATGAATTCTTCCACCCCTATGGCGCCACTATCATTGCCACCTGTACCGTGCAATTTGTCGCCTGTGCATTGGTCGACAGGGAGACAAAGGCCATGAATTTACATCCTTCAGCCCGTGGGTATCCGCTGTACAAGCGCGCTCGCAACGGGCTCGGCGAGGGATACTCCTACTGCATCTGGGATAAGACACACTTCCCCGACGTGTCTAGTTATATTCAATCGATGCCGTAAGTACATTTAACCTCTTGAGAAGTAGCATACTAAGCTCTGCCCATCTAGTGAGGCGATTGCGATCTCCGTCCTTGTCAAGTAATGTCCACTTCTCAGTGTCTGCTGGAGCAACATCTTCTGACGCCAGTTTTTCAGTGATCTGTGCTCCTTCTACAAGGAAGAACTTGTCGACGAGAAGAATAACTTCATTCATGATCGTGCTTGCGTCACTAGCAAGGATATCGAGGCGACCCTGATGGCTACACTCGGAGACGCCGTGGACGCCGTCAACAGGGGCCGAGAAATCTTACAAGGCGAGGAGAGGCAAGCATGGGAGAGCCACGTGGTGGGATATGTGGCATTTCACTTCATGACTCCTCGCTACAGACTGGAGGAACTGTTCAGCACATCCGGCTAGACTCGCACACCTCACTCTTTCCGTGAACGGGGTATGTGAATTGGGGTGCTGTATGCATGCGATTATCTGGTGTCGAATATGTCGATGATGGTGCGGTAGATCATCCCGAGTTCTCTGGTAAATACAATAAAATATCTATGTACTTGAAAAAAAATGAGAAGACGACCCCGTATGGCTACTAGGGTGATCTGCTCTGCGCCGTGGCGCTCTCTATCTGCCGTTAGCTCAGCCCTTGTTGGGTCCAGCATCATTCTTGCATCCCACGAAGTTCTGAGAGAGAGAGAGTTATATCAGCTATAGGATCGAGCGCTACTCATTTCCAGGCTCGGCTTGCGCCCGAAGCGATATGCGATAAGAAATAGCGTCGGCGCGCGCGGTTGGTTATTAATTTATTAGTTGCGCGTCTATTAAAAAAAGGGACTTGAATTTGCACGGCCGGGCTCTTGCACGCTACTCGCTGTACTCGCTATGTTGACTCTATAAAAATCGTACATCCACCTTTGGTTATCGAACATCTGTATTCGACTTCGCTGGATGACTCGCCGATCCGGGTAGTCGGATCAGCGACTCACCACGTCAAAGACTTGAACGCGTCTCGTTCAGTCACCATCACATTGCTACACTCTTTCGAACCGACTTCTCGCTCGTCCCTTCCGCTCGAGCACGAGGCACGACGCTCCTTGTACTCTGAATGAGCGACGTTGTCATGTGTACTGCAAGCCCAAAGTTCTGGTTCGTCTCTATCACTAAGAGCCGCCTGCCCCCATCTGACTATGTTTTGTAGTGTGATGCGCTCAATACGGTCCTGAACGATTGTCTGTGTCATTTCAGAGTTATTCCAGAGGCACCCGGTGCGGACGCCTTCGGCCCGGCTGCTGCATTTTTCACAAAGTTGAAGACAGTAACGACGAAGAACTACTGGACGTGGATGATCTCCCCGGTCGAGGTGGTCACAGACGAGTCCACGGCGGCATTCCGTCTTTCCCCCCGAGAACTGCAGCAAGAAAACACGTAACAAAGCACCAACGTTCCTCATAGACACTGCTGTTGGACATCAACCACGGCGACAGCTCGAAGAGCGCGCCCCCGAGACTCTTGCATGAGCACCACACAGACATCTTCATGGTCCACATCTCTCAGTCTGCGGCTCGTTTGTCTCGCCGGGACCGGGCCGGTTGTATTGTGTCTAAGCCTATCAACCTGGCTTGCGATCTCTACAAACTGCAGAATGCCGTGTTCCGGCTGGCTTACCTTCCGCCACTGGACCAAGGCTTCGATGACCAAGTCAAGCTGGCCTCGCCTCAGCAGATCAAGAGGCTTCGGAAGTATGAGCCAGGGAATGTATACCTCGTGGAGCATCGCGACAACATTCTCGATAACGCGGACGAATATCCAATTTACGAAGTATGTGTCAACTATCCTCGACGTGTCCTGTATTTGCTGATTGCGTTTCAGATCAGCTGTCCGGCTATAAATCCTACCCTAGCCGACGACTTGACTAAACTGAGGGTGCTCTTCCCGAATCTGGGAGGTATGGGCGGCGAAGACTCCGACGAGGATAGCGAAGCCGGGCTCCTCCGCGTCAACGTGCCCTTCCCACGCAAGATGAAGAAGTACCTCATCGGCCGCCCGGCCACCACCCGTCGCCCGCTCGCAGGACGCAGCACAGTGGGGTACGTCGTATACGACCTCGCGGAAGACCGGATGTCGTTCCTCAAGGACCAATGGCGCTGGCTGGACGAGATGCGGTCCGAGCTCGACACCCTCAAGTACATCAGGGGACGTGGTGTCTTGGGCGTCGCACGACTCGAGGCTGGCAGCGATATCGAGCACCACCGGACCCGGTCGCAGCATTTGATGCACGGGCTTCCCTACAGCGACAATGCGGTGGCTCGGGTCCACACACGTTTGGTCACCAGCAACGTGGGGCGTCCACTAGGGACGGCCGCAACAAGCCCGGAGCTGCTGCGCTACGTTGCATGCGCTCGATACAGTAAGTCCTTTTTTTCTGTTTACTAAGCACCAGACTGACTGATGTCTGTGAAGCACATGAATGTGCGTGGAAGTACGCCGGCGTTCTTCACCACGACATCAGTGACGGCAACATCTTGATAGATGTCGAGAGTAACGACGCGTTTATGAATGACTGGGACGTTGCTATGTTCCGGGACCATATCAAACGCAAACATGAACGAGACGCCTTCTCCGTACGTGTCCCGCCTCTGTGAGACATCGAAGACTGCTGATTGCTGCTCTTCTAGGGTACGTGGGCGTACGCTTCTGCCCTCGTTCTACAATATCCCAAGAAGCCAATCAAGGTCGAAGACGATATCGAGGCTTTCATTTGGCTCATTGTCTACATGGCAATCCGATATCCCAAGCACAACCTGTCCAAGGCACCTGCAGAGATAAGCGACCTCACGAGCAAGCTCCTCTACGAAGAAGAGATCAATGAGCACGGGTACCGAGTCGGCGGCAAGACGAAGATGATCTACATAATGCGCGGCCAGCCACCTGTACAGCTGGAAAACCGCAGGTCTCCAATCGCGCTCTTCCTCGATCAGGCATTTAAGCTTCTCCAAGAGGTGTACGCCAAGATTGACTACAAGGCAATTGCACACTGGAAGGGCTCTCCGCGCGGTCCGGGCATTCCCCGGTACTTGTGCAAGAGTGTGCTGGACGGCGTGAGTCACGAAGTGCTGAACAAGATGCTCCACACGGCGTGCAACTCTTGGAAGGAGCAGCTCCAAGCCGAGGCCTCTAGGCTAGCCAAAAATCGTCTGATCCCGCAGATGGTCCAGGCCTTAGTTAATCTCGCCATGGATGACCAACAGACTGTATCTGACAGTGGAATATAATTGATTAGTTTATTTCCAATAAGTTACGAGTCTGAATACCAACAAGCGGAGTTGGTGCATCACACGGCCCTCGAGATTAAATATCGATAGCGATTATCGGCCATTCGCGGAGTTTGAGCGCCCATCTCTACCCTTGTTCTTGCCATGCACTTGCAGCACTGCCACAGACCAGCCACGAGGGAGCTGCATGCCAACATGGGTTCAGAAAGGATTGCACCTAACCTCCACCTAACCTCCATCTAATCTTGCCGCGTTCGCTTGGATGAGGCTCGCTTTAGGCCGATTAGTGTTTGTCCGCGGGCTCAGCACCAGACCGCCTCCTCTCGGCGTGAAGTTGAGAGATTATCAGGAGGACGCGCTCCAGGCATGCACCAACGCGCTTGCGTCCGGGGAGTCACCCATTGCCGTGTCTCTGCCTACCGGTTCCGGCAAGACAGTTGTCTTCCTAACATTACTACTCTCGCGCATCACACCCCCTACTGCGAACCCAGATGCGACACGTTCCCTAGTTATCGTCAACAGCGTTGAGCTCGCCCGCCAAACGGTATTACAGGCCAGGAAACTCTTCCCGCATTTGCATATCGCGGTCGATCAAGGCTCTAAGAGGGCGTCTCCCCATGCAGATCTGTACGCTTTTATTAATCGTATTCTCGATATCGAGCCACTCACGGCGCGGCTGAAATAGGACGGTGGCAACCTACCAGTCGTTGGTGAAACCAGACAGGCTCTCAGCGTATGATCCGCGAACATTGAAGGCGATAGTAGTGGACGAGGCTCACCATGCAACTTCATCTTCGTATGCTGTGATGTTTTTCCTCTTATCTTTCCGCGCCCTTACACAGGAGCAGCTATCGCCGCATTTTGTCAAATTTTCATCCAAATGTCGACTCAGTCGGCACGGGGACGTTGGTTCGACCCCACATCTCCATTCCAATCATCGGCTTTTCTGCGACATGGTCGAGGCTCGATGGCGTGGGTCTTGCCTCGGTATTTGAGCGTATGGTTTACCACCTGGAATTTTTGGATATGATCAAGGCGGGATGGTGCAGTATCTGTCTCATTTCTCATGTATTGGTGTAGTGACGCTCGCCTAGGCTGTGTAACATGCGCTTCACGGTAGCTCGGGGCAATCTAAACCTGAACACCATTCCAGTCAGCAAGCGGAGCGGCGACTTCATCTCCAACAGTCTTGCCCGTACCATGAACACGCCAGAGATGAACCAACTGGTTGTAGACACTTGGCTTAAACGGGCTGGTTCGCATTCATATCATCTGCCTTAGCCCGCATCATTTCACGACAGATTCTAGCGAATAGGAAATCGACTCTGGTGTTCTGCGTTAATGTTGAGCATCTCAAGGCGCTTACCAGTGCATTTCGCGTGGCCGGAGTCGATGCAGAGTACATTCATAGTGGCATGTCAACAGAGAAGCGTCAGGAATTGCTCGACGCCTTTCGGAATGGTCAAATCCCCGTACTGCTCAACGTCTGTGAGTTTCCGCGGAAACTCTGCCTTTCTCAGCTCACGAGTCAAGCAGTAATCCTTACTGAGGGCGCCGACATACCGAACATCGACTGTATAATGCTTGCGAGGCCGACCCAGTCACACGCATTGTTCAGGCAGATGGTGCGCTTGTAATCTTCGGGTCCCACACATTTCTCTGCTCATCTGATTGGTAATGCCGTCAATAGCTTGGACGCGGAACTCGTCAGTCGCATGAAACAGGAAAGAAAGACTGCCATATCATTGACTTCGCTGACACCGCGGACCGCGCACGAGGGGTAGTATCAATTTCGAGCCTTTTCGGGATTGACCTAGCGGAAGTTATTGAAGGTGTGCCTATCATGGTAGCTGCGAATCCCATTTTCACCGCATATATTCTCCTAGATAAATCTGCTGAAGAGTTATCGGAGCGGGAGACTGGACAGTCTCCAAAAAGGCAAATCTCGAATGCGATTCGACCGCAAGTAAGGTTACTATCGTTCCAGCTGATGACATTCGCACTAATCTAAATCAAGTCACTTAACTTCGCTGAATACGACAATACAATTTCTTTCGCAAGGGCTGTATCTATAGTTCGCCGGTATAGCTCTCTAGCATGGGTTGATTGCGGCGATGATCTTTATGTCTTGAGTTGTATGGACTCGGGATACGTTCACGTGCAAGCCGTTCGGACCAGCGAAGGTGCGTTCGGATCGGCACTAGTTTGTTCACTCCCGCGTATCTGACGCCGTTTAGCCCCCGGAGTGAAGTTTCAGGTGTGGAAGACACGCATTATACAGGGCAAGGGCGTGCAGTGGAAGCTGCTTTTCGAAGTAAAAACGCTGCAAGAGGCCATCGAACGATCTGACGCAAGTGTAAAGGCAGAGCGGAGGCTGCAGCCGTACGTATCTCCGACTGTAACAGTACTTTGACTCGTCATGGTTTATTATTCTCGCAGATTGCTCAAGGCTGCATGGTGGAGGCAAAAACCCGCCAGTCTGGGACAGAAAAAGTTCGTTGCCTTGCTTCTGAGCGAAGTCGGGGGTGGCTGGAGTGAAGAGCGCACCGCCGAATTCCTGTCGACGCTTACTCAAGGCAACGCCCAAGAAATAATTATTAAGTTCAGGCTTGGGCCGCGGGTACGATGAGCTGTACTTTCATCTGTTCGGCACTGATTTATCCTACTTCTGATAGCTCTCTCGGTGGCTAAGACGGAGGTAGGAGGACGGCAGAAGCGATCCCACTTAAAGCATTTGGATGGGCTGCGCAGATCATTCTTAAGTCCATAATGAGTCCATAGCTTGTACTTGTACATCTCGCGCTGAAGGAAGTTACGTCATTGAGGGACATCTCCTTGCCGCCCGACAACTTTTGTCGATATCTTGAAGTTGATAAATCCCTTAAACGACGAGATGGTGTAGCATCGACAGACTAGACGGCCTCCCAGATTATAGTTTTTCCACAATATACCCGGAGACTGATGGTATGCGACTGCACATGTGCAGGTATCTAGACCACTTGGACGTCCCAGGGCCTGTCTTCCCCGGTTCGTACGAGCCAACACACGAGACGACGGTACTTTGCCCAGCTCTACCGCAGCAAAGGCCAATCCTGCCATACGGCCGTATCTTGGACTTTCCCCCAATCGGTACGCTGGCAATCTGTTCTGCTGGCGGATAACCCATGATTCTAAGCCCTACGCTGCGTTTCAAAACTCTTCTGTACACTGCTGGATTTGTAGGGTCAGACTGCCGGCTATTAATGCGCAGAAGCCTTCGAAGGATACCTTGACAGCTGAGAAGGTGCCATATCGTGTTTTCAGACCGTTCGGCGCGATATAGAGATTATAACAAAGATGGCCGAGGTGACGAGAGCTCTGGCCCGCATGTTTTCGGAGCTGTTCCTTCTTCAGTAGGGGACGAAAGTCGCCCTAAGGTGCCGTGCCATTTATTGTCTGACATGTCCCAGGGTCAATTTTAATGTCTAGCCCATATCATGGGCAACTTTACTAACATGTTTGCAAAATAACAGACAATGACAGATTCTGTTCTGTACAGTGGCCGTCAAATTTCTCCAGATAACTTCGAATCTACTTCGAGACATACCACATTGGATCTTCCACACGACCCTTATGCAAATTGTGCGCGCTGCTCGCGACATATCGCTTCTTCACAGCCTTCTACTAATCCGAGCAAGACAAATCTGCAACGGAGTGTTACAGAGCATGCGTGCATCGTCAAATTCCTAATGAATTGAAGGATGGCGTGCGCCGGACGGAGGCCGATACCGACTCGCACATCATCTATCCAAATGTATTGCTCAGTCGCTGGAAGACACCAGGTGCAGTGGAGATGCATGCGCAGATAAGCATAATTAAAGTTCTGGAGTATGGAGCAGGAGACGCCGCTTGGGTAGGAGCAGCGAAGCGTGCTGGTGGGGGAAGCATCCGCTCACACCGAAAATTGGCTCGAGGGAGACAAACTTTGCGCTGTACGGGTTGTAGCTCCGTTCATGGTACAACTTGAAACCCCCGAAGTTTGAAGACCCTTGGCACGCGCCCGCGAAGCCGTCGGCGAATCCCCGAAAATTTTATTGCCGTGCGCCTAGCTGCCGACGAGGCACAGAGAGAAGGGCTCATAACGCGACGTCTCTAAGAGTTCCCATTCGAGCAGAGCTTTTGAATTGTCAGGTGAGCGAACAAAGTGCGGACGATGCTGACGAGCGCCGGGAGATCACTAGAGATCAATAGGCGGCTGGTGCAGGTAAGTTATCGGGAGACGTTGCCTACGTAAGCAAGATTAGGAAAACAAGCATCTGCCAGTGTCATCTCCGAGAAACCGTCGTGTGGTCGTTATCAAGTCATAAAGCATTTTTCTGAGCATTTTCAGCGTTACGACTTGATGAGGTTTTGAGCAGGTTTTCCGATGTGCTGAGACGTAGATATCTGTCGTATAAGCTACAGTACTGCGTCCGCAGCAGGCACGTATCAGTCTGCTGGGAAGGTCTACGGAACATAGCAAGCATAGCGTTGGGAAAATAGGTTGCGTGCTTCAGCAACCCTTACATAATCCGCGTCGGTGTCGCAGACCAATCCAGCGCTTTTCGGACGCTTCAATCGTCCGGCTGAGACCCCGAAGACACCTGTTGTACTGAGGCGTTTTCTCACGGTCACGTGGTTGGCAGGTTTCAGCTGGAGTACCATTGAAACCTGCCACCCTATGATGTCATCACCCTCTTACCAGATTTAGATATGACGCGCGCAGAGCGCACTCGGCTCTGGCGCCCTTTCACTCCCCGCTGTGTTTCCCTTAGTCTCAGCTTCCTCAGCGTACATAGTATTGGACTGAATATATTAGGAAGTAGATAAGCTATATAAGGACACGTAGCATTATTCTAGGAATTTATCTTTGATTACTCGTGAATCCCCCGCCTGCGCGATTCCATTCACAACAACACCGGACCGCGCTGAGGTGTCACGAGCATTGGCCGCGACTACATCTTTGCCTTTTGGCCCTTGATGGGATATGGCGCCTGAGCTTGAGCTTGAGCGCTTGAGCACCAGTGCGTGCCTAGCGCGCCGGGTGAGGCTCGTTTTGTCGTATTGGGAGCAGAATGCTTCGTTTATGAGCATATACACCCATCGTATGTATCATGTAAAGGTTTGTTGTCCTATCAGTGTATATCTGTGAGAGCTGATCGGACTCACTGAATGCGCCGCTTGTCTCAGTATGAGCCTGCAATAATCCTTCGAGTTTGGTCGGAGGTAGAAGGCTCTTCGGCGGGGGTTGAAAGAGTTCTTGCACCGAACAGGAATCCCGCTGTCCAGCTTTGATTCGTCGGTTTTCGGCGGTGAGGTCAACAAGCTCGCACGCGCCGAAGTCCAGACATAGAATCTCGGTGGCGTGTCTCCTAACCGCCTCGAACACAGTCTCATCACTGGGATTGATATCGCGAAGATGGCGCACAGACACACTCCCGTCGAGACACAGGTCCATATTGCCCTGTGGACTGCGCTATGCGTCTGCATCGACGATTACGACGCCCTCGCTGAGTTTGCCGGACGATTCCACGTCGATCGCGAGCAGCTTCACCCGTTGCTTGACTTGCTCGCGGATAACATTCGTCAAATGCATGAATTCTTCCACCCCTATGGCGCCACCGCCATCGTCACCGGTACCGTGCAATTTATTGCCTGTAAATTGGTCGACAGGGAGACAAAGTCCATGAATCTGCATCCTTCAGCCCGTGGGTACTTATCCGCTGTACAAGCGCGCCCGCAACGGGATCGGCGAGGGATACTCCTACTGCATCTGGGATAAGACACACTTCCCCGACGTGTCTAGTTATATTCAGGTGATGCCGTACGTATATTTAACCTCCTGGAAAGTAACATGCTAAGCTCTACTCACCTAGTGAGACGACTGCGATTTCCGTCCTCGTCAAGTACATCAGGAAAATGTCCAAATGTCTTGACGTCGCTTGTGCGTCTTAGGATCGGACCGACATGCCTTGGGTACCTTGATGATGTTGGGTAACACCTCCAAGACAGGTCTCAACAACGCCTAAGGCAGACTAAGGCATGTCATCCAATCCAAGACGCCTCCAACACCCGGAGATTTTCCTGATGTAACGTTCAATTTTCAGTGTCTGTTAGAGCAGCACTTTCTGACACTGGTTTTTCAGTGATCTGTGCTCCCTCTACAAGGTAGAACTTGTCGGCGAGAAGGACAACTTCATCCATGATCGTGCTTATGTAACTAGCAAGGATATCGAAGCGACCCTGATGGACACACTCGAAGACGCTGTGGATGCCGTCAACAGAGGCCGAGAAATCTTAGAAGGCGAGCAGGAGAGGCAAGCATGGGAGAGCCATGTGATGGGATATGTGGCATTTCACTCCATGATTCCTCGCTACAAGCTGGAGGAACTGTTAAGCACGTCTGGCTAGACTCACACACCTCATTCTTTCCGCCAAACGCATGAACGGGGCACGTAGATTAGAGTGCGCCGTGCTGTATGTATGCGATTATCTGGTTTCGAATATACCGAGGATGCTGCGGTAGATTATCCCGAGTTCTCTGGTAAATGCAATAAAATATCTATGTACCCCTGCGGAGCAGTCGCAACCATGCACACGTACATCTGTAGCTGTGCATCACTTGCCAAAATCTATGAATACCGAGATGACAGCACTCCGCGACGGCGTATCAAGGTAGGATGCATATTCCAGACTGTATACATGTCTAGGATCCACAAGAGGAGGTCGCGTCAGAAAATCTATGAATATCGAGCTGACAGCACTTCGAGATGACCAGCAGCTGCTCACGCTGCGGCGGCATCGGTGAGCTGCTCAAGCTCGTAGCGCGGCGAGAGGAAGTGATACGCAACGTAGCCCGCCAGGAACTTCTCCCACGTCTCACGCTCCTTCTCACCTTGCAGGATCTTCCTGGCGCGCTCGACAGCACCGACAACCTCGTCCAGGATGTCCGACAGCACCGTCTTTACGTCCTTTCCCATGACACGCGCACGATCGTGCACGAAGTTGTGCCGCTCGCCGGCCATCTCTTCCTTGTAGAACGACAGGATGTCACTGGAGTATGATTAGCACGAGGACAGCAGCGGGAGAGCGGGAGCAGTGATGCACTGACTTGGCATAATCCAGGTAGGTCATCGTCTCCCTACGCGATCGGTGAGGATGGGGGAAATAGTAACATGAGAGCGGAAGGCACGTACGGGGTGACCTGGATATGCGCCGATATGTCTGGGAAGTTGAACTTGTCCCAGACAAACGCCGAATAGACCTCGCCGGCACTGTTTCTCGCGCGCTTGTACAAGACATACGGCAAGGCCACGGGATGGAGCGGTGCACTGTCTGTCTGCTTCTCGAACAGCGTGCAATTGATATGGTGCACGGTCCCGATCAGGATTGCCGTTGCCGCGTACGGGTGGAAGAACTCGGGCATTCGGCGCACAGCGTCGGCGAGCAGCTCGAGCACAGGATGCAATTGTGCCCTGCCCGTCTGGAGTCGATCGACAAACTCAGCGAGTGCGGCCGAGTCGACCTCGAGGTCGTCGACGCACAGGCCCAGGGTTGTGAAGAGCGCGATGTGCACCTGGGTGTCGGGGTGGTTGTGGCCAAACGTCGTCGTCGCCATGCCAATTCCTGTGGCGGTGTGGCGGCGGACACGGTCGGTGGAGATGCCACCGAAGTCCCAGTCTGCGATAATAGCGCGAACGCGTGTAGCGACTGTGTTATCGGAGATGGTGTTCACAACGGGCACAGGCAGGCCTGTCCTTCGTAGGAACTCCGACACAGCATGGCGGGACACCGAGAGCTGGAAGGTGGAAAGGGAATCAGTACATGAGGTTACCTAAGACTTGGGACATCGTACCACGAAATCATCGTGGTCTCGAACCTGAGCCTCGTTCTGCTCATGTATCGTCGCTTTGGGGTCAAGCCGACCCACGGTAGCAAACGAGGTGGAACTATCAAAGTGCGTATAGCTCAGTCTATGGCTACGGCGCAAGAAATAAAGGCGCAAACCGTGTTTGAAGGGTCACGATAGTCATCTTAGCGGCTGGCGTGTCGGTAGTAGTAGAGAGGCTAAGACTGGACTGCAGTAGGGGGCGAGTGGAGTGTGATCTTTATATCACGAGCATGAATAAGATTTAGCTATTGTGGCGTGCTGATTTTCCATTCAGGGTCCATTCATCTTGGAGCAGCGGTGGCGTCGTCGCGCCCGTGGAGCTATTGCCCAGCGGCCGTAGCTTGCGGAGTGAGCAAGTACGGCGGACAGACACGAGGCCATGAATAGCTGTGCATGGTGGAAAAAGCCACGGTGCTTTGAAGGGGTTCGATGTGGGTCATGCATGCGCAATGCCATCGCACATTGCTTTCGCCGAGATGCGGCACCGGGAAGATTGAATGAGGCTGTACAACATAACAGCGCATGTACCTCTGAAAGATATGCTTGTCTCTTATAGAATCAGGTACACGATTGCTGTGGAGGGGGGATTCGTGAAAGATTCCTTGAAGGGAGGGGGGGAGGGGCAGATCGAGCACAGATACTGCTCACTGAGGGAGATTACCACTACGAGTTCAGCGCCACACAGCCCGCAGACAGGAACTAAAGGAGAGGCAGGCTCTAATGCTTGTTGAGTAAGTGAATTGCCAAACAGTCTCCAGCAATGCGGATGTGAGGTCTGTGATGGCATGGCTGTTCCGGTCAAGGACAACGGGACCTTTCTTATCGGTCTGTTTCGTTAGTGCTCGGCGATCACCGCGGAGATCTTCAGCATTGTCCACGACCAGAGACGTTCACTACGGGCATGAGCTAATTTTAGATCACCTGAAATGTCCTGGTCAAGCTATCAAAACTGTTTCATTTTCGAAGGCTTAACCGGGGCTTTCTGGTGTCCCAAAATGATAGATTTGCTACCACTTTTGTAGCCATTTGCGGTGCAGGAAAATGATAAATTTTGTGTAGCCTGAAATGAACCTGAAATGACTGAATATGACTACATTTCAGTACAGCAAAGAGTTCATGTTTCAGGAGACTTTGTGGCGCATTTCAGGACATCTGAAAGAACATATGTAGAAATCATTTCCGCCTCATGTTTGCAATGAGGAAAGGTCCAGGCAAGGAAAACTTTTGATGGTCCTAAAATTACCATTTATGGAAAATTTATAGTACATTTCTAGGATGTTTCTGACTTATCTCAAGTAAAAGTCTTCTAGCTCATAAAATAGCTTCAGAATCCATCAGAAATGGCAATTTCAGGACCATCAAAAGTTTTCCTTGCCCGGACCTTTCCTCATTGCAAACATGAGGCGGAAATGATTTCTACATATGTTCTTTCAGATGTCCTGAAATGCACCACAAAGTCTCCTGAAACATGAACTCTTTGCCATACTGAAATGTAGTCATATTCAGTCATTTCAGGTTCATTTCAGGCTACACAAAATTTATCATTTTCCTGCACCGCAAATGGCTACAAAAGTGGTAGCAAATCTATCATTTTGGGACACCAGAAAGCCCCGGTTAAGCCTTCGAAAATGAAACAGTTTTGATGGCTTGACTAGGACATTTCAGGTGATCTAAAATTAGCTCATGCCCGTAGTGTAGCCCCAGACTCATCAGCTAGGAGATTCTGAAAGTGTCGACGCCACAAAGTTGTTGATAGACGCCCGTATACAACCCCCGGCCACATCTGCAGACTCTGCACTCAGTACTCACCACTTTGCTACATTTCATGTCGCCACATCCTCGTTATGTGAACGAATATTTTTCATTTCAGAGAGCAGAATATGACAAAACCAGCTACTGCATACTCCAGGGGCTGACGGCTGTGCTCAACCCATCGCAGTGATAGTGCATGGAGACTACGGTCAGCGGTACCTCCGACTCTGCGGATACGATGGGCGGGATTGGTAACGTGGAGAACGGAGAAGGTGTGAATTGAGGGGCTGTGGAGAATCCTGTGTTCTTTCCCTAGCGGAGTACGTCCCACTTGTCCTTGAAGATTACAGTCCCTTCTGGCTCTTGGACGACCTTGGCTACGCATCGGCCTTCCTTGCTGTACCTACACACCTCGAAGCTCCAGCGGTTGCATATT